TAATACAAGACTAAAAAATCCAGATATTTTAAAGCTCATAAAAATGCAATAATCTTCAATCAATGCAAACTCAGTTTTAATCCATACATTCGATCAAAGAAAACAATGTGTGGAATTCTTAAATAAGCTCAGTTAATTGATAAATTTGTATATATAAAGCCTTATTAGTACTTTAATGTGCCCTAAACAAATTCACAACTTGGTATATCAAAACAAATGTCAAAATATAACTGTCAAAAAAAAAGAGCCCACACTATAGTTCTAACTCAAAGTCTACAAAACAAAACTGGTTTTGTGGCTGAAGTACAGACTCATTCTCCACTCCGTCCACAGGGGCGTCACATCTTTAGTGTAGGGAACTCAGGGGCGAGGGAGTAAAAAACATGACAAAAATGTTGTGAAGCAGTTCTTAAAATTTGGGACATTTTTACATTTAGTATTGAGTAAAATGTTCAAAACAAGTTAGCTAATTGTGCATAATTTCAATAACAGGACAGAAATTCAACATTTTTCGTCTAGTTTACTTTTAGATGGACAATGTACTATACATGTACATACAATTTAATTCTTTGAATTTTGACATTTTATTTTATTTTTATTTATCTTACCTTAATAAAGTATAAAAATCTGCTTTGAAGCGAGGGGTTCAATTTAAACTATAAAGGAGAAGTAAGTGTGTAAATATACATCGAAATGAAAATTATAGTATAGACTTTTAAATGTATTTTTCCGTTATACATATATTGGATTAAATATCGTATTCCCGACATCTAGATATATGTATTAATATGTATGAATAGTAGTAATCTCTGTAATAGGTTGTTATAGACGCTTTTATTGATCAGCCTCAAAGTTTTGATTCGGGAACTGGATAAATTCAAAGGAATGTTTTTCACTTGGTTTGAAAGTTTTAAGTTGAAGAGTTCGCGAAAAATTAATATGGGATATAGGGATATAGGGATATGTCTGATTAAATTTGATATCAATTGCTGATAATTTTACTCTTATATCTGAGTCTGAACTTAAAGAATTTGTATACGTTTTTTTTTAAGATTTAAGCCGGCGCTCAATTGAAACTGGTTTTTTGGGGATTTTAGATGCGGCTTAAATTCATTAAATTTGGACACTGTTGAGTGTTTATTATTGGTGTGTCCATGCATACTGCAAAGTGACTATTTCTTACAATTCTAGAAATTGCAATTGAATGATAACATTTTTAGTTTCCATTACACATTGGGTAATTCTAGAGCTGGGCATGTTCCGATTTTTTTAACTCGTTCCCTTCTGTTCTAGAACGAGGGCCTTCAGCTAGATTGTTCCGTTCTCGTTCCTTTTTTCCAATTGTTCCGTTCTCGTTCCATTCTGTTCCGTTCCATTCCGTTCTTGGTGTTCTTAGTCTAAGAAAGGTCCATCCCGTTCCATTCCGTTCTTGGTGGCCAAAATACATTTTTCCATTCCCGTTCTGTTCTTAGTCAAGATGTTCCATTCTTAGTCAAGAACGTTTCCATCCCCCGTTCCTTGATAAGGGGTGTGTGGAATTTGTAGATTTAGAAAAAATTAATTAATTTTCTCTATCAATATTTCAATGATATTAAAAAAATATATAAATAAAATGTAGAAAACATTTCTTTTAACCTAACTCTCCCCTCCCTCACGGTAGAGGGAAGCCTAGGAAGGGAGGGGGATCGAATTAAAAAAATCTATTAATTATTTCTAGATGACTAGAAATTCAAGGCGCTTCGCGCCCTTCTTTCTAGGCTTTTAGGGCGCTTTGCGCCCATCTTCTATTTAAATTGTGAACATGTTCTTTTTTGTTTACATTTTAAAACAAGGAAGAAAGCAATTTTGCGGATTTAAAAAGAAAAATTCTCGGTTTTTAAAGAATTTAAATTTGTTTTTATAAAATGGTGTCCCACAAAAAATTTGGGCCCGATCAGTTCAGCCGTTTTGACGTTTATTGGATACAAACAAACAGACAAGCCAAATTTATATATAGATTTAGAACACATTCCTGATTTCAAATGCATTCCCAACTTAGAACGATCGTTCTTGAAAATAAGAATGCATTCCTGATTTTAACGTTCTTCACAAGCCATTTATGTTCTGTTCCGTTCCATTCTTTTACTAATCGTTTCAATATTTTTAAGAACGCGTTCTATGTGTTTGTTCTTTTTTCGGAACAAAGAGATCGTTCTTGATAGTTCTGCTAATTTTTCTGAAAGAACGATCATTTCCCAGGAGCAACGCCCAGCCCTAGGTAATCCTCAACAAACAGATTAATAGCCTAATTTCTACATTCCACAATGATGCCCTTTAAATTTTAAATCCTGTAATTAGTTAAATACTTAAACCTATTTTTTTGAAAATCTTAAGAATCATTCAGTTTGGGTAAAAGAAAAATAATCAATTTTGAAATGAAAAAAAAAATTAAAAGATAGTGCTTCAGTAAAAAGCCATTGATCGATAAATATAAAAACGAGTTTTGAATCTCATACTCAATTCTTTGCAAATACAGTGTACAAATTGATCAGAGCTGAAAACTTTAGAATGAGATATCCTTAATCCTAATTACTTAGTCTGAGTATTCAATGGACACAATTTTTATTTTCTTCTCAAACCGTTCTTTCTTGGATATAGTAGAAAAAAATCAAAAACCGATTTTTTTAAATTTAGAGAGTCTCTCCCACTTTTGTATATAATCTTAAATGGGGCGCGAAATTTCAAATTTATCGGCTTCATACACACGACTCTGATTGGTAAAATTTTTATACAATTTTCGGATACAAGATTAGGTTAGTCTCGATATTATGAAAAAGAATTAATCTCAATATCCACCATTCTAAAGTTTTCAGAGGCCGAATTTAAAGAATTGAGCGGCGGCTCAAATATGACTGGTTTTACTTAAAATTGTATTCAATGTTTCAAAATTTAAGCCGGCGCTCAATTGAAACCTGATTTTGGCGTATTTAAGACGCGGCTCAAATTCATTAAATTCGGACACAGATCAGTTTAATTTTCCTTAAAATTATGAAATCTGATTGATTGATATCTAACATATCAAGACCTATTATTGGTTGACACACACAAACGGTGTTAGATATTTTCTCAAAGAGATTTCCCCATGGGCAGCATTTTATTGTAAAGATGTTAGGTATACATTCCCAAAGACTTTCTCCGAAGGTTATTTTTACTCGTGACAATGTTGAAAATGTGCAATTTCAAAAGCTGCCTAGGTTAGGTTTGGTTGTGCCTGCTGAGGTCCCACAGGCTTCAATGAGGGCCGAGCGCTGCGGTTTGAATTGGCTAGGGGACCGAGCGCTGCGGCTAAAACAGGCCAAGGAAGCGAGCGCTGTGGTTAGGACAGACTTTAGAAGTGGCCACTTTGGAAACTGAGTTGTTAACCGGAAGTTGCCACTTGGGAAAATACCCTTGGGAATTTGCCGCTTGGGGAAAAGGCCTTTGGCCAAATACCTGACATCTTCACAAATGCTCTCCAATTTACACTTTCTATAGTTAAAGCTTAAAAGTTCTATCAAATTGAACAAATTTTGCACCAACAGAAAAGGTGAAAAAAGTTCTGTGTCCAAATTTAATGAATTTGAGCCACAGCTTAAATCTACCAAAAGCCGGTTTCAATTGAGCGCCGGCTTAAATCTTGAAAAATGCAATGAAATTTTAAGTGGAAATAACCATTTTGAGCCTCGGCTTAAATTTGTGCCGCGGCTTAAGTTCTTTATATTCGGCCTCTGATCTTCATTTTATAATAAATATTTAAAATCACGTGTACGGGAGGGTAAATTTTATTAATTTAGTAATATTTCTAATACATATTTTTCTCATTAGTAATAATTTCGTGAAATTCCTTATTGCAATTGTGTTTTTTAATCATATCAAAGCTTTTTCTCCATTATTATTTCATCCTCCCACCTCCGTACACACACAAATTCTTTTCTACATAAAAGCTGGCAAAGAGCATACTTTAGGCGTGGTCAGATGACATCATAAAGAAAGTTCTAGCTTTGTAAACAAATCTATTTATATGATAGATAGATATACAGCTATATAGTATATAGGATAGATAGATAGATATACAGCTAGAAAGTATACATATAGAGCTGACCTGCCTCCGCCCTAGTCTTATCCAATATTCAGGTAAGAGTACACATAATTTTGAAATCACTATTTTTATTTTATTTTATTCATTTGTCTGACTCGCAATAATACACATAAAGGGAGTGACCAGCTATGTAAGGTTATTTTAACTGAGTTTGCAGTGTTGTGGAAAATTTATTTCGGATTCATTTGAGACATTTTAAACTAATTCTGAAAACGTATCCACCCCCAAAGTAGGAGTTTGGAACGTCGAATTTGCACTCAAACTCAGGATTTACAGATCTTTAACACTGCATATTCAGTTCAACTACCTTACATAGCCGGTCACTAACTTTAACTAAAATGAATGAGATGTTTTTAAACTTTGAAAAAGGATTATTTCAAAGAGGATTTTGTCAGAATTGGACTCTTTTTCCCACGTCGTCAATTTGATACATATTTAAATGGTACCATGGTATCGGAAATGCAATTTTTTCTACAACGAGAGTCTTTTAAATTGGCAAAAAGGGCCTCAGTACACAAATATAGATCATCAGTTATTAATGAAAACGTTTATATGTTATGCATATTAAGTTTAATAAAAAGAAAAACTTTGCTTGCTGCTGAATATAGTTAATTAGAAACATCCTAAACTTCTTAAATTTATTAAATCAGTAAAGCGAGAAGGAGGGGGGGGGGAGGGGGGGTCTTCATCCCTCTTCCTTATCCTTATAAAAGTTGAAACCTAAACCACTAATAGAAAAACAGATTAAGCTCTATTTTGCTTCAATTACTCACTTCTAACGCTTCTGTTAAAAATATTAGTAATCTGAAACTTTAAAGAAAGGATTTATAAGAAGGCTTACAAAAACAGACAAATGAAAAGAAACACATTTAATTTAAAAAAAAATTTAAATTTGTATCCTAGAAATGTCTCGCTACCCATCAGCCTACGGACACACCCCCTCCTACCGTTCAGTAGGCGGTATGCCCGCCTACCCATCAGCACTAGGAGCTAGAGATTCTGATCTACTACTAGGGGTAACATCTTTTTATCAAATACAAAGCAATACACTGAAATTTTTTCAAACTTTTACTATTCAAAATTTGATGGAGCACAGAGCCAAAGAAATCGAGGATTTGCCACAAACTTTGATTTTCTAATATGCATTTCTTTTCAATCGAATGTGGTATATCTTAAATATTTCAAACTAGGAATTCAAAAAGTTTAAAATATTAAATGTTCACAACTCAGGTGTTAAAGGTATGATGATTAAACTATTTGTGTTTTTAACAATTACGTTTAACAAGCAAAACATTTGAAGACTAATGATTAATTTGGTGCTCCAACAAACTTCGCAGTTAAATGAAAATTTTAAATTTTGTTGTTTGAAGAATAATAAATAAATCTTTAAAGTTTTAAACTTTAATTTACTCATATTTTTTTTTTTTTTTGAAAGATTCTTTTCTTTTTAACTTTAGGTTTTTACAAAATTATATAAAGGTAAAAATAATTTTAATAATGCTAAATACTCTTTTACTAAAGTTTTGATTTTAATATTATTTATAAGAGTGGAGTTGCAAGCAGGACCTCTTCTGCTTTATCTTCAGACTTTGACCGGGAGTTCTCCTCTCTCAAGGTTAGATTTTGTTGTTGTTTTGTTAATTCATTTTTATTCCTCCAATTAATGTTGTTTTTAAATCTGAAAAGTGTTGAAATCTTAAAATGTCACTTTAGCATGAAAAACATGGTAAAAAGTTAATAAATTTAAGAAAATAAAACTAGGAGACTTTCATTGTTTTTTTGCTATAGACAAAGGTTTTTATACATATAGTACCGGTGTGATTCAAACATATGCCACATGGTAAAAAGTTAATAAATTTAAAGGGAGTGTTCGCGAAAAATAAAATGGGGCATAGGCTTAATGCGATAAAAAGATAATTGATGACTATATGATTTGTTTGAAATTAAATTGATTTTTTACGGTCTAAGTCGTATGTTGCAATTTTTTCAATTTGTATGGGTGCTAAGTTATTCGGTACTAGACGGCTTTAACAATGTTTTCCTTATAGACGCAACAGATAGAAGTAAGATTAGTAGAAATCAAAAGCGATTATTTTTCGCATTAAGCCTTTCATTTTTCGCGAACACTTCCTTAAGAAATAAAAACTAAGAGACTTTCATCTTTTTTTTTGCTATAGACAAAGGTTTAAATATAGTACCGGTGTGAATCAGACATGCCATTCTTGTTTTCTAAAAGGAAATAGGTCTATACTCTTAAAAAGACTTTACTTATTTTCTCGAGATTCAGTCTTTTTCGAAATCGTCACTAAAATAAATTTAATAATTCTTGGCAGTAATTTTAATAATGTTAAATTCATTTAGCTGAGAAGATATTTTAAAGGTAAATAAATCTAACTGTATGAATATTAAGCATATTCTATAGACAGAATTAATATATTCATAAATGTAAACTAAATTATGGAAATTGGTTAAATTAGAAACTACTTGATTGTTTACTTCATAATTTGATGGCTTTATAGACATTACAATTATTAAATGTATGTATTTAATAATTTAATGAACATGATATGTACATTGTACAGCAGTTGTGCAGTGTACTCTGTACACGGATCCATTTCACTTTTAAAGGGACTGTAATCGTAATTTTAAGTGACCTTTCATTTATAGAGTGGTATGTCTGATTTACAACGATACCCTCCTTGCATGATAAAAAATTTCGTAGATTTTCTTACTTATTTAGCGGGAAATTAAGTGCCAAGAACCCGCGCAAATAAAGATTAGTACGGAGTGTACAGTGTACACTGTAACCTCTAATCTCCCTAACTATAAAAACCTCATCGTTTTTAGGACACATGGTTTACAGGGTATTGGTGTGAATTGGACATGGCTATCTATAAATGAAGGGTCACTTACAAATTACGTTAACAGTCTCTTTAATAAGCTGATGTAAAACTATGTGCTTTATAACTTTTAATAACATCAAATAATTTTAAAGCAATAGATTGAGCTTTAAATATTCATAAATTTCTATTAGTCGAGCATGCTATCCGATCCTTTGCTGAGATCAGACTCCCTGCTGTCTGATCCCCTTCTCAGATCTGATCCCCTGATTAAGTATGATCCTCTCAGTAAATCCGCGTCTGCTTCATCTTATAAAGCATCAAACTACAGGTATATCATACAGTGGTCGACACAAATGGTGATTTATTAGACGACCTTCAATGAATTTAAACTGTATTTGCTGCTGCGGGATATTTATTGATTGTCTTATTTTTTTCAAGAGAAACATTTTTTTTACAGATTTCATTAAAACTGTGCAGTTCATTTTCTTGATAATAAAATCTTATTTTAAGCATACTAAATAAGCTTTTGAACTAATTGTGGTCCCTCTTTAGTTTTTTTTTCTGAATTTCTATAAATTAGAAGTAAAGATTTTGCAAAAATTCTTAGATCTCCTTTTTCTCAAACTCGAAAATTAAAACCTTTAATTTAAATTTTTTTAATTGAATCTACCAATTTTTACTTGGAGAATATGGCGCGTAAAAAGAATTTCACCTTAACTTTTAGATCAACATTTTCCAAAAGTTCAATATATACCGGATGTACTGCAAAGAAATTTTATTTTTAAAATGACTGTGAACGAAAAATAAAAGGTGGTATAGGCTGAAGCCTAAACATTTTAGAAGTTGATTGCGAATACTATTAGTTCTATCTTATGTTCTTATCTAGAGAAATTGATTAAAAAACTGTAATATAGTTATCAAAAGAAACATATGGCCGGCAGATCCTCGTGACCAGATACTGAACGGTCATTGGTGAAAATTCTAGCCACGTGATACATACAGAGCCACGTGACTAGTTAAAATTGAAATATTTTCAGTTCCAGTGAGGTTCGTAGTTCAGCTGATGGAGGCATTCCTCATAGAGCTTCTCATTCCGAGAATACTTATAAAAGCTCCAGGACAGGTAGTGCAGTTGATAGATAAACTAGAACTCGTATTTTAAAGGGACTGTAAATTTATATAAAGCTTAAAGGGACTGTAAAGGAAAAATGAATGGGGGTATAGACTGAAACCTCAGCATCTCAGAAGTTGAATGATACCTGTATAAGACATCAATCTGATGTTCCTGTCTTGATAAATTGACATACAACTTTGTCAAGATTATGCCAAAAACAATAATGTAAGATATATGTCAGGATCACGTGACCAGAACTTCCTCTAATGGCAGTGCAGTATCCTGTTCATGTGATACAGACAGAGATTCGTGGCAATAATACTGCGCTGCAATTGGTTGGAATTCTGGTGACATGTTCCGGACGCATAAATAGTATTATCAATTATATCTTTGAAAAATGAAAAATTATTAAATTCAAATAATAATACGAGCAAACCTGAGTTTCTCTGGCTCCTCTGTGATATCGTCGTTTTCAGAATGGTTGGGTATTTGTTGAATATGATCTGTTTAATACTATACGAATTTTATACGAAATCTTGCATTTATACGTTTTGGTAAAATCTTTACACAGTTTCATATCAATTTCTCAAAACAAGAACATCAGATAGAACGCTTATATGTCTCAACCAACTCCTGAGATTCTCAGGTTTCAGCCTATACCCCCTTTCATTTTTCCTTTACAGTCCCTTTAAAGTGACCTTCTATTGACAGTCTCATGTCCTATTCATCACGTGTATGCATAAAAGCTTTGTCTGGTCAAGGACCAGTAAATTTATCAATGTTTCTCCACACCAAGGACTTGCACATTTTTACCAACCATGGAGAAATTTTTGGAATTAAACACTTTCTAAGCTATAGTGCTAGAACATCATCATCATTATCATCTTCATCATTTTCGATCAGATAAAGGTGATTTGTATAGAGGGTCACCTGAAATTACGCCTACTGTCCCTTTACGTTTTTGTGAGAGTTATATATAAAAGTGGAATAGAAATACTATCACTGAAATGTAACAATGTGTTATTGTTCTTGTTATATTTTAGACCTTGCTCAATTCTTAGAAATACTATCTATGTAATATGCATTTATATTTTTTTATGATTTTTTTTTCATTCACAAGATTTCCCAGATTAATCAAAACTTACATTGTGTTCATCTTCTTTGTCATATGCTTTCATGATATAAGCGAAATCTTTTTTTTATGTATATTTTAACCCTATCCCTGTTGGGGTACTTAAAAACCAGGATACGCTGGGGGGAGGGCAATTCGACTCCCCCATCATCTTAGCACCATGTTTGATGTATCATTGGAAAACTCTTATACTCTACTTTTAGAATCTGCGAAAAAATATGCAAAGAAACTGAGTTTTTACCACCAACTTAAATTTTCTAATACCTATATCTTTGCAATCTGATGGGGTAGACCTTCGATATTTCAAATTGAGATTTTTTGGTCTAATATAATGATTAGTTTGAAATATCAAAGGTCTACGACATTGGGTTGCCATGATACAGGGTATAGAAAATCAGAGTTTGTGGCTAAAACTCAGTTCCTTTGCAAAAATTGTAATTTTTTTTGAAAAATCCAGTTATATAGTAAAAATGTTAAAAAAATGCCCAAAAAATGATAAAATATACATTTTTCAATAGCCCTTGACTATGCCATTTCAAATATGCAAAAATTCTAGCAAAATTTTAAATAACCTGATTCGTAATTAAGAAAAAATAAAAATATGCAAATGTCTTTTGACGGGTTGTATGCAAATAATTTTACAACTGAAAGTGGGTCAAAACAAAGATCTAGTTTGTTACAGGAAAAAGCAGTCATTCAGGCAGTGTGCCTGAGGACTCAGACAGTTAGTATCAAAGCCCGGTGTTAGACCTAAATGGTGGGCTATGGGTATTTAGGAAAAGTCAGAAAATTTNAAATTGACTTCTCCCCTCAGCAGGAACAGGGCTAATTATTTTTTTTTAAGGTGACTCTGGTATTCCACACACTTCCTATTCTCACTCATCAAACTCATTTGACTCAGATAGGTAATTCGATCCTTTTCAGTCATTATAACAAATTGATTTCAATTTTTAAAGTAAAATATTATTCAAGGAAGAGATTATTTTTGCGAAATAAACTGCAAACAGTATTTAATATCTAATACAATTTATTCACCAACTGTCATGTTTTGTGGGACACCGTGTAAATGATGTCATCTTTTGTTTATCTAAATATTGAAACCTTGCAACCTTATTTATTCATGAGAGTAAGTCGTGGATTTCTACAAACAAAATAATGTTTAAAACATAATTCATCATCCAGTGACCGAATTAAATGAATTAGAGCCGCTGCTTAAATCTGCCAAAAACCGGTTTCAATTGAGCGCCGGCTTAAATCTTGAAAAATTTAATACAATTTTAAGTAGAACCAACCATATTTGAGTCGCTGCTTAAATTTAAGACGCGGCTCAAATTCTTTAAATTCGGCCTCATGAGAGAGACACTAAAACATTTTTATGTCCGCGTAATTTCATGTGACCCTCCCGTGAAACCTTTGACTCTTGATCGAGTACGCTGTGTACAATTTGACCTAAACATAGATCAAGGTTATAAGCCAAGGAAAGTTAATTGCAGTTGCGTATACTCTGCTTACGCATTGGCACCAGTTCTCTCTGGGCGAAATTTGTAAACAAGAATAGGTGCATCAGTGTTTGTTTAGTATCCGAGGAGGATAGAAGCATTGAATGTTGATAATTTTGATAATTCACATAATAGTTTTCTATGACCAGAATATTTCATTGATTTTATTTGAAATATGGATCCCATGTCAGGCTGTGACATCCGTCTTGTGTTTACATTTCCGCCCGGAGACAGTACACTGCAGTACAAAAGATGCGTACGCCTCTGAAATAACTTTCCTTGCAAATTAACCTTGACACAGATGATGCCCTACTTTTCGCGAAAAAAATCTTGCGAAATTTCGCTTCATTTATTTTCGCGAAACGTTTCGTTTGCTGGAAACCCTAGTTCAGTCTAATAATGGTGTATAGAAAACGTTTACTAAAATAATAAAGAATGATAAACTAGTAAATGAAGGCTGTCAGGGAACTCAATGAAAGGTATATATTTATACAAGGCAGTTGGCTTGAAAGATTGAAGCTATTTATACAGGCTAGCAAACTGCTCTCCTTTTAATGAATGTTTGACAGAGTGCCCAGAAAAACATTATTCCAAAGGATTCTATGACGTCATTTTTGTTTAGACTTCATCGTAAATCCTCCAAATATATGTTGAAATCTTTGTTTTTTTTTATCTACTAGGCTTTAACTTCTAATTGTGGCTCTCTGTGAACATCTTCTCTTTGTACAGTATATAAAACAATAACAGAAAAAAAGTTTATGGTTAATTTCCAAAATTTTACAAAAATCAAAATCTTTTAGATTTAATTTTTTGCAATTTTTATCATTTAAAACCTTCCCTGAAATATGAGGTCCCAGAAAAAAATTGGGCCCGATCGGTTTAGCCGTTTTGACGTTTATTGGATACAAACAAACAGACAGATTCACAAGCTAAATTATATATAAACTAGCCTTAGAGGGCGCTTCGCGCCCATCTTCTAAACTAATTGCGAACATGTTCTCTTTGTGTACATCGTAAAACAAAACAAAAATAATTCGCGGATTTTCACAAAAAAATTCGTGGATTTTCAAAATTTTCAAAAATTTCCACATAGAAAAAGGCATTAGAGAATAGTTATAGGGTTGAATAACATGTTCATAGCCCAATTTTTCAAGGCATGCTCAAGAAAAAATTAGACCGATAACTTTAATAGTTTGGGTGCTAGAGAGGGTTGAAAAAAATACCTAAAAAAGGGTAAAAAAAAATTTAAAAATATTTTTTTGTTTTAAACAAATATCAAAGTGTAACACATGTTTCTACATGCATTTTTCAAGGGCTTTTCAAAACTACGGTTTTTAGATCTGTATCTTTAGTCACAAAAAAATTATGGGCTATTTTAGATTTTTTTTTGCAGCCCGGACTATTTTTCACCCCGTACCCTACCCTACAAATTAAAAAAAAATATTTATTTTACAAAAATTCTTTAAAATACTATTTATTAAAAGTCAGAAAATTTCACGGTGATAGTGTCAAAAATAAGAGTGCAAGGACAAAAAAAACTACAGGGGAGGGCGCCAAACACCCCCCCCCCAGCCTTGTTTATGGTTAAACTAAAATTTTAAAATTTTGTTTACTTTTCTTTTTTTAAATCTATCTAATATTTGAAAATTGTTTTAGGCCTTATGGAAGCCGTTCGTCTCACTTCTCCTACAACATATAACTCAAAACCAGGATTTAAAATTTCATCTTAAGAATCTTATTCGATGCCATTTTAACTAAATTTGGATTAAAAGGATGATATTCTATTATTGTAAAGTCAATTATCTTTAAAACTGGATGAATATCATATCCTTAAATAAACTAGAACAGCAAGACAGTAATTATTCAAGTTGTGTCTAGCTCATATAGCTATCATTTCATTATTTCGTTTTTAACTAAATATTTATATTCAATTGATGATTTTTGCGTTGATTTTTGACAGGATTAATATTTTGATTTTTAAACATATTAAAAACATTTGCTGTTATGTACAAAGTTATATTTGATAATAAATAATAATTGAGATGATTTTTTTGCTCACCCCCTCCCCCTCTCTCTAACCCATTCTCCCTCCGTTTTCCTAGTCTTCCCCCACCCCTTTTCTATCCTTTCCCCCGCCCTTCCCCTCCTTCCCCCTCCCTATCAACAAGACACCGCTCTGGCTTATTTTCAGATCTCTGAATGAAATCTACATTTTAATTAGATATATTCCTTTTGTACTCACGCCTTTTGTGTTTTTTTTTTACTCAGAAGGACTAAGGAGTATGAAATAGAAGGGAGATATAACAAACCCAGGGCCGGCTCGCCCTACCATATGATGATACATGCTTTGCAGACAGTACTTCATTTGAATAAGAAATATCTGTCTGATGACAATACCGCGTATACAATAACCTATTCTGAATATTTCTTCTACAGATGGAGTACCCGTCTGCAAAGCATGTATAATCATATGGCAGGACGGACCACGTCAGTTGTATCTCCCTTCTATTCATACTCCTTTATCAGTACTTAGCTTTAAAAACTAGAGATGGGCATAATTTTTGTGGACAAAATAAATTTTTTTTGTGAACAATGGTGTCGTTTGGAATGATCAATGAACGATTTAAATCGTTCAGAGAAAATAAAAAACTATTGTTTTTTAAACGGACAAAACACAAAACCGAACAATTTAAAATTGTTAACGATAGTTCAAATTTTTTGGATTAGCCAGACGTTAACAACATGTTCTTGAACGAACTTGAAAAAAACGATCATATTGAACAAAATTTGGAGAAAAAATATTTTTTTTCACTAAAGGCACATTATAATTTTTGAACTGAACGGACAATTTTATTGAACGATCGTTTTGTTAGAAACAAACGAAATAATATGGAAAGTAAATATAAATTCTGAAAATGAACAAAATTCAACTTTTTCTGAAAGACCAAAAAAGTGAACAAAATGGGTCGTTAACAAACGATTAATGAACGAATTAAAAAAAATCGACTCTATTTAAAACCCAGTTAATTGGAAAGATAAGAATGTCTCATTTTATATTTATTTCAACGAAGAGAAAAAAGATGCATTTAAAACCACATTAATAATGCATTCATTGATAAACACAACACATCTTCAGAAGGATATAATTAAGTGCAATGGATTATACTGATAAGATGAAATGGTTTTATTTCATTGGGTGTTCCGGAACCCAGTAAAGACTGTGCTAGCACATATATAAATGTTATATCGAAATTATATTTATCATTTTACAGTTGAAATTGCTCTAATTAGCTTCAGCTAATGGCTCCTCTTGGTTGCTGATTTTGTATCCGACCGGGTTGTATCCCAAGTAGTATGGGTTGTAGGCTCCTCGATTGAATGCAGTTGGGTTGTAAGCAGAGTATGAATAGGGATTCAAGTTATTGTAACCGTAGGGTGCTGCGCTGTAAGGAAGATGATTAAAGGGTATTCCATTGTAAGGAATAGCATTGTAAGGAACACCATTGTAAGGAACAGCATTGTAAGTTTGAGTATTGTAGGGGTAACCATTGTAGGGAAGGTTGGTTAGAGGGAGAATGTTATTCTTAAATGGAGAAACTGGTTGAAGTTGTTCAGGGACCTGTAATGCATATTTTAAATATATATGTCGTCTTTGATGGAACAAAAACAGAACAATCATTAGTTTAAAATGTCAAACTTCGATATGTTTTATCCATTTATAATGCTGAGAAAGTTAGAGCTTGTTCAGATCCTTTACTATCTTCCAATATTTCTATTTTGTTTTCATTTCATTAAAAATTTTCTTGAATTAACACAGAAATCAAAGAAATAAAATCACCTTTCAAGAAAACTTTAATTTTTCTCTCAGAAAATATTTACCGAATTCAAAATTGGAACCATTTTTACATCACTGTACACTTTTTAAAGCCTTTGTTACTCCCGGGATACTAGTAGGTTCCCTTTGTTACTCCCGGGATACTAGTGGGTTCCCTCATTATTTTGCCAATTTGGTTTAGCCGTTCGGCCAGCTGCTATAGCTAAAATATCAATATATATATTTTTGATAGAAGAACTTTATTATATAAATGGAAACATAATTAAAATTTAAAGCAGTTAGATAAATCTGAAATATTAGAGTAAAAAATACCTGGCTGCCTGGAATAGGAGCAGCAGTGTCTAGAGTAGTGATGGAGTAGGAGTAGGGGAGTCCAGTCTTAGGGTCATGAGCTGATACTTGAACATCAGTTGAGCCGTAGATAGAGCAAACCAGTACAACCAGAACTATCTACAGTACAAAAGATATATTATAAAACTATCTGCAGTATAATAGATATATTATAGAGCTATCTACAGTACAATAGATATATTATAGAACTATCTACAGTACGATAGATATATTATAGAACTATCTACAGTACAATAGATAAATTATAGAAATATCTACAGTACAATAGATATATTATAGAACTATCTGCAGTACAATAGATATATTATAGAACTATCTACAGTACAATAGATATATTAAAGAACTATCTGCAGTACAATAGATATATTATAGTCAATAGATATATCATAGAACAATCTGCAGTACAATACAGATATTATAGAACTATCTGCAGTACACTACGGATATCATAGAACTGTCTGCAGTACAATACGGATGTTATTTAACTATTTGCAGTACACTACGGATATTATAGAACTATCTGCAGTACACTACGGATATCATAGAACTATCTGCAGTACAATACGGATGTTATAGAACTATCTGCAGTACAATACTGATATCATAGAACTATCTGCAGTACACTACGGATATCATAGAACTATCTACACTACACTATGGATATTATAGAACTATCTGCAGTACATTACAGATATTATAGAACTATCTACAGTACACTACGGATACTATAGAACTATCTGCAGTACAATACGGATATTATAGAACTATCTGCAGTACAATAGATATATGCAGTACAATACGGATATTATAGAACTATCTGCAGTACAATAGATATATAATATAACTATCTACAGTACACTACGGATATTATAGAACTATCTGCAGTACAATAGATATATAATATAACTATCTACAGTACACTACGGATATTATAGAACTATCTACAGTACAATAGATATATTATAGAACTATCTGCAGTACAATAGATATATAATAGAACTATCTGCAGTACACTACGGATATTATAGAACTATCTACAGTACAATACGGATATTATAGAACTATCTGCAGTACAATACGGATATCATAGACATTTTACATTAACACTTAAAGCTCGGCCCGATCTCGATAGTTTCTGCATAATTTTCATAAGTATGTAGATGACTGTAAATCCTGTTTAGATTAAGATTTAACAGACTAATCAAGATGTTATAAGTTTAATTCTTGCCAAGACTGTATACAACATGGATGAAAACAAATGAAGAGCATCAAAGGAAGAAGTTTTGATTAAAGCAGTTTAAACTTTTGTAGACAGGCAGTAGAGGCATGGGAATAGGGGCAATCTACCCTTTTCTTGGCAACTTTAAGGTTTTTGTGTACACATTGTAAACAACTCAAGTTTTTAGTTCTAAATTAGCACTGCTTTCTGCAAACTTTATAGAAGCCGAAATTAAATAAAATGTTCATGGAAATAATTATGGTTTTTACCGACACATTTGTTTGTTTAAAACAGTTTACTTTTTCTTAAAGGGAGTGTTAGCGAACAATTGGAGGGTGTAGGCTGATATTGAATGAAATTCAATATTGATCACTTCTATTTTTACTTTTATCTGTTGCGTATATATATAGGTATCTTTTATCCAGGAGCGTACTGCTACCCATAGATCGTAAACAATTCAATTAAAATTAAATTAATTATACAGATATATGTCGAATTGAATTGATGCATTTGTAAATATAGCTGATAATTCATAATATTTTTTGTAGAAAGTATAGATAATAGTAAGTATATTAACCCTATAGAAAATGTTGGTTAAAATTTGTTTCATAAAAGACCATTGCTTACCAAGCACTTCATGTTGTTGACTGCTTTAGATCTTCTAGAGTAACTGAATGCTGTTAAGGTTACCTGGTTTATATATACACATATTTGTATTCGGAATTATGGGGAGCAGGGGGGGGGGGGGGAGTTACATACCAGAGATACCAGTGTAAAAAGAATTTGAGTTTAAAAATTAGGATTGATATTTATGTCTGTCTACCCTTTGTTCTTAAAGGGACTGTAAGCGTAATTTTAAATTACTTGTCCATTATGCGATTTACATTGGTACCCTTGGAACCTTAATCTGATCAAAAATGTGGAAAGTACCCGAAATGTACTTTTTTGAATTGCTCTATTGCTTCGAATGATAAAGGAATGCACAAGTCACTTTCGCAGAGAAACCGCAAAAGAAAATAAACTGTTTAACCCTGCAACTGCTGGGGTACTTGAAAACCAGGATTCACTGGGGGGGGGGTCAAGTTGGACCCCCCCCCCTCTAAATCCCATGTTTAATGTCCATATACAACAAATGATACATCATTGAAAAGCTCTTAAAATCTTCAAAAAAATTGTAAATCTACAAAAAAAATAGTTTTATTACAAAACCCCGTTATATATTAAAAATGTTTGTTAACATAGAATTTCCTTAAAATGATAAAATATACATTTTCGAAAAGTCCTTGACCATATGCCATTACAAATATGCAAAAACGTTTTTAACATTTTAAGTAACCTGATGTGTAATTAAGAAAAACTAAAAATGTGCACATTTTTTTCACGGGTTGTTTGCAAATATTTTGCAAAAATTGTGCAAATCGTTTCCTTATGTTGTAGGCTTTTCAAAAAGGTAAAAGTTCTCAAAATCTGACGACTGAAATTTGGTCAAGACTTAAAGATCTAGTTTGTTACTGGAAAAAGTAGTCATTCAGGCAGTGTGTCTGAGGACTCAGGCAGTTAGTATAAAAGCTCGGTTTTAGACTTTTTAAGTTATGTAAAAATAACTACGGGGGGGGGTCAAATTCCCCCCCCCCAGCAGGAATAGGGTTAAAGAAACGAAAACATTGATAACTAATTCATACTTGATATGACAAAGCTCTTACGGACACAGGCAGCCGTAGTACATATGAATTTCCGAGCCGGGTTAACCTTTCCGGACCCAGTTTGTACTGTATCCCCCCGGTGCAACAAGGTTGACACGGTCACACTTTAGGTTGAATTTACTTTTACTAAAGGGTCAGAGTTGCCTGAGGGTACCGTTGAGAATCGGGCATTGCCATCTTTGCATGGAGGCTCATTTGAAATTTCGCTCACAGTCCCTTTAATAACGATTTATAATAAAACAATCAAAATAAATGTTTTTATTTCAATTCAATTCTTAAACAAACAACCAATTTGATTTTTAAACAAGCAAAAAATAGAAGATAAAAATTTGAAAAAAAGCCCCCCGACTTCATGTGTATAGCTTATTTAAAAACTTTTAGATTTTAAATGAATTTTGTTGAAACGTAGGTGGGCATCGACAATAATATGTTAGGTTGGCTGGTTGGTAATTTGGTTTTGTATTTATGGTCAACAAGATTGTTTAACACTGTTTAATTTTTTCGGTGAAATTTATTATATGTTTCATTTAAGTGATTGTATTGGTAATTTGTATGCACTTTATTAAAAACCTGAGGTCCGCCAAATCTACAAATTGCCGCCTCTTTTCATTTTATTACTCTATCAGTTGTTTAATCTATTTAATTACGCGTTATTTGTGTATCCATGCTATTTGAAAGCTTGGTAGAAATAAAAAAAATTAAAACGGAGTCGTCTTCATTGTATTGATATATACGACGCCGACTGTTGAAAATTAAATTTGGAAATAAAAGTTTTGCAAGTATCTGAAAAAGCCATCTTATTTCAAATTTGTTTTCGTTTTTAATTTGGAGGTTCAATTTAAAGTAAAGGAATAATAATTGTCCTAAAACATTTTTTTAAAGTGAATATTTGTAAATTATCTTTTTTCCATCTGATAATCTGAGTTTGTTTCCCTGATGTCCATTTGAAAGCCCAAATTTTTATTTTGAATAATCCTTTTTGTTTGTTCATTTTCTTGTGATTTTTAACAAACATTTTTATATTTTTTTTATCGATTTTGATTGTTATGATATCGTTAGAACTGACGAGGGTCAAACCAGACCGAAATATATTTTCAAGAAATGTGGAACTAACATCTACTTTTTTACTCTACAGAGGCTGGGTCCATCACCATCACCGAATTTTAAATTTTAAATAATGATGTTTTTATATTGTGTTTGTATATACTGTGTTTGTATATTGTGTTTTTTATATACTGTGTTTGTATATTGTGTTTGTATATACTGTTATATTGTGTTTGTATATACTGTGTTTGTATATTGTGTTCTTTATATACTGTGTTTGTATATTGTGTTTGTATATACTGTGTTTGTATATTGTGTTTGTATATACTGTTTTTGTATATTGTGTTTGTATATACTGTGTTTGTATATTGTGTTCTTTATATACTGTGTTTGTATATTGTGTTTGTATATACTGTGTTTGTATATTGTGTTTGTATATACTGTGTTTTTTAAATATTTTTTTTCAATTAGAGTCTGGGAAGAAATCATCATCATTGGAGTAGCATTGGAGCCCCTTTTTCATTGGAGACCCCAAGATTTTCATTGGATACCCATATTTTTATTGCAGACTCCATATTTTCGTTGGAGACCCAAGATTTTCATTGGACTACTAGATTTTCATTGGAGATCCGCAGTTTTTCATTGGATATCTCATTTTTTTTTCGTTAAGAGGTCTCCAATATAAAATCTGGGGATCTTCAACAAGAATCTAGGTGTCTCCAACAACAAAGGGGTCTCATACGGGAATATGGGGGTCTCCAACGAAATTATGAGGTCTCCACCAAAAATATTCTCCATCGAGAATCTTGGAGTCTCCAACGAAACGTCCTGGGGGATCTCCAATGAAAGGGGCTCCAATAGTACTCCAATGATTATGATTTCTTGCCAGACTCTTACAATTAAAGATATATTGAGAAAATTTGTGCTATAGTTCCAACTGTCGACGAAAATAATATTTCTTTTATTATTCTTTCGTTTTAGGCTTTACATTTTGTGGACCAAGGACACGATTCATTTTCTTTCTATTTCTAACAATTCTTATAAATCTATTTCCCGCATTTTTGTCAAATCTTCCCTGGGTTGATTGAATTACGGCAAAAGTGGTGAAAATCTCCGAATTTTTGATTATGATTCAAAGTAGAAGATATAAAAAGGAATTGTATGCAGAAACCTTAGTTCCAATAATAAAAAACAAATTTATCATGTGTAATCTAAAATCTCAATTAAAAATTTAAAAATGTGATCATTTAGTTTTAATATAAGCACTTTATGAAAATTAAGATATTACCTCATGAATTTGTTATGGTAATAAACTACAAATTGATGTAAGATATAAAAATATATTATGACTTCATAAGACATTGAGTACTATGATCATTGAAATACCTGTATTGTTATTAGATTCCTGTATATATATATTATAAATATAGAAAACCAAATTATGAAATAGGCTTGTTTCATAAATGAACAATCATCATGTACTCTACTGCATATAATTTGTGAACATTTCCATGATTTGTACACTTTGAACTCCCTTTCAGGCTGAAAGGGAACGACAAAATTCATACCGATGAATTTTCTAAATTCCACTCTAATATATATTCTTTTCTCTTTGGTTATAAGTAATAGTCTAAAAGACGACAACAAAATCAAACAAAAATGGCTAGTTATGAGTAAGAATTAGGGATCGGCATAGTTTTAAAAACGATCTCGGATCCTTTTGGATTTTTAAAAAATAACAAACATTCGTTTTTGGAAAAACCGAATTGTTAAAACTATAACAAAGTGTTAGTTTTAAGCTTTTGAAAACGATAGTTCCATACACTACAGTTTTATAAACGATAGTTCCATACACTACAGTTTTATAAACGATAGTTCCATACACTACAGTTTTATAAACGATAGTTCCATACACTACAGTTTTATTAACGATAGTTTCATACACTATAGTTTTATAAAAAAAATTATAAGTATTTTTTTATTTTTAGATGTTTTAAGAGTTTTCAGAACTTCAACTAAACATTACTACGACTTAAAAACTTCTCTTAGGACGAACTTATTGTGTGACTAAGCCTTATTTGACTTAAATAAAAGGTTTATGGCGTAAACTTGATATTGCTGATCCCCCCCCCCTCCCCTAGAGAAACACGCAGTAAGCCCTGTTCCCATTAACAATATAAAAGTTGGGAGCTTTTACTGTTAATTTTACTCTCGGTATTGATTTTCTTTTTTAATTTGATCATAATTGTTTATTTGTTCATTTCTTCTTGTTAAACTGCATAAACTATACTCAGCTTGTGCTTGGTATAGCAACGTTTTTATTTATCAAGACACTCATATATATATATATAATACATTTATTCTCTAATACAGGGTATCCCACGAAACATGACAGTTGGTGAATAATTTAAAATGTCTTCTTCCATAATTACTTAAATTGTTTACTACCAATAAAAATATTCAATGGTAGTTATATTATAGTAAAATTGGTTTCAAAGTAAAATATATTTTAGTAAACAATTTTACCGTACGAAAAAAAATGCCAAAAGTCTTTAATATTAATAAGGAAGAAGACATTCCAAATTGTTTACCGACTGTCATGTTTCGCGGGACACCCTGTAGGACAGGTCACGAATTTTTAATTCTTTAAAATATGGCTCTCATAGTCCTACATATTAAGCAGTTAAATGTCTTAATCTTGTAAATAAACTGTAAATATTTTTGATATGATTATCAACTTGACAATGTTGTTGAACAAACCTTGTTTGAAACTTGTGACCTATCCCTTTATTTCTTAAATATTTTACAACAATGTTAGAACTTGTAACAAAATAAAGAGGCTACATCTCATATAAAGGGGTTCATGTTTACAATGTACATTCAAGAACATTAAATTCAATATTTTTCGTACAATTTCATTTTTTAAGTAGCATGGTATATATAAACAATACATATATACATTATAATTATCACAAGTTTAATTCATATATGCTAAAGGTTACAATAACACATACCAGAAACATATTTATTTTATTCAATTCCGCAATTTTACTCTTAACATCAATATGTCGGAACAAAAAGTGATTTATTTGTTTGTGCGCGGATAAAAGAAATATTGCCCAGGCAAAAAACTGTATTTACATTATTTCAAGAACTTTCATATATTTTTAGCAAAAAGAAAATTTAAAATTCTGTTTTACCCTCAAGAGAAGAGATTTCAAAAGGATTTTGTCTGGTGCTTTATAATGTCCTACATAAATTGAAATAATTGATACATTTTAAGCAACTCCATAATCATTGGCAGTCGTAGTACATTTGAATTTCCGAGCCGGGTCAACCTTTCCGGTCCCAGTTAGTATTGTATCCCCCGGACATTGGGTAGATATAGCAGACGCTTAATAGGACTAGCCGGTGCAACAAGGTTGACGCGGTCAGACTTTAGGTTGAATTTACTTTTACGAAAGGGTCAGAGATACGTGAATAGACATTCCGTTATCACTTAAAAATAGGGTCATTTAAAACCAATACAATTGTTACAACAATCTTAAAATATACAAGTGTATAGCTGAAAGCAAACGGGAATTATTATTATTTTATATCTTAGGTTATTTGATCTATCAGCATCCATAGATTGAAAAATCAACGAACTACGACATTTGGTTGCAAAGATATAATGATTAGAAAATTAGAGCTTGTGGCAAAGACCTGATTTCTTTATAATTTCTGTTTCTCTCTTAAACTTTGTGCAGTGAGTCTGCATTTTTATGATGCATTTGTTAGTTTTTCAACTTTGTGCTGAAGAACAACATTTTTTAACTCAACTTTTTAAGTTTAAAAAAATCCGCATTCAAGAAAATTTCACCTATTTTTGTATTGCAAAAGCAAGGTTGTATTTAGCATAAATATACCATGAATAAATTTGTGGAAAATGACAGCGGTAAATGGGATTTGTCACTTGTGTCATCGAATGACAATGACAGTTTTGTCAAAAATACACTCTTTATATTCAAGATAAAATATAAATCTGAAACTGACATGAACGCGTTAAAATAATTTTTAAAGGAGTTGAGTCGCAAATTTTCTAAGGCCAATTTTTCTGCAACCTGGTGTTGTAAACCTTTGATATTTTAAACTTAGATTAGATGTTTAGATATAATTTTTAGTTTGACATATATAAGTTCTACTTATTGGGTAAAAAGATATAGGAATTAGAAAATTGGCAAAGACTCAATTCCTTTAACGGATAGCAAAAAATTTACATTTTGGTTAAATATTAACAACATTATAACAATAAATATACAAAACATACTTTTTAGAAATATTTAACAAAATGTTCATAATTTAGTAAATTTCTATCAAGTTTTTAATTGTTCACTTTAATCAGAGGAAGAAGATTTACCAACACATTGTTCAGTTATCTAAAGCTCAAGTACATAGACTTAAAATCTGGAACTTTTCATCCTAAGCAAATAACTCTTGTACTTTTGTATCCTAGGTATATGTATCCACTATTTTTGTGTCCAGGACTCTCTTGTGTACTTTGTAACTCTTCCACATATTGTCTTAGAGGTTTGTCTAGTGGCCTAGAGGTTTGTCTAGAGGCCTAGAGGTTTGTGTAGAGGCCTAGAGGTTTGTATAGAGGCCTAGAGGTTTGTCTAGTGGCCTAGAGGTTTGTCTAGTGGCCTAGAGGTTTGTCTAGTGGCCTAGTCCAAGAACTCTTTTGAAGGCTTTTCTAAACTCTGGATTGAAAATTGTGTAGATTATTGGATTAACGCAGGAATTGATATATCCTGAACCATCATATCGGATTAAATAATATTTAATTTAAATCTAAAATAATGGATGGAGACAGCCAAAGTTATAGTATTTTATAGAACTGTTTTCATTGCCGTGTTCAGCTGAATTTTAAATTGTGTTGTTCAGATAAATAAAACTTGTTTTTTTTAATAATCAAGAGAATTGAGTCTTTGCCAAAAACTAAAATTTTCGAATTACAATATCTTTGCAACCTGATAGTGTAAACCTTTGTTATTTCTTAAAACTTATACAATCAAAGGCTACCAGAACTCAGAGTTTGAAATATATCAGGTCTACCTTTCGACGACATTAAGATGCAAAGATATAGGGATTCAAAATCAGAGTTTGTGGCAATGAGTCATTCCTTATGAGCAGGAACTGGTACAGAGATATTTCAATATTATTTATAAAAAGTATTTGATCCAGTTTATAAAAGCTCTATGAATGAAAAGAAAATATTGTTTTACGAAATTGGTAACAGAAAATAAAAAAATGATTGTTAAAAAATATTATTCATTCGTGAAGACTTTTGAGAGTTTTTTTTCCAAGATCTCAATTTAAAAAAGTCAATAATAAAAATTAATTATTTACATTCATGAGTACCCTCTCCAATTCATGCCAGAATATGATAACTTTTGTTGTGCTTTGATTCCAATGTTAGAATTATTCAAAAGCGAGCTAGTTGAACTAGATAGTTGAACTAGTTACGGATAGTTTCAATGACCGAGTGTGCACAAAAATTCTCAGACCAGATCCAAGAATTATCGATCTACTCAAAGGGACTGCAAGCGTAATTTTATGTGACCTTCTATTCGTTAAGTGGCATGTTCAAATTACAACAATACCCTTTAAACCGTTGTCTGATCTGATCAAGGATATTGTAGATATTCTTATTTATTAAGCGGGAAATTAAGTGCCAAGAAACCTGGCGAGTATACACTAGCACGTAGTGTACAGTGTACACTGTAACCGATCGAGTCCCCCGAGCCCAAAACTTAAGACAGGGTATCAATATGAAAACCAGTTTTGAAACCCGGGTTTCACGAATGGGGTGAGGCAGTTTTGTTGATATCAATATTTTTGTTATGAAATATTATTTTTATAGTTTCTTCATGTATTCTTCTTTTTTGTTGAATCTTTTAAATCAAAATCTACAAAATGTTAAGATCCCAAAAAGGAAACTCGGAAGTTTTGTTCACCGATACTCTTTTAAATTTCAGACTCCAGGCACTCAATATCTTCAGTAGATATACAAATGAGAGAGTATCTACCATATCGATGTGCATACAAAGGTTTAAATGGTACCGTTGTGAATTGGAAATTTCTAACTTTAATTGGAAAGTTTCTTGACATTACGCTTACAGTCCTTTTAAGTGGTTCAACTAAGTTTACGTAGTTCAACTACGTCTAACTATTTGTTAAATCTCGTCCCATAACAAATAAATACACGCTACTGACTGAAGAAAGATCTATTTTAAATGGATATGATGCCTAGGAGAGTTGTAGCGAAGAAGGCGACCTCCCCTGGACTTGTGTTCAAGTTGAACTTCATGCTGAGAGCGTCCAACAGACTGCACAGGAAGAACGGTGTCCAGCACACCAGGAAGCAAACTAAGTATAAACAGAGCTATAGAACAATAGTACGATGGATTATTCACGAGAAAACAGAAGAAAATGGAGATTTAGAAAAACAAAAATGTCAAAATATTTGCAGCTGCTGTAATCTAAATATTTATAGAATTTTGTTAAAATGAAAATAAAAAATAAATATGTTAAAAAAAACAGTTGGGAACTTTTAGAATTAGATATACCCTTAATGCAGATAGCTTAATCTGAATATCCAATGTGGACACTTTTAATGTCATACATAATCCGCTCTTTTTCTCTCTTTTTGGATATCCCTTTATTGGAGTTCTCTCATTAAATGGAATGCAACATTTCAAATTTCCCGGTTTCTGATTAGCTGTTCGGAATTCTGCATTCGCCTCTCTATTGGTTGAATTTTATAAACTTTTCAGGTTACAAACTAAAGATCTATTTAACCTAGATAGAGATTAATAAAAAGAGCTGATTAAGCATTGATCTCGATATCCGCAATTCTAAATTTTTCAGCTCTAGAATTGAAAACCACTGAAAGATAGCCTGTAAAGTTTTACTAACAAAGAATGAAACTTTAGATTTCAGAGACGACTGTACAGTGTACAGTGTGTTTTCATACACAACTTAAAGGCTTCAAATTGAAGCAAAAATAAAAAATTCAACCTTTAGATAGTTGTATTCAAAGAAATTGAAATCATCACAAAAGTTTGAAATCTTGTATCAAAGCAAAAAAGTGACGTTTTAAGATAAATGAGAAATTTTGGTGTTTAAATGATCATATACCTTTAATCAAAATCAACGTTTGTTACTTTTAGAGAAGTTTAATATATATTTTAAACTTGCTTAAGATCTTCATTATTCTTAAATATAAACTTCGAGTTTCATTTTTTTTTTCATTTATCATTGACATTTATGTCAATTTTGATATTGTAAAATGCACTTCTAACAGTAGGATGACAAATTGACCAAACTAAAGGTCACAAACCTCATTTAAAAAAAAAAACTTTAATCATAAAACAATGAAAGACATGTTTAATGGTAGCATGCCAAGAATATTCAAATAAAGACTGTTTATACCATGCAATGATGTAAAATTTAATTACATCACATTAGATTGAAATCTAAGAAAAAAATTGTAAAGTCCTTGAAAATATTTGTTTCTATTAAAATTAAAGAAAAGAAAAACAATGAATTGTTTACCAAAAGAAAATCTCAAACACAGGATCATTGTTCAAACCAGAAATGTTTTGAAATAAAAATATATTTTTTAGGAATTCTTCCTTATCAAAAGTTTCTTTATTAGTTTTCCAATAATTCTGGATTTGTGGTTTATCAATGGATAGAAGAACATTTTATATATATATATATATATATATACTTTGCTTGTATGTTTGTTTGTTTGATTGTAACCCCAAAACGTCAAAACGGCTGAACCGATCGGACTAACTCAACCTTTTTTGGGACCTCACATGACCCCAGGGAATGTTTATGGAACATCAAAACTGAAATGAAAAATCTTGAAAATAGTTGGAATTTCTTTTTAATTCGCAAATTCGAAAAATATCTGCCAAAATTTGAAAATTATTTTAATGGCCGAATCTTAAAGAACAGTTAAAAGACCAAATTAATCACAGGAGTGTGGGCGCCAAGCGCCCATGTTAGCCCATTAATAGAATATTGTTACAAATGGGAGGGAATTCTCTGTCTCTATACATTATATATTGTACTAAGGAATAAGATTGATTAAAATGAGAGATAGTAGCTAAGAAAACTCTTAATACAAAAGATTTGATTAACTACCTGGAAGTTTGAAATTTTGGTTTATCAAACTTTAAATGATTGATCCAATAAAATTCGAATTTAGTATGATAAAGCTAAACCAACTCGGCTGAAAGGACTTGAAAATTAAAATACTTTGAGATTAATAAGTTCTATTATTTTATGATTATGTGAAAACAAAAACAGTGATTTATCCTTATTTCTAATTTGTGCCGTCTCAAAAATAGCTATGTAAAGGAATTGATTCTTTGCCACAAACTTAAATTTTCTAATCTTTACATCTTTGCAACCTGATGGTGTAAACCTTTGATATTTATATTTATATACAATACACAGATATACAGATTAGAAAATAAGAATTTGTGGCAAAGACTAAATTCCTTCATAAAAAATTTAAAAAAATAGTATTTCAACCCAAGATTCATACTAATTTCTTAACCGTTAAAATCTCTATCAAATTAAATAAAAACTGTATATTATAGAAGAAATTGTTTAAGTCTGGAAAAGACGCCAAAACACGAAAATTATAAAACTTTAAATGGCCCAGACAAAAGGATTTGAGTCTTTGCCACAAACTCTGATTTTCTAATCCCTATATCTTTTTCATCCAATGTCGTAGACCAAGATATTTCAAACTATGAATTATGTAAAATCAAATATTTCAAGTTTCAAAATATCAAAATATCAAAGGGATAAAGGGATTTGAGTTTGTGGAAAAAACTCAGTTCCTTAGCAGACGACTTTCTGCATGCAGGGATTGTAAAGACTCAAAGGTAATACTAAAAAAAACTGCAAAAACAGACTACATTCGTATTATTGGCTTAAAGAAATAAAAAATTTCAATGAAATATCTAAACAGCAAACATTTTTAATTCGCCTGCTTCAGATTTTTTTTCTGTAAATCTTATATTTAGCTATTACTACTCTATTGTTAGGTAAAATTCAAAAATTACTTATCTTTGCTGTATTTTTTTTTGACATTGAAATTTTTGTCATATTTATGTTTATAAACCTAGATAATTAGGTCGTATTGAATTTTAGACCTAAATCCAAGGTTATAATGCAAGGAAAGTTAATTGGAGTTGCCTATACTATGCGTACATATGTGAAACCAGTTCTCTCTGGGCGGAATTAGTAAACAAGAATAGATGCATCAGTGTTCGTTTAGTATCCGAGGAGGTTAAAAGCATTGGATTTTGATAATTTTGATAATTCACATAATAGTTTCCTATGGCAAGAATATTTCATTGTTTTTATTTATGTAGAAGATGGATCCCATGTCAGGCTGTGACATCCATCTTGTGTTTACATTACCGCCTAGTGACAGTACACTGCACTACAAAAGATTCGTACACCTCTGAAATAACTTTCCTTGCATTATAACCTTGAAAAAGACGATCAGATACAAGGACACTTGAAATGTTACATTCCATTTAATGAGAGAACACTCATTCAGCGGAATCTGTTAGGTATATCCAAAAAGAGAGAAAAAGAGCGGATTATGTATGGCATTAAAAGTGTCCACATTGGATATTCAGATTAAGCTATCGGGATTGAAATTTTAACATATTTATTTTTTTAAATTTCAATTCTATTAATATTTACATTATAGCAGCTGCAAATATGCGTACACCTTTGAAATAACTTTCCTTGCATTATAACCTTGTCTAAATTCATTATTACCTAGAACTATTGCTAAAGTTTTGGTAGCTTTCTTTTCCTTCCTCTGTGCAGATTTATCTTTTTTCTTCTTTTTCTTCTTCTGTTTCTTTAACTAAAATTTTACCATTTAAGACTTTAGAACGAAAGCATTTATGCCAAACATGGATTGGGAGACAAGCTTTTTTGAAAACAAATATTACACTATTGAATCCCTGATATTTACATTGCATCAAGGGTTTCCAATCGCAATTCCGGTGCGCGGAATTGCGCGCAACTGTTCTCAAACTGCACACCTTTGTGCGCAAGTAAAATCTTATTGCTTTGGAAACCCTAATTGCATCCCTAGGGTTGTAATTTTCCATTATATTTCTAGAGTTGCAAAGTAACATTGAATTCCTAAGGTTACAATGTTAAATTGTATCCTTAGGGCTGAAATTGTATCCTTAGGATCACAATGTAACATTACATTCCTAGGGTTGCAAAATTAAATTATATCTAAAGAGTTGCAATATGTTACATGGAATGGCCCTGGTTTTAGGGTTGCAATTTGTGACAAAGTTGAAAATTTTCATATCTCTTCATTTACTGAATATTCCCTGCCATATTTTATTGCATCCCTATTGCGTCTCTGTAATGAAGACTCAAAGCGAAAGCTTTGTATTGAATTTTGCTGAAAAAAAGTTATGACATTCTCTTAGATTAAATATTTTTCCATTATGATATAGCAAGGGGGGCTGGGGAATACTATCACATCAATGATACGATATTGATAATGGATACTGGATAGACGGAAATGCAATGTGCACGGATTCTTGCAGATTTGATGGATAAGATTGATACATTTATTTTCTATTAAGAGCATATATTCGGAAAAAAATTTATATGAGGATTGTGAGGAAAGAGCTTAAGGGTTGAAAGCTTCAAAAGATCAAAAGACTTTTGATTTGTTTATTCTTTTAAGCATTTTCAACTTTTTAATTGTGTTTTGCATTTAAATGCATTGAATTTTTATCAAAAGCTATGTCGTACTTTTATAAAAACTATCAGAAATATGAATGCTAGAACAAACTTGCATGACTAATTTGAAAAATCTAATCAAAAAGTATTATTTGCTGTAATTGCTGGAAACATTATTCGAAAAAAAAGAATTTGAAAAAAGGTTACTTTATCCCATCTTTTAAAAATGAATAAGAATATGGTAATTGTTTAATCATGTCAGGATGATTTATCAAAGAAATTAAAGAAAAAAATCTTATAGAATTCAAAGACAATGGTTCACCAAATTTTTTTTAAAGTAAAATCTTTAGTAGTGATTTCTATTTCAGAGAAATACATATTTCAGTAAGAGAGTACCAGAGTATATTTCTCATTAATCTGTTTCTTTATAGACAAAAATCAACTCTGTGTTTGCATTAAAGTGCCATCTGTCATAACTGATAAAGCACAGTTACAAATTGATCTTTACTATAATCCTTCCTGGGTATTCAGTGCATACAATTATGCATGAAAATAAATAAAAAAGAACCGAAGGGAGGGAAAAATAAGCTTTAAGTTTGAAAATGTTGTCCATGAAAAAAGATTAAATAAAAGCTTGCAATAATTAGTTAAGGAGAATGTAAAGGTACTTCAAGCGACCCTCCATGCACAGATTAAAACAAAATTGTAGTTTCTCTGCGAAAGTGACTTGCGCATTTCTTGCTTATAAAAGGCAATGAAGAAACTCACAGAAAAACGACGATATCTTTTGTCTCATGTGAATCGGACATTTCCATCTTTGCAAAGATTGTCACCTAAAATGCCGCGTACAGTCCCTTTAAGTCCAAACAATAAAAACTTTATTTTGTACTTAAACCAATTTCCTGTAAAACTGTTAGAATTTGTAAAGTCAGGCAAGAAAACGTAAAGTATGCAAATCAATAACCAGCATGCAACATTGCAACATGAATAATTGGAAATTCCAAACAAAATAGGTTCAGACATTGCTTACATTCTTCTTCTTCTCCGTAATAACTTGAGAGCACTGACAGCAAACCTTCCTACAAGATATATTGGGTTTTATTACATAAAAATACCATCATGTTCAAATGTGTTAATACTAGTCTAGGTTATTTGATTATGTTTATACGATTAAAAAGCAAATGAATTCTAGAAAGGTTAAACAATTTAGACATAAAAATAATAAATATTTAAAAATGAGATTTACCTTAAATTTTCTTATCTTCATATCTTTGCAACCTGATGTTGTAAACCTTTAGTATTTTAATCTTAGATTACTGGATCTAACAGATCAATTCACAGTTTAAAATATCTAAGGTTTACGACAAGGGGTTGCCAAGGATTACAAAATAGAGTTTGTGGCAGATGAGACTTTAAAAACGACTATAGGGAAACTGTAAAGCAAATCTAAACTTTAGTGCATAACATTTAAAGATTATAGGTCGTCATTAAAATCTTATTGTTTGAGGTAAACCCTGTAAATACCTTGATTCTTGGGAACTGGATGCTACTGGTAATATAATTTCCTTAACATCTGCATCTTGCTCCTCAACTCCCTAGAACAATCATGTAATTAACATAAAGAGACTGTACTAGGGTTTCCAGCGAAAAGGAAAAATCGTTTCGCGAAAATTTTTTTTTAGAGACCATTTTGCTTAATTTTCGCATTTTGTTCGCTTGCGAAAAATGCGAAAATTTTTAATTCTTTCGCGAAATTCCGCTTCAATCTGTTTCGCAAAAAAATGCGAAAATTTCATAAAAAGTAATGCGAAAATTTCGCTTCATTTATTTTCGCGAAAAAAGCGAAATTTCGCAAAACGTTTCGTTTGCTGGAAACCCAAGACTTTAAGCGTAATTTTAAGTTACCCTCAATGCAATGACAATCCCCGATTTACAACATTTAAACCTTTTTGTGCTCAAAAATGTAGAAAATAATGTTGTTTTTCTGACTCTGCAGTGTTTAATTCTTTTAATTTCTCCATTGCTTTTCCTAAGCAAGAACTGCGTGAGTCACTTTTTCAGAGAAACCGCAAATGAAAACAGTTTTAAGAAACAAAAACATGAATATCAAATTCATGCTTGATCAGAAAAAGCTATACAGGGTACATGTTGTGAATCAAGGATTGTCATCTTTACATGAAGGATTACGTTTACAGTCCCTTTAATCAAAGAAGGTTTGGTTCATCAGTTCACATTTTCTTTACCAAAATCCACTTTATGTCAATTTAATGGAACCAAGCCAGAATAAGTTGGGGCGGCGATCCTTCTGAATATCTAAATCTCTCTATTTATGCGAAATAAACATTTTTTTGAAATAAATCATACAAAATGTTCGATTGAACTGCCACAGAAATTGCATTTGACATAAAGATGAAGTAAATCTATATCTGTTATTTGGAAAAAGAAACAGCTAACTAAACTCAATAAAATATAATACTCAAAAGATTGTCATTGTAATTTTAAGCGACCGTTGCTAAAAAAAGGCATTCCCTAATAACGTGCACTTTTTAAATCTTATCTGATCAAAAATATGGGAGATAATGTCGTTTTTCCAGGGTTTAAAAGTGCTTTATTTGGACATTTTCTATGATATGATTTATGATATGATTTATGATATAAATTACTTGTTTTGGGAAACCTAAATTTTATTTAAATCACCCCGGACTAGCCAGAGTGAGCAGGATTCGGTTTCTTCTGTAATGTTTGGTCTTAAAACGGATTTGTTTATTTTGTACTTTTTTATTCAAATATATATATGCCGACAAAAAAGTATTTTAGAATTAAGACTAAGAATTATGTTTAGTTTGTCAAATTGTAATCGAAAGTCACATGCAGCTTTCTGGTATATATTGACAGAACCGTTAAATCCACGTGGAATTTTCAACTCTAATTACGTATACAGTCCCTTTATTCAACTCTAGATACGAATACAGTCCCTTTATTCAACTCGTATTACGTATACAGTCCCTTTATTCAACTCTAGTTACGTATACAGTTCCTTTATTCAACTCTAGATACGTATACAGTTCCTTTATTCAACTCTAGTTACGTATACAGTTCCTTTATTCAACTCTAGTTACGTGTACAGTTCCTTTATTCAACTCTAGTTACGTATACAGTTCCTTTATTCAACTCTAATTACGTATAAAGTACCTTTATTCAACTCTAGATAAGTATACAGTCCCTTTATGTTACTCTAGATACGTATACAGTCCCTTTATTCAACTCTAATTACATAAAAAAGTACCTTTATTCAACTCTAGATAAGTATACAGTCCCTTTATTCAACTCTAGATACGTATACAGTCCCTTTATTCAACTCTAATTACGTATACAGTCCCTTTATTCAACTCTAGTTACGTATACAGTTCCTTTATTAAACTCTAATTACGTATACAGTCCCTTTATTCAACTCTAGATACGTATGCCGTCCCTTTATTCAACTCAAGTTACGTATACAGTTCCTTTATTTACCTTATTTTCTGTTCCTGGGGCTTTAGGGTAATCTGCTTGCTTGACTATGAAAGTGCTTTCCTAAACAAAATTTCTTTGAGAGTTTAATGTTTTATTATAGTTATAGTATTTATTTTCAAACACAAAATACAAAATAATAGTGTATGATGGCTCAGCTTAAAATAAAACACATAAGAAACTTTATTATGAGCCAATTCAAAATATAATGTTTGATAATTTTGTTTAATAGTTTTTGTTGAAACAAAGTATACATATTGAAATCTCAACTGAATATACATTCATTGTGCATTTACAAGTAGATAATTAGTCAGCACTCAAATAATCAAAACATTTTCAGGAATGCATTCATTGAACTTATAAATACATATTGATTCAGCAAAAGTAGAAATTATTCTCGTTGACTATAGTAGACTTGACATCTATCATTAGCAAAGGGTGTAAACCCATTCTTTTTGACTGTATTTTGATTTTATATTTTTATTGACAATTTTCTTTTTTGTTTTTAATTTGATTCAGTTTTACCTTGATATTTTCATTATGAGAATTATTACACTTCAGACGTTTCTTTAATTCTTTCATCTTACCACGATCATGCAATGTCTATAAATATCATAATAACAATCAAGAATATAAAGTTTCTGCAATTATGTCAGTACAGGGTTACTCGCAAATTATCAGACTGTGTCCGAATTTAAGGAATTTGAGCCGCGGTTTAAATCTGCCAAAACCCGGTTTCAATTTTGCGTCGGGTTAAATTTTCAAAAAATTAATACAATTTCAAGTAGAGCCAACCATATTTGAGCCGCGGCTTAAATTTAGGACGCAGCTCAAACTCTTTAAATTCGGCCTCTGTAAAGACAACCCTAAATATAAAAATGTAACGATTTTAAGATTAATTTTTGGTTTCAGGATGCATTCAATTGAGTATTTTAATGGTTTATTAAATGATTAATACAGAAATAAGCCAGTTTTTGCCTTCAAGGAACCCTGAATGCAAGTCCCATTTTTTGTGGGTATCCCTGTATCAAAAAGTTGTATCCGACATTATTTTTATAGTTTATTTTTTAGATTTAGTGAGACAGAAGATATATGTTACAGAACTGTGTATTGGTAGGTGATAAGTTATATTAATATTCAACGTTACAAGTCAACATCATTAATATTTATGCAGGGTGAGTGAGAAAAATAACCAGAATTTTATATAGCGCTGTTTAGCACAACATTTTCAAAATTTTTGTCTACTTTGAATTTTATTTAAAATTTTAAACATAAAAAAAATTTTTTGTGACAAAATAAAATTTCTTGTTTTTGAATTATTGGAAGATATGTTTAGTCTATTGTTTTCTAAAATTTAATAAAAATTCTAAAATAAAAAATAAAAATATGACAACAAAAACTAAACAAAAAAGTTCAAATTTAAGAATATAAATTTTGAGGGACAACGCACACTTTTTGTTAAATTCCTAAAAATTTCACATTGAAAACCTCTTTTTACCTTCTGTAAAAGGTAAAAGATATCCGCTGATCTTATAAAAATTAATGCGCCTTATTAAAGCCGCAGATTTCTACTTCACAAATTTTTGCGGATTTTTGTAATTTCTTTAAAGATTTTTAAGAAACTTTGGAAAATAATAAAATAAGCATTTCCTCAACAGTTTTTAAAGAAATTTCATTATTTCATCAAAAAAGATTGGTTTCGTGGACTTTTTGTACAATGTTCCATAAATATATCGTATTTTTGACCCATTTCAATTTTGTGCAAAACATCGCTATTCCCGTTTTTTTACTCACCCTGTATAGAAACATACATATATGTAGGTATATATATATATATATATATATATATATATATATATATATATATATATATATATATATATATATATATATATATATATATATATATATATATATAAGTCATTACAGTATACACTAAATCATATCAGAAAGCGAAGAGCAATAGACTCTGCCAATTGAGAGTATAATCAGTGTTTTGTGTCAGCTGCAATTCACACAGATTTTTATGAAAATCGTCATGGAATGCTCGATAGGTGAAAGTGTATTGATTTGTTTTGATCTTCCCTTGGGATGATAAAAAAAATTGTTCAATTCATCAATTTTTACTTCGTTAATTCATGCATTCAAAATCTTATTGATGGAATAGATAAGATAAGAAATATAGAATATTAAATTAGAAAAATTGGTCGATACGGCTGCAGAGGATGCAGTTTGCAGCGAAATATCAATTATTTCTTTGGTTGTAACTCAAATGCATTCAAACTTTCTTTCAAGATTTCATTATTTAGCTCAGATCTAAGCCATCTGATTCTTGTGAAAAAATGCATATCTTTCTTTCTCAGCATCCTTTTCTTTTTATAAGATTAAGATTTTCATATCAAACCATTAAAACTAGAATTAAATAGAAGAAAAATAATGTAAAGTTTTTAAAATCCTTATTTGGAACCAATTAAAAAAAAAATATTTGAAAAATTCACAAAAATGCCCTCTAAACTTAAAAAATTCACAGCAAACTTTTCCGTGTGAGAATTTGCAAAAAATAGTAAGAAAAATACTTCAAAATTTTTTCATAAATTGTGTCTTATGTTAAAAAAAAGAGAAAAAACTTTTCCTCGTGAGATTTTGTGAATAAGTTGAGTATCCATTAACAACCCTAAACTCATGCATGTGAATTTTTAAATTAGAAGAAAGTAGCACAGATTAATTCATATACAGGGTGTCCCACGAAAAATGACAGTGGCTGAATGTTTTAAAATTTCTTCTTCCATATTTTGTTAAGTTGTTGGATACCAAAAAGAATAATAATAAACATTATATGTCAGTTTTATTATAATAAAATCCCAGATTAAGATATATTGGAGTAAAGATTTGTCTACCGAACTAAACTGCAAAAAGTCTTTAAATCTAATCCAGTATTTGGAAAATGACATTCTAGACTATTCATCAACTGTCATGTTTCGTGGGACAACCTGTAGTTCCCGTGGCTGTAACCCTTTCCTCTTTGGGCAAATCCATTGGATGCTTACTGAAATTAGGATGCAACATTTTAAATGAAAGAGACCTAGCGCAGATACCAACGTTTATAATTTGTAAAACCGATTTTTTTCAATTGTGGTTTCTCTACAGACGTGACTTGCGCATTTCTATAGCAAGAAAACATATAGGAACTATACGAATTAAATACTTTTCAAGCTATAGAAAAAAATGCAATATCGTGATGATTTGCCATTGCAATCTTTGCATGGAGGGTCACTTGAAATTACGTTTGCAGTCCCATTAATGAAGTATACCTTGAATATTCTGAAGTAGAGAATGATCATGACAAAGCATGGAATGTAGAAAGAACCAATCCCTGAGTAAAGATGGGCGCGTTCGACTTTTTTCATTTTGTTCGTTCATCATTCGCGAAAGATCCATTTTGTTCGTTAAAAAAAAATTCGTTCGTCGATTGTTCGAGTTTTTCTGAACGAAACCCTTTTTACGAAGAATTTCGTTCGTTCTAAAAAACGATGTCCATCTCTATCCCTGAGTATATGATGTAATCAGGGTTGTAGAACGCACAGACAAACGGTGCTTCCTCTTCAGGGTGCAGAGCATCAGTGGAGTTCAACTCAGTCATATTCTGATAAAAAGTAAAATAATAATTTTTTTATGAAAGAAAACAAATAAAAAATGCAAAATAAAGAAGGAAGGAAGAACTATTCAAATACCTCTAAAAATATTGGCTACAGGAATATATCCACCCTATTCTATAGTTCTTAACATTTTTTAAATAACTGACACTGGATTGTTAACATTTTTCGACGATGAACTGATAGGAATTCGAATTGTTAATTGAAAAGATAAAATAAAGTTTAAAGAGTGTAAAAAAGCTATAGGCTTTTCACAGATAATGTATTTTCACTAAAAAAAATTCCGCAAAAACCATAAGTGTTGTAGCTGCAACAATTAATTGAGCAAAACAAACTTGTGGAATTCTCTTCTCTGAGAGCTCAACAAAGATGTTTTTATCACAATTAATAAGATGAAAAATTCGAAAAAAATTTTACGAATCGATTTCCCCTTTTCACTTGAAACCCTAGTTAACTGCAATTTTACAGTCGGTAGATTTTATGACAAATGTGTATGAATCAAAATTTTAATTTTCAGGATACGGCTGTTTGGATTTTATTATCATCGTTAAAGAGATTATTAATTTTACTTTGAACATTATTCAAATATCAAACAAAAACTATGCACAAGATCTTTTCTCTGAAATAAACGTATAATTCTATATGGTATTTATGTTTCATGCTTTGTGCTCTAAATTGGCCGTCTTTATTTTACGTCTCACCCTTTCTTGCTGTGAGGTTTGAGATTGTGTTAACATCACAGTAAGGTTTGAGATTGTGTTAACATCACAGTAAGGTTTTTAATATTTTCCTAAAGGAATTGAGACTTTGGCACAAACTCTGATATTCTAATTCCTATAAATTTCCCAAATCTTCCTAAATTTATAAATTTTAAATAGAAAAGAGAGGGGAGGGGGGTTGTAATGGAAATGGAATTTGCATTTGTTTCAACTTTTACTAGCTTTAAAAAGAGGTATTTTGCAATCCTTGGCCAAACTTCTTTGAAGTTAGATTTTTTTAAAACTTCATTGACTTATTCTAAATCTAAACTAAAACCTCCTTCAGAAGTTTTGCTTATTATTATATAAATACTCGTTGCTTCATTCATTTTGCAATACAAAGCAAACATGACATCTAGGAGAAGACGACAGTTTTATACCTTTATTATTGTAACTCTTAGTTTTTAAATATTTCATTATTCAATATTATTGATACAACAATGGGCGCCCTGAGCTGGGAACTTTAGAATGGCGGATATCGAGATCAATACAATTAGTCTTACGATTAACTTCAAGAGATTAGAGATGCACTCTTTAACTTTAGAAAAACCGTTTAATTTTCTCGCTTTTGTGGTGTCATATCAATTGGACTATAGTGATCGATGGAACGAACATAAGTTTTGGATTAATGTTTTTTTAGACAAAAGTCTCAAAAGGACTATAGTCCTTAAATGTGATAAAATATGTTTTTAATAAGTTCATATTAACATGATTAAGTTTATATTTGTTTAAATGCTCAAAAACCCGGCTTGTGAACAGCTGAGTTTTATAGTTCAATAGGATATTAGTCCAATCGATAAAGCATCGTATCTGTATTTGTAATCAAACGTATCTTTATTACATGTAGTAGGAAATGTGACATCCAACGAGAGCGGATTAGAAATAAAATTAAAAGTTTCCATGGTGGATATTCAGATTAAGCAATCAAGATTAAGCACGACATCCAATTCAAAATTTATCAGCTCAAAGTAAATCATTTAAAACTTAGAAAACGTATGTATGAATTTGAATATTTTTTTAATCTAGATTTTTTTATTTTGTTCCTTTCTTAAAATCTGAACTGTAGACTCTGAAGTATAACAAATCTTCTGGACATGCATGTATTTTTAATATTGAAGTCACGAAAGATTTACTTCAACCGTATACCAGCCGGTGTAGGGGAGTGCAGGAGGCGGTTATTTGATGCAACCCCCTCTCCCTCTAAAGTCTACGGCATAGCTGGTTGCAAAGATATAGGGATTTGAAACTATGTGTTTGTGTCATAAATTTTCTTATCTCTTTATCTTTGCAAACTAATATCGTATATTTATATACCTTAAGTGAAAAGGAGGTATCACAGAAATAATTGCCAAGCAAAGAAAAAGATATTGTTTACACATTTTAACGAAGTTTATCTAAACACTCTCCACCAAACCCTTCTATTTTTTCGGTCAATGTACTGCACATTACTGCAGAACACACCGAAAGCATAGTTCATTGTGTAAAGTTCTAATATGTCCAAAACTAGATATCAGACAGAGCGTGTCCCATATCATATTGGATTCTTACAAAGCTTTATCATTAGCCATTATACAATTTTTCAAAATGATTCATTCTTCTTGAAGTTTCTTTAAATAGTCCCGAAAATCGTAATTCAAAATGAAAATCAAAAGGAAGCAAAAACAATGCGGAATTTCGTGATTTCGTGAAAAATCTAAATATGCGACAATTTCGCAAAAAAATGCTAAACAATTAGCTTTTTCTTCGAAAATGTAATGTCGAAATTGTGAATTAATATTTCGACATAAGCCTAATTAAAAAGAGTTTAAACAGACCGCTAAGCCAGTTTCTAGCTACCGAAACATGGTTCATAGTGTATTTCAAAATAAATTTAAGTTACATTAAATAAATTCTCTTCTGATGACCTGTTCCCCTGTTATGAATAAAATACGACTAAATTTTGTGTAAGAAACTATGGGATAAAACTGTCAAGAACAGTTTTTAGTATTTATCTCACATATCCTGTTATGAAAAGTACGTATTCTAGGAATTCTCAAAATCTGTTTTTTAAGATACGAGCATTTCTTTTCGTTTATGGCGAGATAAAAAAGTTTTGAAGTTCAAATATTTGAAGTTACAAAGAGATATTCAATGTTAAGTGTGTTTCTTTTCTTCTTTGGCGTTTTTAAAAAAATGATTTTAGATTTAAAAGTTACAAAAAGTAATTGTTTTTGGAGGCGTTTACAGGCTTTTATTTAGGGTTTCAAGCGAAAAGTAAAAATCGTTTCGCGAAAATTTTGCGTAAAAAAAAAAATTTCGCGCACATATCGCTTCATTTTCGCATTTCGTTCGCTTGCGAAAAATACGAAAATTTTCGCTTTTTTCGCGAAATTTCGCTTCAAACTGTTTCGCTCAAAATGTGAAATTTTCGCGAAATAGATAATGCGAAAATAACGAGAAAAAAAAATGCGAAAATTTCGCGAAAAGAAATAATGCGCAAATTTTGCGAAAAAAATAATGCGACAATTTTGTGAAAAAATAATGCGAAAATCTATCTATCTATTTATTTACAATTCTTATTCGCTCATAATGGGTCAACCAATATAAACAACCAACTCTGGTTAGGCGGGTCCAAACTACACAGTAAATTGTGATTTTTTATTTGTATTATCTCATGCTTTGTAGTTGTATAAAAATATAAAATAAAATATGAAATATGAAAATAATGCAAAAATTTCGCAAAAAAAAATAATGCAAAAATTGAACGTATGTTTTAAAATTAAAAAAATTATTTCTTTTAAGATCAAAATGGAAGTCAGATCGAAAGAAGAGTCTAATGAGTGGTTTAAAAGTATAAAAATTGTATGTAAACCTTTAGATCGGTTAATTTTTATCTTTGAAATTATCATTTTTAGCCACAACAAAATAAGTTGCATTTTGTGTGGTTTTTTTACTAACACCCTTTAATAGCTCGAATTTTTCATTCGTTAGAAATTTTACAAATAGTTTTTTAATTCGTAATTAAACACTAATTAAATCACTGAGATGAAAACACATTAAATATTCATTTAGAAAATATTTCTACAAAAATTAGAACACTCATTTATTTCAATAATTTGAATTAATTCCAATTATAATTATACGTTTTTTAATTCTATGAAACCTGCGACTTTATATAAATACTCAGTTTAATAGAAAATAGTCTATCGTTACGATGTTTTACATTTTCACTGATTTTTCAATTTTAGATTTATTAAATTCAAAATTTGAAATATAAATCCAAATCATTAGATCATTGGATCATTAGTCCCACTCCCAACCCTAGAGTCCAAACTCGGAATCATTACTCCCAACCCTACGATCATTACTCCAAACCCTGGGATCATTAACCCAAACCCATGGATCATTACTCAAATCCCTGGGATTATTACTCCAAACCCTGAGATAATTACTCCAAACCCATAGATCATTATTCCAAACCCATGGATCTTTACTCAAATCCCTGGGATTTTTACTCCAAACCCAGGGATAATTACTCCAAACCCATGAATTATTACTCCAAACCCATGGATTATTACTCCAAACCCATGGATCATTACTCCAAACCCATGGATCATTACTCCAAACCCATGGATCATTACTCCAAACCCATGGATCATTACTCCAAACCCATGGATCATTACTGCAAGCCCAGGGATTATTACTCCAAACCCATGGATCATTACTCCAAACCCATGGATCATTACTCCAAACCCATGGATCATTACTCCAAACCCATGGATCATTACTCCAAACCCATGGATCATTACTCCAAACCCATGGATCATTACTCCAAACCCATGGATCATTACTCCAAACCCATGGATCATTACTCCAAACCCATGGATCATTACTCCAAACCCATGGATCATTACTCCAAACCCATGGATCATTACTCCAAACCCATGGATCATTACTCCAAACCCATGGATCATTACTCCAAACCCATGGATCATTACTCCAAACCCATGGATCATTACTCCAAACCCATGGATCATTACTCCAAACCCATGGATCATTACTCCAAACCCATGGATCATTACTCCAAACCCATGGATCATTACTCCAAACCCATGGATCATTACTCCAAACCCATGGATCATTACTCCAAACCCATGGATCATTACTCCAAACCCATGGATCATTACTCCAAACCCATGGATCATTACTGCAAGCCCAGGGATTATTACTCCAAACCCATGGATCATTACTCCAAACCCATGGATCATTACTCCAAACCCATGTATCATTACTCCAAACCCTGGGATAATTACCAAGCCCATGTATAATTACTTTGAATCCTGGAATCAGTAGTCCAGACACTGGGATTATTACTCCAAACCCTGGGATCATTACTCCAAGCCCATGGATCATTACTTTGAATCCTGGAATCAGTAGTCCAGACACTGGGATTATTACTCCAAACCCTGGGATCATTACTCCAAGCCCATGGATCATTACTTTGAATCCTGGAATCAGTAGTCCAGACACTGGGATTATTACTCCAAACCATATGATCTTTAACCCAAAAACCTAGGATCTCTACTTCTAAACCCAAGATTTTATTTTACTTTACAAAGCCATACTCAAACAGAGTTAAAAACTTTAGAATGGTGGATATCAAGATTAATGCTTCAACTTCTGGTTTTACGAAACCCAGGATTATTTTAAAACGCATTCAATATCCAAGAAAGAAGTTAAAAGTTTAACCAATCAGCGTGTCAAGTTAAGATGTACTCTTTAACTTTTGAAAAACCGGTTTTGATTTCCATGGTGTTGATGGTTTCGTAGATTGTAGATTGTACGTACTAGGTTGAAATCTTAAACATAACTCCTGTTTTAGAATTAAGCTATTAGAAAACTTAAACTTTGGTATTTTTTAACATGGAACCAGATAAATTTTCTCTTCTAATGCTTGTGCGTAAAATCAAAGCTAGAGATGTCGTACGTGTCAAGGTTATAATGTAAGGAAAGTTAATTGCAGTTGCGTATACTCTGCTTACATATTGAAACCAGTTCTCTCTGCATCAGTGTTCGTTTAGTATCCGAGGAGGATAAAAGCATTAAATTATGATAATTTTGATAATTCACATAATAATTTCTTATGACCAGAATATTTCATTGATTTTTTATGTGAAAGATGGATCCCATGTCAGGCTGTGACATCCGTCTTGCGTTTACATTACCAACCAAAGACAGTACACTGCAGTACAAAAGATGCGCACACCTTTGAAATAACTTTCCTTTCATTATAACCTTGATACGAGTAAAGTTATTTAACCTGATTGTTCTCCACGCTCTCGCGCTGGTTTATGCCCAGAAGTATAGGGGATCCTATAGCTAAGGATGCTGCCCAGCAGATTGTAATCACTAGGTAGGCTCTTCCTAAATTATTTTCTATTTGATAAAGATATTCGCTCATGTAGAAATATGTTCGCGATAGCTGGCAAATTTTTTCAACATTAAAAATTTGTCCTCTAAACTTTTTTTCCCACGCGCAACGGTTAAACGGTTAACTCATCTATATATAAATTTGGCTTGTTTGTTTGGGTGTCTGTCTGTCTGTTTGTATCCAATAAACGTCAAAACGGCTGAACCGATCGGGCCCAAATTTTTTGAGGGACATCACGTGACCACAAGGAAGGTTTATGAATGATAAAATCTTTAAAAAAATGTGTTTTAGAGGTTTTTAATTTTGTAAAAAATTAAATTCTTGAAAATCCGCGAATTTTTTTTTTAAATCCGCAAAAATTTTTTCTTCTTGGTTTTAAAATGTAACAAAAAGAACATGTTCACAATTTAAATTGAAGATTGGCGCGAAGCGCCCTAAAAGCCTAGTTAATAAATATTTATGTATAGCTATACTATTGCTGGTTGGAACAAATTGGCAAACTTTATTGATGGAACATATAAGTACTTCAGCTAGTATCTAATACTATTCCTGACCTATACTATTGAAGATGGTAATGATTGAAAAACGACTATAATAATAAAGAAATTTATCAAATTTAATAATCATGCTCAGCTTCCTAAAATTTAAACCAAAATGAATATTGTTTTAATATTCCATTTTTAAATTCAACATGAAGGGAAAAGGTGGAAAACCAATTTGCATAAATAAACACACCAAGCATCTTGTTTGAAGGAAGATTGAAAAATGAAAAAACAAATTTTGTTTCGTTTATGAGTTTTACTCTGATGTCTTAAAAATAATTTCTAGAGAAGTTCCATTTTAGTTTCGGGGTTTTCACATTTTCAAAAAAGACAAAAAAAATTAGATTTGTTTCCCCAATTTTTATACAAATCCAGCTGTTTGGGCAGCTATAGCTATGCATATAAATTTGAGCGAAGAGTTTTATTTTATGAATTTTCAATTGCTTAACTTACTAAAAGTTTGAATTCAAATTTACCAAAATAATTAAAATAAGCTTTAAATGTTACTTTATATTTTAGGTCTATTTAAAAAAATTTGTTTTAGTTTTCAATTTTCTTCTTTTGTACAAAAATTTCTAAATTATTGGGACAGCTTAAGGTAACATGAACGGTAATGCTAAACGTTAATACTGCTTCCTGCAAAAACTATAGTAATTGTTTAAAGAATGCTGAGAACACAAAACAAAACTTTAAAATTCAATTTGAACCTACAGATTCCTTAAGAAACATTACACCTATTATATGTTTTTAAACCATTTTCATTTTTAGTTATTTCCAAAATCACTCTGTTTTAGTATTATTTTATTCACAAAATTACGCAAGGAAAACAAATTTAGTTTTGTTTCCTTTTTTTATACGAATTAAATATTTTTATGTAAATGGCTTATTGCATGGTAGTGCTGTAGCTAGAAGCTGTACAGTTCTGCAGGTCTTTCAAATAAGATATTTTAATTTTATAAGATATGAAGACTGTTCACTTTCAAAAAAAATGTTATGTCTTTATCTTTATTATACCCAATGTCGAAGTCCTTTAATTTTTCAAACACAGAATTTTGCTAGATCAAATTTTCCAAAATTAAAATATTAAAATCGCACAGGTTGCTAAGATATATGAACAATAATATTAGAGTTTGAGGCAAATATTCCGTTTAATTGAAATAAGAGTGTCCATTTTTTGGTGGGACCCCCTTGACTCCAGAGCTGGTTGGAATTGCAATATGTTCCTAAATTTGTTTGTTTGTTTATTTTGTAAACTTGTAATTCGAAAAAAGCTTTTTAACAATTAAAACAAGAATAAAAAAAAGTATTCAATATATTGTTATAATCGCCTACCACTGCAATAAATCAATGTAAATGGAGTTCTTTTATGAAGAAACGAGCAAATATGATTATTAAGTAAAGGGTATAGGGTAGACAAATATACCAATTAACTGTTTGCAACATATTTGTTGGAAACTTAGTTAGAGAACCAAGGTTATAATAATGCCAGGAAAGTTATTTCAGAGGTGTGCGCATCTTTTGTGCTGCAGTGCACTGTCTCTGGGCGGTAATGTAAACACAAGACGGATGTCAAACCCTGACATGGGATACATCATTCACATTAAGAATCAATGAAATATTCTGGTCAGAGGAAACTATTATGTGAATTATCAAAATTTTCAAAATTTAATGCTTTTAACCTCCTCTGGTACTAAACTAACACTGATGCATCTATTCGTGTTTACAAATTCCGCCAGAGAGAACTGGTTTTCATGATGTACGCATGAGTAAACGCAACTACAATTAACTTCCCTGGCATTATAACATTGCACAGAACTAGGTATGGAAAAACTTGATAATCTCTTTCAAACCTGTGTTTTTTCTGTGCTGACTGTAGCTAATGGGAGATGTCACGGCGCAGAATCTAGAAAATAATAGTTATTTTATAAAATAAATATTACTTGTAACACGGCAAACTACAATGACATCCAACAAAATTCTTTCTTTTTATTTTCAAAATTAGCCGAAGTATGGTTGAAGGATGGACCAACAACAAGAAAAAAATGAAGAACAAGAAATATAGAAATCTCAAAATATTTCCATCTGATATCATAAAAATATTTAAAAATATTGTAAAATAAAAAAATTATTTAAGTTAAAAAATAAGTACTTAACAGGGAAGTTATGGGAATTTTTCGCTACCAAGGGTTCCTAAGACCATATTTGGGCGAGGGACCCCGTGGTTAAGGAAAATTTGTAATATCCTGAACAAGTTGTTGTGCACAATTTCATCGTCTTTTCAGCATGAAAAAAAAACAAATTTTCTCACGAAAACTTTGCAGAGTGGGTGGTAATTCTACGCATTTGTTGGTTAAAATGTAGTAAAAGGTTTTTGTGACTAGCGTAAAATGTTAACGTTCAGATACAGGGTGTCCCACGAAACATGACAGTTGGTGAATAGTTTAAAATGTCTTCTTTCCTAATTTTGTTGTTTGATACCAAAGCTAGACAATAATAAAAATATTATATAGGAGTCATTTTACAGTAAAATTGATTTAAAAGTAAAATATATTCAAGCAAAAGATTTTTTTTAACGAAATAAACTACAAAAAGCCTTTAATATTTAATACAGTATATGGAAGACGACATTCATATCTGTTTATCAATTGTCATGTTTCGTGGGACACCCTGTAGCTTGAAGACATGGTCTGAAACACGCATGAACTGAAAGATGGAGCCGCCTTGCGCCCATAATGAATTCTAGGATAGATTCTGTGCCTTTACATTTTTCGAAGTGTATAATATTGCTAAATAACCTGTCTAGACTGATGGCTACAAGGTTGAATATACTAGATGTACTGCAGACAACATCCATAGCAATGTAGAAGTCGCAAATCCCAACTGGCAGGGCCCACACTCCCCAGTTTACCTAAATAAAGTGGCGTTGGGACATATAAAATAATTTCACAAATTGACATTTTATACGTAGGATATATCCACTATTAGAATCTCTCTAGAAGGGGAAGATTCATTTGGTGTACTGTACCGGTTTACCTGTATGTGTACTGTACTGCAGCTATGGCTGGTTAAACGTCGCGTCGGCCCGGTCGCGGTATATGAAAATTAACCAGAATTTATTGTGTATCATAAATCTTACATGCCATGAAGAATTATTAAAATATTGGGATTGTAAAGACATTTAAAAAAAGTGAATTTTTAAATAATAAACATTTCCTTGCTAACAATTGATTTGAGCAGATTTTCGGATGTCCTAGCCCAGGAGGTATAACATGTATGATCTTTAATTGAGTTGAGTTTTTGCCACAAACTCAAATTATCTAATCCCTATATCTTTGCCACCTGATGGGTTGAACCTTTCATATTTCAAAATTAGATTACTTGATTCAACAGAAATTATCACTTGAAAAAGCAAAGCTCTACGATATACGGTTGCAATTAAAGATAAAGATATTAGAAAATCGGAGTTTGTGGCAAAGACTCATACCTTTTTCCATAGAACAGCTGTAAACATTTATCTTAAAAATTACTCATAGTTTATTCGAACGCATTTATTTTTTCTTAAAAATAAACTATTTATATATTTGTCGATGTATCATATCCACACATAATTCCCTCTCCACACATTAAATATTCTGGATCTGACAAGGCATACATTATTTACCAATTACAGTATATATCTATATTCTCTTATAATTACATTTTTCATTTTCCTTAATATTTCATATAATCTAATTTGGTTTAAAATTTAAAGTACCGGTCCAACTTTCAAGGAGCTAGCTCAAGCTTTGCAGTACACATACTTTATAAGGCAAAACGGGACTGTACGCCAAATGAACAATCCATATCTAGGGAAATTTATGTAATATCCAAGGTCTGCAACCAGAGGGTTGCAAAGGTTAAAGAAAATAAGAATGTGAGGCGATTAATCATTTCCCATATTTTTTTCTTGTAAAATTTAGAACTTAAATAAAAACAAGAAAATAATATATTTCATGATGTCTAAAAGCTTATAAATAGAGAAAACAGTATATATTCAATGAAAGCTTATAAATAGAGAAAACAGTATATATTCAATGAAAGCTTATAAATAGAAAAAAAGTATATATTCAATGAAAGCTTATAAATAGAGAAAACAGTGGCCGAATTTAAAGAATTTGAGCGGCGGTTTAAATTTAAGCCGCGGTTTAAATATGATTGGTTCCACTTAAAATTGTATCAAATGTTTCAAGATTTAAACCGGTGCTTCATTTAAACCGGGTTTTGGCGGATTTAAACCGCGGCTTAAATTCTTTAAATTCCATCTCTGTATATATTCAATGAAAGCTTATTTATGGAGAAAACAGTATATATTCAATGAAAGCTTATTTATAGAGAAAACAGTATATATTCAATGAAAGCTTATCTATAGAGAAAACAGTATATTCTATGAAAGCTTATAAAAGGAGAAAACAGTATATATTCAATGAAAGCTTATTTATAGAGAAAACAGTATATTCTATGAAAGCTTATAAAAGGAGAAAACAGTATATATTCAATGAAAGCTTATTTATAGAGAAAACAGTATATTCTATGAAAGCTTATAAAAGGAGAAAACAGTATATATTCAATGAAAGCTTATAAATAGAGAAAACTGTATATATTCCTCTAATTGTATGTCAGGTCAGATAAACTTTGTCTTATATAAAGTATATATTATAAAAAAGAAAAACATATGATATTAAAAACAATTTCTTTTGTAGATATGTACTTTCCACAAATCTGTGAAAAACATCAGCATGTATATCTAAAAAAAATACAAAGTTAACCGATAATGACGCCCCCCCCCCCCAACCTCCCCCCATAGAGATGGAAACGTTAGAGTTTTTATCATTTTGTTCCTTAATTGTTCGTTAACGACCCATTTTTTCGGGTTTTTTTTCAATCGTTCAAAAAATGATTTCTTTTGTTCTCAAAATTATCGTTCATTTTCCATTTATTTCGTTCGCTTTCATACCAAGCAATTGTTCAGTAAAATTATTTATTCAGTAAAAACGTTCGTTGAAAAACCCGTTCGTTCCTTCAGTAACTAAACCGTTCGATATTTTTGCAAGTTGGTTCAAATGATTTGAAAAATCGCTCGTCTTTTTTGTTCGTTTTTAAAACTTGATAATTTTTCTATTTCTTTGAGCAATCCATTTCGTTCCCCATCGTTCGCTTTTTCCTGAACGACACTCTTTTACGCGAAAAATTACGTTAATTCAAAAAAACGATGCCCATCTCTAGACCTTAGACATACATTGCTGGTGTTGGTATGTACTATGTATTGGATACAGTACACTTCATAGTACATAGTTTACATAATGTCTTAATGTGTTTGCACAGTAAAGTGGTTGTATGACATTTATTGGCTTCTATTACGAGTGTGCAAAGCTAAAAGTTAAATATTAATGGGAATAAGATCCTGGAAGCAGGCCAGTAGCTTGGGAGGGAGGGGGGGGGGGACTTTAGGTATGTACCCACCTACCTAAAAAAATTAAACCAAGAACAAAAATAAAAGGAAAAAAAGTAGGCAAGAAATATATTTTATTAACTATGGTATGTATTAATGGCCAATTTTTTCTTAAATATATTGTATTGCAATTTTTATTTTTACTGAAAGATTAAAGTTTGAAATATTGACTTGCATTTTGAGAAACGTATGCTTCTCTTCTTTTGATATGTGAAGGATTTTTTAACTATTTTAGAGTAAAAAGTATCAATATGGAGACAAGTTGAAATTTTAGATAAAATATAGGTTAGGGAGATGATGTTTGTTCTCATCTCCAGCTTGCAGGGGTAGTGTTCTAAAATTCAGTTTTCAAGGGTAAGCTAAACATTTTTATATTAAAAAAAATGTTGCCAGGTTTTTATCAAAAAGTTAAATTGTGCATGATAATCTATAATACGAGGGGAGGAAAGCCAGCCACAACAATTTCTCGTCCGAGCCACATTCTCCTCATTTTCTCGTCTGAGCCACCTCGAAATCCTCGTCCTTCGCTTATTATGTGTTTTTAAGTTTCTAAATCTTGAAGATAAAGCTATGTTTTACGTTAGGGCATAAAATATGTCGATAGACTAAAGTATTGCAATGATTACATCATGTTGAAATCTTCAAAGCCGTGAGAATGATGTCAAACTTTATTTAGGTGAAACTTAAATCTCTTCTGTCTCCGTAAGTCTAGGTCTAGTCTAGTCTAGGCTAGTCTAGTCTAGTCTAGTCTAGTCTAGTCTAGTCTAGTCTAGTCTAGTCTAGTCTAGTATATTCTAGTCTTGTCTAGTCTAGTCTAGTCTAGTCTAGTCTTGTCTAGTCTAGTCTAGTCTAGTTATAGTCTAGTTTAGTCTAGTCTAGTCTAGTCTAGCCTAGTCTAGTCTAGTCTAGTCTAGTCTAGTCTAGTCTAGTCTAGTCTAGTCTAGTCTAGTCTAGTCTAGTCTATTCTAGTCTAGTCTAGTGTAGTCTAGACTAGTCTAGTCTAGTCTAGTCTAGTCTAGTCTAGTCTAGTCTAGTCTAGTCTAGTTTTTATATTACCAAGGTGTATGTATAGAACGGCATAACTATACCGGCCACCATAAGATCAGCTACAGCCAAGGAGACAATAAAGTAGTTTGTTATATTTTGTAGCGCTCTCTCCTGGGCATTCAACCGTCAATATATTTAATTCATAATATCCTTTAAAGGGACTGTTAGCGTAGTTTTAAGTGACCTCTCATATCATGAGTGGCATATTCGATTTACAAACATTCCCTGTAAACCTTCCTTTGATCTATGATTTGGTAGATATTCTTATTTATATTGCGGGAAATTAGGGACAAGAAACCCTGCCAGTGTATTCTAGCACGGAGTGGACATTTAAAAGCGACAATTAAATCATTCTGATCTTTAATTCTACCCATCAATCAAAAAATTAATTACAGAAATCAATTAGAAATGCTACATTGCAGTTAAAAATTAAACTATTTGGTAAAAGATATTTAGGACCTAATCCAAATACCAGAACAATTGATTAAAGGTTATGATTGTCAGTATACAGTGTTAATATTAAGATTAACATTAACATTGAAAGAATTCAATGAAGTTTTTTTTTGTCAGTACATAATGTTAAAATATGCATTAACAAGAACATTAACCTGTAACATTAATGTAATAATATTGATTAACATTAACATTTGTATGTTAATATTAACATTAAATAAACATTAATGGTCTCATATGTATCCTCTAATGTCAAATCTAATCGTAATTTAAAATTTTTAGAATTTGACTGTTTCCTTCGCCACAGAGAGAATAACAAGAACATTCCCGAAAACAACCATTGTGCACAGCAATAACAGAAGCAGCGGCCATAAGTTCTTCTTTTCTAAAAATAAAAAAATAATCATAAAATACTTTTTTAAGGAAAAAAGTTCAACATCACGAAATGTCTTATAAATGCACTTTTTGTGCTGGTTGTCACTTTCGTACTAATTATTTTATGTTGCGGAAATATATTCTGAATCTGTTTAAACTATTTTGCGGAAAAATATCCCGAATCTGTATAAACTATTTTACTGAAATATATTCCGAATCTGTTTAAACTATTTTGCGTAAATATATTCCGAATCAGTTTAAACTCTTTTGCAGAAATATATTCCGAATCTGTAAAAACTATTTTGCTGAAATATATTTCGAATCTGTTCAAACTATTTTGCGGAAATATATTCCGAATCTGTTTAAACAATTTTGCGGAAATACATGTCGAATCTGTTTAAACTATTTTGCGGAAGTATATTTTGAATCTCTTTAAACTATTTTGCGGAAATATATTCTGAATCTGTTTAAACTATTTTGCTGAAATATATTCTGAATTTGTTTAAACTATTTTGCGGAAATATATTCTGAATCTGTTTAAACTATTTTGCGGGAATATATTCTGAATCTGTATAAACTATTTTGCGGAAATATATTCTGAATCTGTATAAACTATTTTGCTGAAATATATTCCGAATCTGTTTAAATTATTTTGCGGAAGTATATTCTGAATCTGTTTAAACTATTTTGCGGAAGTATATTCTGAATCTGTTTAAACTATTTTGCGGAAAAATATCCCGAATCTGTATAAACTATTTTGCTGAAATATATTCCGAATCAGTTTAAACTATTTTGCGGGAAAATATTCCAAATATGTATAAACTATTTTGCTGAAATATATTTCGAATCTGTTTAAACTATTTTGCTGAAATATATTTCGAATCTGTACAAACTATTTTGCGGAAATATATTCCGAATCTGTTTAAACTATTTTGCTGAAATATATTCCGAATCTGTTTAAACTATTTTGCGGAAATATATTCAGAATCTGTTTAAACTATTTTGCTTAAATATATTCCGAATCAGTTTAAACTATTTTGTTGAAATATATTCCGAATCAGTTTAAACTATTTTGCGTAAATGTATTCCGAATCAGTTTAAACTATTTTGCTGAAATATATTCCGAATCTGTTTAAACTATTTTGCGTAAATATATTCCGAATCAGTTTAAACTCTTTTGCAGAAATATATTCCGAATCTGTATAAACTATTTTGCTGAAATATATTTCGAATCTGTTCAAACTATTTTGCGGAAATATATTCCGAATCTGTTTAAACAATTTTGCGGAAATACATGTCGAATCTGTTTAAACTATTTTGCGGAAGTATATTTTGAATCTCTTTAAACTATTTTGCGGAAATATATTCTGAATCTGTTTAAACTATTTTGCTGAAATATATTCTGAATTTGTTTAAACTATTTTGCGGAAATATATTCCGAATCTGTTTAAACTATTTTGCGGAAATACATTTCGAATCTGTTTAAACTGTTTTGCGGAATTATATTCCAAATCTGTTAAAACTACGTTGCGGAAATATATTCCAAATCTGTTCAAACTATTTTGCGGAAATATATTCCGAATCTGTTTTATTAACTATTGAAAACTTTGTTATCCAAATAAATCAACTCTTTTTTTCAATATGTTTACAAAGGTCAAATCAAAGGCTATTTTTTGTTTTGAATAAAGATTGTAACAAATGTCGTCTTCTCTAATGATTAAAGGTATTTTTCTTTTGCATGTTTTTCCAATAATTAAGTCGTCTTTTGCATGTTTTTCCAATAATTAAGTCGTCTTTTGCATGTTTTTCCAATAATTAAGTCGTCTTTTGACATTGATCAAAGAGTTGTTTTCAAGCAAAAAATGAAGAAAATACTTTTGATTTTCATATAAATGCACTTTTTTCCTGGTTGTCAATTACGAACGGATTTTTTCCGGAAGTTTTTTAAAACTATTTAAATATTTTATCCAAATAAATCTACCCCTTATAGGAATAATCGAGCATAATATTTTTTCCAATATGTCCCACAGTGTCACATTTTTCTCATCATGAGGCTAATTTTTCAATAGTTTGATTACTTAAACAAATTTATTGATGTTCCAATTGGAGCCAGGCCATGCATGGAAAGTTCAGAATTTACAAGAAAAAATACAAGAATGAATAATATATATGTTTCGATTCGATAATAATGAATAACTAAAATAATAAATATGTCATGCAATGAGTACTGATCAATGTCGCCTATTTTTGCATAATTTAGCATATTTTTTGTAAAACACTATATATTCGAAATATCTGAACAAAAGTAAACTACACCATTAATATATGTATGTGTATCTTTGTTTGTAAATAAATTTTTATACATCATATATAAAGTTGTAATCTCTGTTTGGGTGTATGTTTGTTTGTTCGATCATAACTCTGGAAACCCTGGAGTGATTTGCCTCAAATTTTGATTGGGGAACCCAGAAGGCCCACGAGAATGTTGTAGCTTGGTTTTATGATTCAAAGTTGAGTGGGTCGACTTAAAAAGAGAAAATTTAGTTTTCCGATTAAAATCGTTCAAGTGCGGGTAAACGGCGGGAGTAACTTTTAGTTCCCTTGGCAGAGCTGGGTTCCCAAGCTAGGACATAAATCAACTTTAATGGAAAAATATCATTCCAGTTTGATGATCGCGCTCTACAAAGAAACTTTTTTATTGATTTTGTTGGCAAGGCAAAGTTTGACACTTGAACCATGGTTTGAAAAGAAAATTATTGCATTTCAGCAAAATTTCTCACAGTTACCTGAAAATACACAATGTACATTATTTTAATTTTTAACGTTTAAAAAATACTTAAATATCGTGTACACTTTTTAAATAAGAATTGTTTAGTTATTAATAATTGGCGAAAAGATCATGGTAGAATTACTATTTACTTGATGTGCATTATCCATACAAATCAATTATTTACATCTAATTGAATTAGATAAAGGATAATATCAGAATTTCCTCCATAGTTACAGTGTTGGGGGGGGGGGGGATGGATATTTATAATGTACACAAATGTACTGTAAGAACAAATATCATAGAGAAATGAAGCGATGTACACAACGGACCTCCCTATTAAAGGGAGTGGCCGGCTATGTATGGTAGTTGATCTGAGTATGCAGTATTGTGGAAAAGTTCTTTAGCATTCATTTGAGACATAAAAAACGTTTCTACGATGTATAATCACTGAGTTTGTCCGCAAAGTCGACTTTCAAAATCATGAATTTGGGTGGGTACGTTTTCAGAATCTTTTAAAAAAATTATTAAATAACAAAAAATATAGTAAACATTCCACAATAAACTAATGACAGATTGGAGAAAAATATTGGAGCAACACTGTTCAATTTAGCCTCATTTTTAAAGTTTTATAAGATTTCTCAATTGAAATCTACATGTATTAAGACAACAATTTTAAAATCTAAAAAAATAATTCTAAGAGGCGAAATGTCCTCAAAGCGTCATTTTGTTTTGATTAAGATTTTATCAAGAGAAAAAGGCCTTCTCCTCCTCTTTATAATTGTGACTTCAGGAGTAAACTTGATTATGCACCAATATGAATTAAATTGAATTATTTACGATTTGAGTGAAATATTATAACTCTTTGAATTTGTATGGACGCTACGCTATACACTCTTTGGTTTGAGTTGTGTTGAACTATCTTCTCCTTACAGATGCAACAGATAGAAATGAGATTAGTAGCGATCACCATCGCATTCATTCGACGTTAGCCTATGGCCCCTTTAATTTTTTGCGAACACTCCCTTTAAAGGTACAATATTGGAGTCTAAAAGCAATAGTTTTGTTTGTTTTTGAAATACGACCGTACTGCGATTCTTAGTAGGTCAATTTCTATTTGTATCAAAGGATAAATCCAGGAACAAATCCGAATTCGGTCAGTGACTCCCTTTCATCTGTTTTATTCATCAAAGCAGAATATAAATATAATTCTATCAAAAGTTGAAAAAGATTACAGACAGAATTATGAATAAGCTTAACTCCAAAAAAACTTTGCTAAGGCGTGAAAAAAATGCATATAAAAACTATAAAATATAATCTTTTATGGGGAACTAAGTTTTTACTATAAACTCAAATTTTCTGATCCCTATATCTTTGTAACTTAATTAATGGTGTAAACCTGTGATATTTCTAACCTAGCTAATTTTATCTAACATGATCTAACATGATCTATTATGATCTAACATGATCTAACATGCCGAAATATAAAGAAATATAAAGAGTCAACTACATTGAATTGTAATGATAAAGATTTAAAAAACATTTAAAAACTCAGTTCCTTTATAGAAATATCAGATAGCATTAATATTGAATCGATTCAAAGTCTAAACTAATGAGAAAATACATTTTTTGGTCAGAAAACCCGAGGTTAGAAAACATTCAGGTTATTTGTCTCGATAAAAAAACCATTTAAGACAACATTCAAAACCTCATCTTCCTGAAAAAAAATTGAAATTAATTGTCATAAAACTGAGATTCACTATCAAAAAAAATTTCATAACGATAGTTTTTCGTTTTTTGAAAGTTCAGAACGAGTGGTTCGTTTTCAAAACTATCGTTTTTGTCTAAAAACGAAACGAAAAACGGTCGTTTTACATTGAGCAAATCACATTAGGCTTGCGCGGGTGATGAAGATGATGAAAACATATAAAATCAATCTTTTATCGAAACTATTAATGATTTTTGTCAATCATCATTCATTTCTTGTCGCATTATTTGACAAACTATGAAGAAGGATATCATAGATAAATAAATAAACATAGATAGCTTATGTACGCAAAATCACCAAGAATTGTACAGTCCGCGATCTCATACTTCTAGGGGTCAAAGTATACTTCAATGATAAACGGGGTGGTTTGGTGTTTTAATGGATTTCATACTTATTAAACCACTCAGGAGTGAATTTTATTTTGAGAATATCAAATTATTTCACTGAGCAATATATCATGTTGACGAGAACTGAAGAAGGACATGAGAAGGACTAGACTAACTTAAATTTCTCCCTACAGAACTCATGTACACCACAAGTACTCAATGGCATAAGAACAGCCAATGTTCACAACCGACCTAGTTAATCTATATAATAGAAATATCTTTAAAACATCTCTGTACATTTACTTCTTTCAAGATGAAAAATGTCGTCTTATGCGCAATCTATCTTTATCTATGAAGGATATTCAATGCTTTTAACAATACTTTGGCCACTAAAAAATATTCCTGTTGTCTGCACAATATTTACATCTATAATCCTCTCTAGCTCCCCTCTTTTCAACTTCCAGGAATAAAATTAGTTCTAAGATACTTTTTCTCAAAGGTCTCATGCTTACTCATGTGTTAATCTACTTTCTGAAAAGTTTCTGACTTGGAACAAATTAAATGAAAGAGCCAATATCTCCAAGATAATTCAACTTTTTTTCAAATCTCATCGCTAAAGGAGAAATGCCATGTTATCTGTTAAATTTATTCAGTTTATTCCATATCTGTCCATCTTTCCATAACGATTTCTAAACTGTGGTTGGATAATTTGTTCTGTATTTTTCCATAATGTTTATTTGAAAAATGATAAATTTTGTTCCACAACTTTTATAAATCTTATAAATAAATCATTTATCCATTTAGATACCAGCGTATTCGATCAATTAATTTATTTGATGGAAAACTAGTATAATAAGGCAAAAACAATATAATGCCTTTTTAGTTCAAGACGCTTTAAAATTTTACTTCAATGCATTAACCATATTAAGGTTGGGATTTTTTTTTGTCTAATATANCCCCAAGATTTAAGACAGGGGAGTGTGATACATGTCTCTATAAGTTCAATTTTTCAAGGCCTGCTCGTCAAAAGAAAATTAGACCTCTATCTTCAATGTTTAGGGTGCAAGGGAGGATTTTTTCTAAATCAAAAAGCTCTAGATCTGAAAATTACATTCTTGAAAAGCCCTTGAAAAATGGATGTAGAAACAAATGTCACACCTCAATATTTGTCAAAAAAAAAAAAATTCCGCCCCTTTCTTGGTTTTTTTTAAAACCTTCCTAGCACCAAAACTATTTATATTAGCGGTCTCATTCTTTTTCATTGAGCTGGTCTTGAAATATTGAACTTCGAATTAATATCGTATTCGTAGAGAGGTTGCGTGATTTTACTTCCGGGTTATGGCTTTCAACGTTGAAGTCTCTTGTGTTTTACAAATTATTTTCAGTTTAATATAAATTGGGAAACAGTAATATAACCGGAGAAAATTAGGTGAGAAAAATTCATATTTTTTTTTAACATAATATTTCTATTTCAGTTCATTAAATACACTAAATAATTAAAAAAGGGACCATTCCATCTTTTTTTTAAAGGGACCATTCCCTCTTTTTATTTAAAGAGACCATTCCCTCTTTTTTATTTAAAGAGACCAGTCCCTCTTTTTATTTAAAGGGACCAGTCCCTCTTTTTATTTAAAGAGACCATTCCCTCTTTTTTATTTAAAGAGAACAGTCCCTCTTTTTATTTAGAGAGACCATTCCCTCTTTTTATTTAAAGAGACCATTCCCTCTTGTGGTAATAAATAGAACGAAACACTGTGTCTATGGATAAAATATATATATGCTCGTTTAGTCCGCTAAACTTGAGCACTCTGTGGTAATAAATAGGACGAAACACTGTGTCTATGGATAAAATATATATATATGCTCGTTTTTCCGCTAAACTTGAACACTCTGTGGTAATAAATAGGTGTACTAAGTACCATTATCCAAGGCCCTCAACTTATAATGAGTTGGTTGAGCTCTCTGGTCCCTATTTCATTACCCAATAATCAGGGTTTGATGGAGCAGTGGTTAGCGTGTTTGATCTATAATCTAAGCCCCAAGCCCCAACTGTTAGAATCAAGAACTGATAAAATTCAGCCATACTGATGAGTCCTGATAGGACAAAAACCTGTATCAATGAATAATGTATATATATATATATAAATATACCAGACACGGGTAAACGGTGGGATTAACTTTGACTATGAATAATAATATAATCATGTGCAACACCGGGCAGTTCTACCATTAAATATTAAATGCTTACCCAGCGATGTCAAGAAGTCGTCTTCGTCTTCTGCGGAGATGTTTTGACTGCAATTTTAAATGAAATAATATCCAATTATTTGTTAATATTGTGCTCATACAAAAAAGTCATTAATTAAAATGATTTTAAGATTGATAAAGATAACCTTTAAAAAAACATTTTAAACGTTTTTACTATTAATCTTTGTAGACTTATTTTACAGTTTCATTATTTATCGTAAAATTTTTTTTCTTCGTAAAATTGGATATTTTTTGATCCTACCTAAAGTTGAAGCTAGAGGGAAAACTCATTGTAGAATTCTAAAAAATTCTAAGAATATATCATGCGCGCATTGTAAAAGAGACTGTGAGCGTAACTTCACATTACTCTTAATACAACAATAGTTTCAGTGGAAATAAATATTTCCATTTACTGATACTATTTCTATTGGTTCAGAATAGACAACAAAAACATGACTGAACCCTGATTGGATCAGGCGCGCTAATGGACTCGGCATATAGCTTACTTGTGCCTTACATCCGAAAAAAAAACATTTTACAAAGGCACTGAAATTTTTTGTCACAAACTTTGAATGTTTATAATCCTATATCTTTTTAACCTGATATATTAGAATTTTTGTAGAAATTTTGATGTTTCAGTGTACAGTGTACAGTGTACAGTGTACAGTGTACGCTATATATTCTGTTAAAATTAGGAGTCTAAGTTTGATCAGGCTTTCATCATCAGATTGTACAGATAAAGCGATTTGTAAATTCGAGTTTGTGGCAAAAAATCCGTTTCCTTCCGTGAAATAAAAATAAAATTGTGTAATTTAGAGAAAAGAATAGCCGTTGTTTTACTAAATTACTAATTAATTATCGGCTGAGTGCCTTAGTTTACATTTTGCTTGTGAAAATGATAAAATTTTTGATGCTCTTCCTGACTATTGACTAACAAAAATCTCGTATTAACAGATTTTTTTGTTTGTAAGATATTTAAACTTTTTTATCTACTTTTAACAAAAAACTACACTTTCAAAAACTGTGATCAAAGGTTACTTTTACCAAACTTTGCAATATTTGTATCAGAAATAAAAGAAAAACGATCGTTTGAACACGTACGTTTTTGGTCGTTTTTGCATATATCTCAGATTCAAAAATTTCCTTCACTTCTCAAATTTTGACCCTGAGATAAAGTATTTGCAAAAACCAAACCAAACGCGAACCAACCGATTAAAAACATTAATCAAGTATAATATAAAATAAAAGGGTACGCGAAAGATATATTTTTTATTAAATTTTGATGGAATTTATCACACCTAATATTTCCCGTTGTAGGGTGATTAAGTGACTTTATCGCCCTACAACAGGGCGAAAAGGTAACTTTTTCCTGCTATTAAAATTTCAAATTTCATACCTAATTTGTCTCATTGTAGGGTGATAAAATTACTTAATCACCCTACAACAGGGTAATTAAGTAACTTTATCGACTTGCTTTTAAATAATTTGACTAAAACTGAATAAAACTATATATGTTATTGAAATGGATATCATGCGAGCGAAAAACAAACTAGAAAAAAAAATCCCGCCAAAAACTTTTTGCACTTTCCATTACAATGACATAAATAGATATAACATGTCGATCAATATAAATATTCCAATTCAACATTACAGTATCTTCTAAACTTCCTTCGAAAACTTTCCTTCAATATGATATAAATATAAACTTCATTACAGATTCAAGTTTTAATCAAAATAAAAAATTTATCGATAAAGTTCGGACATGACTTTGTCCCCTCAGTGAATTATCGTTCAGGCCAAACTTTAGAAAAATACCAATGAACGGGACTCTTCTTGTAATTTCATGGGACCCCCTATCAATAGCTTTTAAACGGTACTCTTACAAGATGGTGCTGGTTTTGTCAGTTTAAAAAGTGTTTCATTATCTGAAGTAAAAATGCACAAGTGACTTTGAGGAGAAAACATAGTTTCCGTGAAGAAAAAAAAGATATCTAGTTAATAGAGTTGACCGTTATGGAATCAGACATGCTAGTCTCTAGTAAGGATCACTTGAAATTACGTCCTGCAATCCCTTTAAGTAATCAAATATGTTTATTTCTGACAATATTCTATAATCTGAACATAGATGCAAGAGTGTTTGAGAGAGATCTAGGTTTGATGATGTTTTCTCCGTTGGTTTCATCAAACTGGAACTAGAAGATGTATTTCTCCCGGCTCCTCTCCACCTCTCAACCTACCTCGATCCTCTCTCTCATCCCGCCTCTTCAGTTTTACCTCTCATTATTTCTGTCATCACGCTTAAAGGGACTGTAAGCATTATTTCCAGAATAGAATATGTATTAGAGGGGAATTTAGAAAATCTGTAGGTATGAATTTTTACAGTCCCTTTCAGCTTGAAAGGGAGTTCAAAGTGTACAAATCATGTTAATGTTCACAAATTATGTGCAGTAGAGTACATTAATACAGTATGTTCCCAAGACTATCAATTTCAATTTCGAATTTTTTAAAGCTTACAAATAAACTTCATAATGATTTAGGTGAATAAAAAACATCATTTGATTCATAGTTATAACGGAAAATCATCGTTTGTAAAGTGAAAGGCACAGAGTCTATGTGAAATGATCATTGGTCAATTATGAAACCAGACTATTTCATAATTTGGTTTTCCTTTAATATTAGTTTTAGATTTTCTATAAAATGATATTCCAGGGCCCAAAAGGTTATATAGCATAATTATGTGAAGTACACCTGCAGTATGGAAACAGTACAACAAAATGGCAGTTTTACACTTTTTTTCTAGTAAATTCCTCTCTAGTATATATTCTATTCTCTTTGATTATTTCAAGTGACCCACCATGCAAGCAGGGCAATGCCGAATTTACAACGGTACCCTTTAAACCTTTTAATGTTCATCGAGTAAAGAAAGCTTTTTTTAAAATATCTTGAAAATCACTTAAATAATTCTAAAACGCAGTGTACGCTGTGAACAGTTTGACCTCAACACAGCTGATGCGCTACTTGTGCAATTTGACATTACAAAATGTTTTACAAAAAAATAGTTTTCCGAAAATTTTTGAATTAAATTAACTTCTTTTCATTCGCACACGTAGAAGTAAAATAAAAGTTGCAAAAACCAAAATCTGATATAAATAAAGTTTTCAAATGCCCTTAAAAAATGTGTTGTCTAGATTATTATTTTAAATTTGTAGGACTTTTTTTTGCAAGACTATTATTTTTAAAGGCGCTGAGTTCTTGGTTCAAACTTTGTTTTTCTAACCCCTTTATCTTCGAAACCCAAAGTTGTAGACCTTTTACCTTTTAAAGCAATCTATTCTGTAAAATCAAATAGTTTAAGTTTGAAATATCAAAGGTCTACAGCATCAGGTTGCAAAAATACATAGGTTAGATCATTTGAGTTTGTGGCAAAAAATTATAAACATTTTGAAAAAAAATACTTTTTTTGTGGCCTGCTTGAGATTCTACCTGCGCTTGTATCTATGAATCATATTTACAGTAGTAATTTCTGCTAAAGTTAGTAATAGTCCGACCACAACTTCACCAGTAACTTCGTAGAACCACGGTTATGTTCTTGGCAAACTTGAATGGACTTACTTGTATACAGAAAGTTTAGTTTTCAGCCAAAGCCGTGTTCCCAAGCTAGTTAAGATTTTAAATCAAATTAATTGTTCCTGGTCTTAACAGACAAACGTCTGAAACTTAAGTTCTGTTGCGTGGTTTAAACAAATTATTCAAATGGATCTTCCGTTCAATCACTTTGTACTTTAATATGAAACCTTATTTTCAGGCCCGTAGCCAGGATTTGACCAGGGGGGGTGCAACCTGACGCACCGCAGGCGAAAAATTTTTTCAGGGTTTTTTTAATGATTTTTTTAAACAATGTTTGGTTTGGTTTTACAGTGGTATATGGTTGTTTTTATTACATTGTCAATGCACACTATAAAGGCTAACCTTTTTAACAAGTGTATTTGAGCTTTTAAGGGAGTACTGCTTAACTAACAGAGTCAAGTAATTATTTATTACTTTGACTTTGCAATATGAAAATTATATTATCTTATTTCTTATTCATTTAAAAAAAAAGCTTTTCAAGGGTCAAGGGGGAAACGCCTCACCACGGAAATGCCTCAAAAAAACAGACTCATAAAACATAGCACACCAGCCAAGGAGGGGGGGGCTAAAAGTCTGAAAGTGTACAGGAGATTACCATTTCATTTCCATGGGACTCTATGCATATAATTAATAGATAATAGATAATTAATAGATAATTAGACTTAAACAACTATTAAATGACTATCAGTAAATTTTGATGTTGTGTTATATTTAATCAACAGAGTGTACTGATCAACTGTTAGTTAGCCTGCGATAGGTCACAGGAGAGACATGACTCAGGGGATGAGTTGAGTACACAAAAACTCCGTCACACTTTTAATGAGTAACGCACAAATAGGTTATAATTTGGTTTGGAAATCAATTCTTAATACAATTTATAACTAGATTTTAAAAACAATTTCTTTTATATGGGACTAGGGGGGGGGGGTGAAAATTCGTCATTGCACCCCTCTTTCAGAAGAAAGGGGGGTGCACCTGCACCTTTGCACCCCCCCCCCTGGCTACGGGCCTGCTTATTTTAAAAATAATGGAATATTTAACTGTTTCGTGAATATGAGATCATGTTAGTATTAAAAGAGGCGTTAAATTACATTTAGATAAGATTACCATACTTTTAAAATCGTTCAAAAAAATCGAAAACAGTAAGTTGAGTGTATTTTATTGTTTCTAGATTTACTACAGAATTACGTGTTAGTTGCAAAGGGTAAAATAACATATTTCTAAAACCATCATAAAATTGTTGTTTTGAGTTAAAAGCAATTAAACAAGGAAACACATTACATAGTTAAAACTCATTTATGATATTAATTTATTCAGAATTGTTGCTGGATATTTATTGGATCACAGCTTTGTCCATATTCTTCCTGAAATTGGAAAAAGAAATTATTTATAGAACTTGGATGTTGGTTAAAAGAGGAAAGAATTCAAATAGGAATGAAACCCTTAAATATTTTTTAACGATTTTTAAAATTGTGTGTAATGAAAACAAAATAGAAATATGTAGCAGAGAAAATAAATATTACAATCAGAAAAAGAAAAAATGTATGTTAAAAATAAAGATTAATCCAGTCATATCATATTGAACTTTGTTGCGTCTTAAAGGAAGTGTTCGCGAAAAATGAAAGGGGGTATAGGCTTACTGCGATAAAAAAGCGCTTTTGATCGCTACTAATCTTTCTTCTATCTGTTGCGTCTATAAGGAGAAAATTGTTAAAGACGTCTCATACCGAATAACTTAGCGCCCATACAAATTGAGAAAATTGAAATATACTACTTAGACCCTAAAAAAATCAATTTAATTTCAAACAAATCATTCAGATATTACAACCTATAGTCATCGATTATCTTTCACCACATTTGTATATAGTTTATGTTTTATAATATTTTTTAATTACTATGTTTTGAATTTGATTATTTCTCTTGTCGCTTACGCAACTATCTAAGAATGCCGCGCACCTCTCACATTTTTCGAAATCCGTTAAAACGTTTTCTAAAAAAATAAAATATTATAAAATATAAACTTTATACAAATGTGGCGAAAGATAATCGATGACTATAGGTTGTAATATCTGAATGTTTTGTTTAAAATTAAATTGATTTTTTATGGTCTAAGTCGTATGTTGCAATTTTCTCAATTTGTATGGGCGCTAAGTTATTCGGTATGAGACGTCTTTAACAATTTTCTCCTTATAGACGCAACAGATAGAAGTAAGATTAGAAGCGATCAAAAGCGCTTTTTTTTCGCATTAAGCCTAAACCCCCTTTCATTTTTCGCGAACACTCCCTTTAAATCTGTAATTACAGCGCTTAGTCAGCTTCCTTTCCCTTTGACAGCTAACATTCAACACAAGATCTTTGATAATATTACCTAAGCTGTAGATTTAGTAATCTAGGAGTCCAGTTCATAATCTAGATCTATGATAATATTACCTAAGCTGTAGATCTAGTAATCTAGGAGTCCAGTCTATAATCTAGATCTTTGATAATATTACCTAAGCTGTAGATCTAGTAATCTAGGAGTCCAGTTCATAATCTAGATCTTTGATAATATTACCTAAGCTGTAGATCTAGTAATCTAGGAGTCCAGTCTATTATCCAGATCTTTGATAATATTACCTAAGCTGTAGATCTAGTAATCTAGGAGTCCAGTTCATAATCTAGATCTTTGATAATATTACCTAAGCTGTAGATCTAGTAATCAGGAGTCCAGTTCATAATCTAGATCTTTGATAATATTACCTAAGCTGTAGATCTAGTAATCAAGAGTCCAGTTCATAATCTAGATCTTTGATAATATTACCTAAGCTGTAGATTTAGTAATCAAGGAGTTCAGTTCATAATCTAGATCTTTGATAAGATTACCTAAGCTGTAGATCAGGTAATCTGGGAGTCCAGTCTTGGCCTAGATCTATTCCTCGCTTCGGTATATACTCATTCTCTCTGGGAACCATCTTAATGGAACAAATAGAAAGTGAACTATTATTAATACAGAGATAAAGCTAAAAACAACATAATATAAATTAAATAGATGAAGAGATAATTTGAAAAAAAGAAAAAAAGAAAGTATTGCAGAAGAAACGTTAGAAAATAAAAAGTTTCAAAACATAGCTCTAAGAATGCAAATTAAACTTTCAGTTTTGCTTTACTCTTTTTTTTACATAATTAAAGTTCTAATTGTTTTATAAAAGTTATAAAATAAAAGATTGTCAAGGTTTATCACGAAATGTATCATGCTGAACACATGGCTTATATTTATAGAGGAAATTAAAATGAACAAATTGGAAAGAGATAAGAAAAAATTTCAAATAATTACCAAACAGAATTATTTTCTTTCAAAACTTCAAACTATTGCACTGTGATCTTGCAAGGCTACATTTGTAATTTGATGTATAAAACCATAGAGAAAGGAAACGAAGAGGTAAAGCTTACCTCAGATGTACACAAAGGACCCCCCTATTAATTAATTAATAGTGTGGTCGATTGTGTACATCACGATATGTTTACGTATCCATCACTGTACACTTGTATATAGAGTGATCATATCTTGGGGGTGGTTAAATCATGTGGATTTAACGGTTCTGTCAATATTTCAGAAAGCTGTGACTTTCGATTACAATTTGACCCCTTATACATAATTTGTTAGCCTTTGTCTCCATGCAGCATATATCCACCAGAAACAAGTTAATTGCGAGAATTTAACACATTATGAACTATAAATAAAAGATCCAGAGGTAAAAAAGAACCGATGTGATTGAACACTGTACCATATTTACCTTAATACACTCGATAATAGGGCAGACACTATAGCAAAGTGTACACCCAGTGCAGGCATCCTCTTTTACTCTAAATAAATTTTAGCACATTAATTCGGGTTTTTAAAGGGAGTGACCGGTTAGACATGGTAGTTGAACTGAGAGTGCAATATTATTTTTAAGGATTCAATTGATACCAATAAGACGTTCACACGGTGAATACTTTTTCAGTAAGTGCACAAATTCGAGCTTAAAATTCCTCCAGAATTGTTCATTCAGGAGGCTTGATTTACTAATGAAACGCCTTAAACTCTGATTTTCAAATACTGATGTAAAACTTTGATATAAACTGTTGATATCGCTAAGTTAATAGTTTTAAATATCAAATTTCAACAACGTCGACATTCGGTTGCAAAGGTACGAGGATTAGAACTTGCGGCGAGTCCTCAGTTTTGTTGTTGAGAGGTTTATTAAACAAAGTACAACATTTTTTACGCAACACTTTGATGCTTGATTTGTGAAGTAAAGTAAAGTAACAAATTATTTATTTATGAAATGTAACAAAAACATACAAAATAAAGTGTTTCAAGAGAAAATATTTAAAAACCTCTAAAAGTAGAGGTTGTGGGAATATTTCCCCCCCATTCTAAAAAAATATAAAACTAGAAATAAAAGGAAAAGGAAAGGAAAGGATAAGGAAAGTTACATATTTATTGTGTATTCTATATTTAAATTAGTGGCGGATTGTTAGTATTTTTCGACGATGAACTAATAACTTTAAGAAATAAAAATTATAGATTTATAACCGAAGGGTCCTAAATCCTATAAATCAAAGGTAAAATTAACTTTAACTCTGTTAAATACTTACCGTAGTGATATGCATCCTAACAACTATTAATCTTAGTGCTTTATATAATATTTCGTAATATAATCTCCATAGATAACAGAATTTTGAAGTTTAAATGTANCCCCTACCCCTACTCGGCTTGTTTTTACGGGAATCTTGCTCTATTGACATTCAATCAACCCCGTTTGTTTGTGTTCTCAAAATATTAAAAGTTTTCTAAAATGTTAGAGAATCTATGTCAGTATTTGGTTCACTATACCTCACCTCAGATGGTTACCTGAGACCCAATTTAAAGAATTTGAGCCAGGTCTAAACCTGGGTAAGCTGCTTACCACGGGTTCGAATTTGAACCACTGATTTAAATTCTTCCTTGATCATTAACTTTCAATCGGTGGTTCAAATTAGAACTGGCAGCAGGTGGTACAGCGAGGCAGCTTAAATTCTCTAAATTCAGTCTATGAAAAAATGTTTTCAACAAACTCTGATTTTTAACCAAACCCAATGTCGTAAACCTTCGATAGATCAATCTATAAATTTTGTGAGATCAAATGATTAAAGTTTTTTAATATCAAAGGTTTACATCATCAGGTTGCAAAGATATAGAAATTATAGATTTGAGTTTATGAGAAGAATTAAGTACAAAGAAGTTATGGGCTATTTTAAATTTTTTTCACAGACCAAACTTTTTTTCCGCCTTTAAATTAAAAAAAAAATATTTTTTTAACAAAAAATCCTTTGAATTATTTTCATTAAAATTCACAAAATTTCACGGGGGGGGGGGACGCCAAACGTCGGTTTAGGTTTAAGAAAAATGGAAAAATAGAGTAAATCATTTTGAAGAATAAAACCATTACATAATTTGAATTCGAATGTATCATGAAAGGAGACCTAGTAATCAATAAGGAAATTAATTTTGATCACGTTCCATTAGTTTCTGTATCTGAAACATTAAAAAATAATTACACGAGGAACATCTTTTCCTAAATCAAATATTTGTTCTATAAAGTCAAGTTCAACTTTAGACCAAAAATATATAATATCCCGCTTAGTTAGGCAGATAGATAGACAGAGCTGAAAGGTTTAGAATTGTGAATATCGAGATCACATGCTAGATCTTTGAAAACTTTGCTCGAGCAATCAATCGGAGAACTCTCATTGGTTGTAATCTAGCAAGATAATTCATAAAAGAGTATTAAGCATAAAATCAAAAGTGTCGACAGTGGAAAAAGAGATTAAGAAATCAGGATTAAGGATATCCATAAGAAACAAAGGTGAAACAAAGTATACAAAAAGCATTAACTTGGGCAAAACAGCAATGTTTTTTTTTATTTAAAAATCATAAAAAACTTGGGGTGTTAAGGAGTATATTTACCTTTACGAAAAATACACCAAAGTCTATATATTTCACTATAAACAGTTTTTCTTGAGCCTGAGACCGATCGAAACCAGCTTTGGTGAAAATTTACATCGTATTTTTGCTTAGCAAAGCAAAACGACTCATATGGGTCATCTATACAATAAAATCAAAGCTCTTTTTGTTCTTATTTGTTCTTATTCCAAGATTAAAGATAGAGCCACAGTTAATTTTTTTTAAAGATGACGCGAAGCGCCCAAAAAGCCTTGTACACAAATAATGCACCGTGCTCCTGAAACTTAAGGTACAAAACCAGGTTTTCGAGACCAACTGGTAATTTCTAGATTACCAACATTTTTAAGATTTGTTAAAGAAATTAGCAATACAATTTTTTACAAGGAAATTATTTAAGTTTTTACAAAAAAGTTATTGAAACTGGGTTTTGTATTTATTAAAGAATACATTTAAGTTTTAGCTCAGCAACCACCATTTGTGGTATCCAAGTTGGCAGACACTGTACAGCTTATACACTTAGGAAGATTAATTACAAACACACTTCGGTCTGATTTTAGATATAATATATGCAAAACAATATGTTGAGTATAGAATCCATAACTGTGGAATAGAAATACATTATTTAAAATTCCTTTCATGTTCAAATAAGGCAGAATTTGATGCTGAAAAAGCAGAATTATAAATTGATAAAAGATTGAAATATGTGTTCTCAATAAATAAAATAACACATTTGAAATTAATAGAACCAAAAGCTATTTTATCCATGCATTTCAAATGTCTTGAGTAAGGAATTCATGTGATATTTTTTTAATATTCTTCGTGGACCACAAGATTTTTGAATATGCAATCAAATATTACGCCAAATGAAAATGAAACTTATGATGAGTTTTTAACCTAAAACAGGCGGGGGAGGGGGGGCGTTGGACGCCCCTTCCCTCTGGTTTTTTTGTCCTAGCACTTTCATTTTTGACACACCGTGAAATTGAAAGAGTTAAGTTTGTAAAATTATTTTTTTAATGCATTAGGTAGGGTACATACAACCTGGGCGTTAAAAGTCTGGTCTGTGTAAAAGAAAATATCGAAAAAAACCCGTCACTTTTTTTGGTAACTGAAACTACAGATTTAAAATATTTTTTTTTAAAAAAAGCCCCTGAAAAATGGATGTAGAAACGTGTGTCACACTTTGATATTTGTTTAAAAAAAATATTTTTTACATTTTTTGGACCCTTTCTTTTAGCATTTTTTTAAACTCTCCCTAGCATAAAAACTATTAAAGTTATCGGTCTAATTTTTTTTAATGAGCAGGCCTTTAAAAATTGGGCTATGAGTATGCATTTCGACCCTTTACTTATTCTCTAAGGCCTTTTTCGAGGGGGGCAGGGGCGTCCCAGGCTATAAATAGATTCTGACCTCCCAGCCTTTATAGCGTTTAAGAGTTAAAGAGGATATTTATAGGGGCTAAAATATCATGTCAAGGTGAATTTTGAGAAGAAAAAAAAAATTTAGTTTTACTTGCCTTGGAATATGAGTCTCCTCGTCGAATTCTATTGCCTGGTAACCAGTATCATTACAGGTCATGTAGCACTTCCCTGCAAAAAATACTATCAGAAACTAAAAATAAGAGCTACTGTCTAGCTCTGTGGTTTCTTTTAGCTGCGCTTCTTAGCTCACTATCTCCCCAATATAGTGTTTCCAGCGAAAATGAATTAAACGAAAAAATGCGAAAACAATGCGAAATATCGCGAAAACTATAACTGCAACAATTATTTGAGCAAAAAAACTTGTTGAATTCTGTGCTCTGAGAGCTCAGAATAAGAAGTTTAATTACATCGTAATTCACAATTTCTCTTCCGTATATTTTTCGCAAAATGTTCGAATTTTTTTCCCCTGAAATTTTCTAGAAATTTTGCTGAAAACCCTACCCCAAAACCATAGTCCTTTAATTTCTTTAATTCTTCTATTACATACAGCCAATAGGGTGTCCCAAACAACGATCATTAAGACATTGTATCACTCACCATGGTTCCATTAAAAAAAATTGTACAATTTAGTGAAGCTAATTTACTGAATGTTCCTTGGGACAGTTAAGTAAAATAACCACTCGTTCTCCAAAGTTTTCGTGTAAAATGTGCGCATTTTCATATCAAAAGGTACATCTATTTTTTCCGAAAATTAAAAGTTTTACTTAACCACAGGTTCACTCGACCAATTTTATCCTTGATAAATAAAACTCCCTATCTTCCTTGTAAAGTAGTTGTTAATAATTATAACTAATACAAGTTTTATAAGCCGGTATTTCTACTAATGAAAAGAGACATCATTAAGAGAAATAATTAAAGTATAAATCAGGAAGGAGAAAACAACTTGTTTATCACACTATAGATTAAACCTAATAAGAAGTTAAAGATTGCTTTTCCAAAAAGGATGACAATGAATGCAACCCTACAACTTCAAATCTTCTTAAAATTAATTTAGTCGAAGTCTTGCAGAGTAAACATGATTTTTTTACAACGAAAAAAATAGTGCGCCACTAAACACATCTTGGAAAGTAAAAAAGGGTGAATACATTCTATACAATAGTCTTATAAGTCTCATTCTTTGTTGATATCCCTGTATTTTAGCATTATCTGATGAATATTTTTTATCACATAATACATTTGCTTTTAATTCTTGACAATCAGATTTTAATTGCATTTCAAACATGGTATTACAAAACTTGCTCAGAAGACTTTGCCACTAACTCTGGCTTTTAATTCCTTTATCTTTGGGATCTTATGAAGTAGTACTTAAATGCTTTAAACTTTCAATTCTGTTAGATAAAATTATCTAAGTTTGAAATATAAAGGTTTACACAATTAGGTTACAAAGCTATAAAATTAGAAAATTTCAGTGTGTGGCAAAGACTAGAATTGGGCATCGTTTTCTTGAACGAACAATATGTTGGAGAACGAACGAAATGTTTCGTAGAAAAGGGTTAAAAAAAAAACTAACATATGGATCGTTCAGAGAAATGAAAAGATTCCTGTTTTTTAAAACGAAAAAAATTTGTAATCAAACTTGAAAAAGCATCGCTTTTTACTGAATGGACGATTTTTTCAACAAATTTTTTATAAACGATTTTTTTACTCTGAACGAATGATTTTACTGAACGAGCGTTAAATGATAAAGTTGAAAAATGAACGATAATTTTGAGAATGAAAGAAAACGATTTTTTATCGATTAAGAAAAACTAACGAATTGGTTGTTCACAAACGATGAACAAACGAAATAAAAAATTTTCTACAGCAAAAACTCGGTTAATTACCACAATTGATGCACATCTCCGGATCTATAAGTGCAATCACGTGTTCTCTGTTATCTAGATCACTGTAGGCTCCAATCTAATTTAATAAAATTATTTGTATTATTTGATATCTGTAATAGAACCAATAATTAAGTATTTATACAATGTTTATGCATATTTTTCATATCTTATTTTTCTATAGAATTTTACTTCAGTTTCTGACTGGTTTTGGAGAGAAAATATTTAACAAAATTAAAAAGTTTACATATATGATATAACTCAAAAAACGCCGAATTCCACAATACAAATTTTTAGGTGAATATGAGTTCAAACTAACTGACAGACAAAAATAGATACTATAGTTATCATATGTCATTTTTCTTATGGAATGATTTTATTTTTAAAATAAGAAAAAAAATATTTCTAGGTTAAATAAATTAATATTTTCTTGCAATAATGCATCATATGGTTTTGACAATTCCAGTGCGGTTCGAATTTTAGCAGTTTTGTTTTCAAACAAAATTTCAACAAATGTTCTTGTTATATTAAATATTTAAAATACTGCGGGGAGAATTAAGTCTGGATATATTATATATAATAAATGTAACAAATTTACCTTGTCAAGTGCTTTACCAATCACCTCAGCCACCTGAAGAAAACAGCTATTAATGAACTTATTATGCATTCTAAGTATAGGACTATGTTACTTTATGGGTTTCATTAGAGATCGACCTCATGTCCTCTATAGGACCATATTAAAGTCTATATTCTCTTAGTACAGCTACTTAGATAGATGAGTTCAATCTAAATACTCAGGAACAGTCCCTTTAAATCTGCTCGGACTGACGCGCGAAAAGAGAAGCGGATAGACGAGCGCGCAGCAGAAGGAGGCTCTTAATACAGAAGAAGAACGCGCACTCCTACTTTTACCACCGAAAGATCAAGATCTAAAATGCGACCTTAAAGAGCAAATATAATAATAAATTCATTTCTTTTTATTTCAGATGCTATATACAATGCGAGTGTTCTGACAGGGAGACTTCCATACGATACAAAGAATAGGATTATACAGCAGTTCATACACTTTCTTTCTGAGTAAATAATGACAAGTAATATGTAAAGAAACAATACTTTTTGTCTTCTGAAATCATAAGAATCTAATCAGAAAGTAAGATGAAAAAGACATTGAAGATAGATATTCAATCTATTTTTGGAATTGAGTTTTTTCCACAAACTCAAATTTTCCAAACACTATATTTGCAATCTGATGGTGTAAACCTTTGATATTTAAAAATTAGATAATTGAATCTAACATATTTCATAGTTTTAAATATTTAAAGTCTACGACACATCAGGTTACAAAAGATATAAGGATTATAAAGTCAAGAGTTTGTGGCAAATATTAAATTCCTTTGAGCCCTTTTTTGCATTATACTCACGTGAAAAATGTATCAAAGTTTTAAAATAAAAATGTTTTTCTTAAAAATCCTTTGGGATAACATATCCTTTTAGAAATGTAAACTCGTAGGAATTTTTTAGAATTAAAGTCCAAGCTTTTATTTCTCTACTCACGTAATGTAAAAAAATCCAGACTAGAAAAAAAACTAAAGCAAGGATAAATTCATGTATGAATTACATTTTTCAATGCCAGCTTATTAACCCTATTCCGACTGAAGGGGGGGGGGGGTCAATGTGACCCCCTGTCGTTTTTTTTTGCGATAAATCAAAAAGTATTGGTTTGAGGTTGTTCAAATTTTTCTACTTTTTTAACTAATACATGCCCCTAACTTTAGACTAAAAGCTAGTTTTTTACATCCTACTGCCTGAGTCCACAGACTTGTTCTGCAATCTATTTTGGGTAAAACAGACGTTAGTGGGAAAAGGGTTAAAGAAAGATAAATGTAAAATATAAACATTTTTGCTCTAGACAAATATTAAGATGTGACAAATTTTTTTAAATATCCATTTTTCAATGAAGTTTTTGGATCTGTAGCTTTAATAACAAACACGCTCTGGGCTATTTAAGTTTTTTTTTCTGTATGGACAGGCCATTTTACCGTCACGTCCTGTAAGATCTACATTATGCACTAAACAAATTATTTTTTGAGAGTAAAAAATGTCAAGGCGATAGTGTCAAAAATGCAAGTGATAAAAAATTCGCCTGGATAAAAATAAAAACATTGTAATTAATAAATATAATAAAACAATATTTTGAGAAAATAATTCCGATATTATAAACCTTATTAATGAAATTTCCGACCTTTATTTCGTAAATGTCAAAAATTTAATATCCTTGATGTTTTTTGTAAACTTGAGGATGTATTGTAGGTTTCTGAAACGAAAACTTTTACTATTGCTTAATGAACTTTTACATTACTTTACAGTGTTTAATGCACGTTCATTAAAAGTTTCTATTCTCAATTATATAACTATATTATTTTACAGTAAATAAATTCAGCTTTCAACTGTTGCTCTGTAAGTCGGCCATTACAATTTTTTTTCAATTTTGATCTTCCAGAAACCTTCCATTGGGTCATGTCGGGTTGAACAACAAATTTGGGCCCGATCGGTTACTACAAGTTGAAGGTCGTTTTCCAGAAAAAAAGGTAATTCGTAACAACAAAAATTTTCAGTGATAAAATTTACCAAAAAGAACGCCATTTTAGATTTAATAAAAATTTTACGATTACTGTAGTCAATCGGACCTGCCTTTAAATTTTCCAATGTATTAAAGTTATACCCTTTAATAAGATCTTTCTTTTCCTACATATACCCAATATGTTACAAATCGAAATCATGAAGAAACCCTTATTAAAGGGACTGTACGCGCAATTTGAAGTAACCCTGAAATCCGCAATTTACAAGGGTACCCTGTAAGCTTTGTCTGATCAAGTATGAATTAGGTATCTATGTTTTTGTTTCGTTAAACTGTTTTTTTTTTCATTTGCGGTTTCTCGACGAAGGTGGCTTGCGCATTTCTTGTTTGAAAGAAGTAATGGAAAACCTCGTAGAAATAAACACCTTCCGAGTCAGAAAATCTTTCATATTTTGGATTAGATCAAGGGTATCGTTGATTTGTAGATCGGGTACTGCATCTTTGTATGGAGGGTCACTTACGTGTAATTATGCTTACAGTCCCTTTAATAATATTGAAGAGTATCATGAAGATATTTGGATTCACAGGATATCCTTATCTAGGAAATATAATACCAAATTAGAGAGTAATACAATAATAATCAACAAATAACATGAAATCATACACCAATTATTTCAGTTTTAAAGAATATTTTATAAATTATTCTTTAAATCAGATGTTTCTACAAAAGAACTATTGCATTCTGAACTGAGCTGGTAACTTTAGAATGGATAACCTTTAATCCAGACTGCTTAATCCGAATATCCACTGTGGAAACTTTTAATTTTAGTCCTTAATCCACTCTTTTTCTCTCTCTTTGTATATCGTACATTGTTTTCTCCAATGAGATTCCAGGTATATAGATTGTAAATTGTATTGACTAATGACAGCCTTAAAAATAAATTCTATCCCATGAGAGAAATCCACAATTTCTAACAAATAAAGAATTTGTTGTCGGCCATTTTGTAAATTTATAGGTGAAGCAAAATAATTAATAATACGTTGGAGATTCTTTTTTAACCAATTATAATTAATGTATTAATAAATAAATGGGTGAGAAATTAAATGAAGGCCCATCCAGTCAAGAAAACCAACAAATCTAGCGTTCCTAGAATCAAATTTGTTGATCTAAATATTTAATCTCGAGACTAACATAATATCGAGATTAGCAAAAAGAAAGGATCAATTATTAATCCTAATATCCACCATTCTAAAGTTCCCAGCTCAGGTTGAAGAAAAGGGACTATTATTTTTTTCATTGTACTCCACTAACAAATATTTTTGCGTATTTCCTGTTTGAACTACTGGATTTTCAAAAAATATATTATCATCCTTACCTTAGGAGTCATGACTCTTTGTTTAGCAGGAGGACGATTTGGAGATAGAGTCGTCTCAAGTAAATCCTCAGTCTTCTTATGCTCTGCTAGCAGAGCAGCTTTCTCCTTTATTCATCATTCGTCAATACTTGTAATTTTAACAACAATTTTATAATTGATAAGAGCTGAAAACTTTAGAATGATGGATATCGAGATTAATGCATGATCCTCTCTTTTTCATGATATCGAGACTAATCTAATCTTGTATCCTGAGAAGTGTATGAAATTCAATCAATCAGAGTTGCGTATGAGAAGCCGATAAATTTGAAATTTTGCGCACCATTTAAGATTAAAATATACAGAAATGGGAGGAACTCTCTAATTTAGAAAAACCGGTTTTTGATCTTTCTCTACTATATCCAAGAAAGAACGGTTTGAGAAGAAAATAAAAAGTTTGTCCATTGCATACTCAGATTAAGTAATTGAGATTAAGGATATCTCATTCTAACGTTATCAACTCTGTAGTTTCTTGATAAAGTAAATATTCACTCGAAAATGGGGGGAGATTACAAAAATATATTTTTGACAATGTTGTTCATTAGTTTTATGAGAAGCAATATAAATGGCCGTTTTGACAGTTTAGAGCTATAAGCAGGGAACAAAACCAGACGCGTAGTGGAGGGGGGGGCGCGGTACCCCTGTGCCCCCTAGACATGCACCCCCCTAGAGCCAGAGGCAGGCTCTAATTTATTTAAAAGTAAACTTACATATATATTCAGATTTTTTACTTTTCTTATCAATCGACAATGTCACAATTTGTCCATCTTATGATTATTTCTCAAATTCTTTCTTGTACCTTAATCTTATTTACAATATTGTTTTTTCGCGATGAACATCAACCATTAGGGGGTTGCACAAAAAAGTGCACCCCCTAGGCTAAACCTCCACTACGCGCCTGAGCAAAACAACTGAAGAGATGAATTTCCTTTGCGTAAGGTCCGAAATTAGGTAGATTTCTACCGATGATACTTTGCACATTAATAACAGGTTTTCCTAAACAAAATTAGATCAAAAATCAAAACGTTCAAGATTGATGATTTGAAAGGGAAAACATAACCCATAGGACGATTTTGTATCATATTTGCAAACCTGTAATTGTAAAAATTCTTAAAAGTGTGCCATACATTTCTTAAAATTTATAATTTAAATGTACAAGAAAGAACTAAATAAAACATTAAAAATAAGCATAGGTTTACAGTTTAACATAGTCTTTAGATTTGAAAATTATTTAATACAATTAATTTATATTCTAGCTTGGGTAAATTAACTATGTGTATAAAAGTCCATCTAATCAATTTTAAAGGGAGTGTTCGCGAAAAATGAAAGGGGTTATAGGCTTAATGCGATAAAAAAGCGCTTTTGATCGATACTAATCTTACTTCTATCTGTTGCGTCTATAAGGAGAAAATTGTTAGAAACGACTCACACGGAAGAACGCAGCGCCCATACAAATTCGGAAAGATGCAACATTCAACTCGGATCGTAAACAAATCAATTTAATTCCAAACAAATCATTCAGATATTACAAACAATAGTAATCGGTTATTTTTCGACGCATTCATATATAGTTAATATTTCATAATATTTTTGATTTTGTTTTTTTTAGATTAATTTTCGCTGGCGCTGGATTTTCGAACATTCCTGGAAAATATGAAAATGTCGTCTTCATTATCAAAAATCCTCGAAACAGGAAAAAATGTAACTCTCAAATCATGAAAAATACAAAATGTTATGAAATATCAACTATTTACGAATGCGTCGAAAAATAATCGATGACTTTTGTTTGTAATATCTGGATAATTTGTTGGGAATTAAATAGATTTTTTTACGATCCGAGTTGAATGTTGCATCTTTCTGAATTTGTATGAACACTACGTTCTTCGGTGTGAGTCGTTTTTAACAATTTTCTCCATATAGACGCAACAGATAGAAGTAAGATTAGTAGCGATCAAAAGCGCTTTTTTATCGCATTAAGCCTATACCCCCTTTCATTTTTCGCGAACACTCCCTTTAACTTTTATATCAAGCTACATGAAATGTCCATGGATTTACAGAGTTTCCCAGAATTAATAATTTCTAAGATCTACGACATCAGGTTCAACAGATATAGGGATTAGAAAATCAGAGTTTGATGCTAAGAATCAATTCCTTGGTCTAAATACTAATTAAAAATATAAAGATGAACATATATAGATAGATAGATAGATAGATAGATAACGTTTATTGCTAAAATACATGTATCTGTGTACAAAACGAGTTTACAATTACAAATTGATGCAAATATTGCATTTAAAAATTTGTGTTCTCACCCTTCTGTGTTCTCAGTGTTGGAGGCGATTGTCCGTCCCAGTCCTGTTCATTCCAAGGATATTCAACATTTATTATTATTATATTTTTTCTAGTTTTCCCTTTATTCAGTATCTTTGCTTTAGAAATCCACGCGTTGCCGAATTTAACTATACCGTTGTATGTTATGGCTGTTTTGAAAATAAAATCGGCCAAGCCAATATATGATTTTCTTGTATATTATTTTATATCAAATCAAAGTAAATTTAATTCAAACGAAAAGTCTAACAAACAAGTGGAAAAAATACATATAAAGTTTAAAAAAGTTTAATCCTAAAGACAAGTTTGACCAGAGCCCGCGATTTAAAAAATTCAGTCTAAGCTGTCGTTGGGCCTTATTTACGGCTTGATATTTCGGAATCAAGCTGCATCTTATTTTCAACAGAGTTGAGTTCAAAAAACTGGTGTGATATTCTATTTGGTGGATTTTCATGGTAGGAATAGGCGCATTCCGGGTTTTGATGAGAATAAGACTCAACATTGAGCCTTATTCTCCACTAAAACCAACCAAGGTCGGTTTTTTATTTTCATTGGGCCTAACTCCTTAGGTCGAGCCGAAGATCTTGCAGCTGTCAATCACGTGACACAAGCTGTCGTCAGAGTTGGGTCGGTCGAGGATTGGATCTTAAAGTCGGGTTTAAAAAATTACAGCTAGAGCCGAAGTTTTTAAATCGGGGGCTCAGGTTTTAATTTTAAGATTATCGTTTCTTAGATCAAGGTTTGTTAGGTAGCTAATTATAAATCCTGCTTTGCATATCTACATAAAATCCTCGACAAAAAAATGGTTTAAAAATATTAGAATGAAAGGTTCCTTCCTCTAGTCCTTCGAGAGTTTGTAGATATAGAAGGGTTTTCAAACCTAAAATAAATAAAATATTATGTATATTCAGATATTATCAGTTTCTCTAGAATTGATATCTCTGAATACCTGAGGCAGATGCTGTGTCAAAAACAAATTACATACAGTGTTCTGCCATTATATCAATACAATGAAGACGATTCTTCTATTTCAGCTGAATTGATTTCTAACAAGTTTGTTTTAATTCAAGATAAACAAAGAGAACCTGTTGACTATGAGATAAACAAAGAGAACCTGTTAACTATGATAAACAAAGAGAACCTGTTAACTATGATAAACAAAGAGAACCTGTTAACTATGACAAAGAGAACCTGTTAACTATGATAAACAAAGAGAACCTGTTAACTATGATAAACAAAGAGAACCTGTTAACTATGAAACAAAGAGAACCTGTTAACTATGATAAACAAAGAGAACCTGTTAACTATGATAAACAAAAAGAACCTGTTAACTATGATAAACAAAGAGAACCTGTTAACTATGATAAACAAAGAGAACCTGTTAACTATGACAGCTTCGTTTTCTTTCCGTGATTATGTATATATGTGTTAGGCGATTATATCAATACAATGAAGATGACTTTATGATTTAAGTTTGTTAACAAGCTTTATTCAAATTACAAGTAGTAAATCAAAGAGAAGCTTTTTTTATTTGATAACATCTCTTGATTTCTATGTTTGTGTGTATCCATAGCTGAAAACTTTAGATCGAGATATCTTTAATCTGGATTACTTAATCTGAGTATCCAATGATTTTCTTCTTAAACCGTTCTTTCTTGGATATAGTAGAGAATATATCAAAAGCCTGTTTTTAAAATTAGAGAGTCCCTCCCGTTTCTGTATACAATCTTAAATGGCGCGCAAAATTTTAAATTTATCGGCTTCATATTTGCGATTCTGAATGGTTGAATTTTTACCCTTTTCCTAAAACAAGTAGGTTAGTCTCGATAAAAGGAAAAAGAGAGGATCAAGCATTAATTTTGATGTCCACCATTCTAAAGTTTTCAGCTCCATGCTGTTTAACAGCTTGATATAAATAAAAATTAAAATCGATGATTCATCCTGCATCTAAAATTTTAGAATTAATAAGGAGTTTGCTAAACATACATTTGAATTCTAGATGAATTCTAGATTCCAGATAAATTCAAGATGGATAGACCACATATATTCTACAATATTGAAATTCATTCCAGGATGGGATATGCCAGGAAGGAAGTTAGGCCAGCGGTATCTTTGAACAAGTTTAAACATGGAATAAATTTGTAATAGCTAGAGATTGTGGGGGGGGGGGTAAAGAAGGATGTCCCAAAATGATTCATCTAGTGTATTATTTCATTATGAATCCTAACAACAACTATAAAAACAATTTATCAAATAAAGAAGTCTATCTAAGATCTAAATTGCGTGCAGTGATTGAAACGGGTAGAACGCTGCGTCAGCTTACGAATAGGACAAATTAGGAGTACTGGGATAATGACAAGGACAAGGACTAAGACAAGGATCTGTTAATTACAAGGGATGTAATCCGTTGTAATAAGGGCAGAGACCAGGGACCAAAGGGAATCGGTGTTATAGGTATCATGTAGTGCCATACCGTACATCGGATAAATGAGAGTTGAGGCATCTGTGTATATTCTGTGTACACAGATCTGGGGTATGTAAACAGAAGCAGGCTGACCAACCTTGGGGATTTCATTCTCTAAAAGTGCAGATTTGGGGATTTTGAAAGTCTTTGGGGATTTGGAAAATTTTGGGAAATTTGTGAATCAGTTAAATTACGTTTTTTGACCCTGTATTTTTAATAATTAACTTTTAAAAAGTAATAATATTTGCCTGCAGACACATAAAACGTGTTGTAACAACTTTAAGATCTCTAAAGAGATGATCGAGAGGTTCAACACCTCCATGTATGATTTTAAATCATTTCATGATCAAGACTCTACTGAGTCTGATCTTCTTAGTTAAGTTCCTTCTCTGTAGAGTATGAAAAACTGGGGTATATATTTTCTTTTTGTACAATCCTCCTCTCAATGAAATAATTCTCATTTTTACCATCATATTTAAGTTGATTTAGGAATTTAAGAAAATATTTACCCCTCGTTTGGACAAACAAATAATAATCTTGGTCCAAACTAATACTATAACTAATCTTATCTTATATACTTAACAACCAGTGTTTTTTAAGTTTTTTAAAAGTTTGTTATCTAATTTGTTTATTTTCAGATTAAAATGAATGATTAAAGGTCATTGAGTGTTGTCTTTTTATTCTACCTGAAAATATTGACCTGAAAATTATTTCATAATTTTGGGAATTTTTGGGGATTTTCAATTTTCATTTTAGGGATGAAGAGGATTTTTCTTGAAGTTTTAGGGGATTTTTCATTTTTTAGAGTTGGTCACCCTGAACAGAAGACAATTTCTATACAATAGCATGAAATATTTGCTGTATAAAACTGCAAATTGAGAAGTTATACGATCATCAGTAAACTTCCATTTTTGCCAGTCCCTTTTACTTTTAAAGTTTAAAATATGGATATCTTACTCATTTTATTTAATATTACAATGAACTAAATATTAAACGTCTACAGTTCCTTTAGGGACCATAGACAAAGGCTTAATTTTTTTATTCTAAATTTTGATTTATTATCAAAATAACGTCTACAAAAACCCCCCTCGTCTTTATATGTACATGTTGACCTTTTTGTCGAATTTTGAGGGGACTGTACAATTTCCCTGTACATATTCATATTAGCATTCTTTTCTTCGGTTGAGGACCAAACTGAAGATTTAGAATATTTCGGAGTTTCACTTTTTATAGATTTTCTTTTAAGGAATTTAGTCCTTCAGGAGGTTGTCTTACAGTAGTTGTCACATAAATTAATACAATGAAGACTGCTTTCGATTTCAAGAGAAGCTGTCAATTTTAAAAATCTTCTCCTTGATTGATTCCTTGTAAAATTTTCATTAACTTATTGATTAACAATCTATCCAACCATGTCTATAATAATTTAATTAACAATATGCCCAACCTGTTATATAATCATCAACTACTGTAAAATCTTGATTCTGAATAGCAGAGGAAACCTGCAAAAATAATCTCTTTAGATATTATAAACTTCGTTAGCTGAGTACATCCACCTTTATTTATTAATTTAAACCAAGGAACTGATTATTTGCCACGAACTCTAACTTTCTAACCCTTATATCTTTACAACCTGATGTTTCAGACATGTTATAATTTAAAACATGAATAATACTTGAAATATGCAAGATTTACAATATCCGGTTTTACTTTTCATTTCTTTGCTAGACACAGTGTTTTGTGATTTTCATATTATATAAGTTTGTTTATGCTTTTTTATATTTTATATTTTTATTTGAAATCTTGTGGAAGACGATGCCTGGCCGCGTTAAACTAGTTCCACAAGATTCAACAGAATGAGATAGAACGGATACGGGGTATAGTACTGATATCATCTCTACAGTCTACACGTGCGATATCGATATTGACTCTAGTTCTGATCCCTCTAGTAATAAGTTATAAGAAATATATATACTGGAAGTTATTTATGCGTTTTATTAGAGTCTGACTCACGTCCTCTATAATCTTACATTTAAATATTTTACTGTTTTTCATTTTTTAATAATTGTATATAAATAATCAAACAACTCTTATATAGTTTTTCATTCGATTCTGGAAAAGATTGACATCAAAAATGGTGGGCTACAGCAACACCTCTCATTTTATAAATAAACACATTGCCATTTACTAAAGGGAAAGTATTTTAAATGAAATTTTTGAAAAGCTTTAAAAGATTAGAATGGCGGATACCGCAAACCAAACAAAAACAATCTCTCAAGCAAAAATCCAACAGAATTTTGCCAATAACTTATTTTAAAATAAAACTATAAAATAGAAAGTTGCAGTTTTGAATTGTGCATATCCAAGGCTACACAAAGGTATACGCAAGGTGGCGAGGTAAATAATTTCTACATTTTCAGATTTAAAATTTTAAATTAGTGAATAATGATATTACTTTGAAAAATGGTTAATATCCAAGCCAAGAAAATCAAAGTTTACTAATAGAAAATAAAGAAACTTACAGAAATAGTATGTAATTTATGTATTGCTATTTAAACACAAATAGGAATATGAAGACTACAATATATAAATACCTAAGTGATGTATTTGATATTGCTACGTAACAAATAGTTTTACTATACACAATTATATAATCACTGATGGGTCTATCTACACTCTACAGTCTACACTGCACAGTGCACAATTGCTGTGTCTCATGCTCACTGGACTTTTCAAAAGTTAAAAATTGATTCTAAAAGTCGTCTTCTTATTCTAAAATTTTCTGGTTATCACTGTATAATGCTTATCAAATGTACCTGCATAACTGAAGCCCCAGCTAGAAGAAATTGCATTGTCACATCAGCACTGTCAATTCCACCTACACAACATACAACATACAGTTTTTAATGGAATTAGCATGGATTAGCTACTGAATTGAGCCCTTTCCACAAACTCAAATTTTCTGATGTTTTAGCTTTGCTACCTAGATTTTTTCAAACACACTATATTTAATGATATTTTAATAATATAATTCCTAATTGTAAAATTTGAAAATCTCTCCTCCTAAATGTGTTACCTGTGGCAAGGATAGGAAAGCCTGGCATTGCTTTAGCAATAGCTGACACCGCCTGAAAATATTAATTGAAATTCATAAATTCTCTGAAAACTTCTAAAAGTTTAAAAAGTTGGAAAGTGATTAGTTGAATGTTATAATTCTGTTGGCTCAGGAACCATAAATTTGAATTTTAAATGAATGTCAACATGAACAAATTCACTTTTGTAATTCTGCATTTGAAGGACATGAAAATATAGAGAGTTTTTTTTATTGTTTAAAGATATTGTTTTATAAAAACAAGATTATTTGATACTCCAAATATTTTGTATGCACCCAAATTAATTTTAAAAAATAGCAATCACAAAAAGTATTTACCTTGAGAGCCATTGGTTTGACTGCATTTCCGCTAACCCCACCATAGGTCGTCTTTTTCTCTGAACCAACAGCTGGCCAAGCAACTCCCTTCATACTCAATCCCATTAATCCTGAACATGATCGTTTAGTCTTAAATTATATTATTGATGTTGTTTATTAGACTGTCTGCGTAATGTCATGTGACCCTCCATGCAAAGATAGCAATGCCGATTCACAACGGTACCCTTAAAACCTTAATCTTATCAACACTGTATTTCTAAGAGTTTTCCATGGCTTCTAATAAACAAGGAATGCACAAGTCACTGTCACAGAGAAACTGCAAATGAAAATAAACAGTTTAAAGAAAGAAAAAAAACATTGATATCTAATTCATACTTGACCAGCGACCAGACTTTCAAGGGTATGTTTGTAAATAGGGTTGTCATCTTTGCATGGAGGGTCAATAGAAATCACGCTTACCCGTTACTTAAATATAAATCCTAATACTATTGTAAATTATAGTCTTAATTTCTACAATAATTGTAGATTTAATCTAACATATTAGATGTAAGTGTGATTTATCTGAAATAGATATATATAAACATGTATATATATGTATATATATATATCTGAAAGCAATTAAGAAAAATTATTTAAAAAAATATCAAATTAATTATTTTCAAATATTTTCAAATATTTTCTCGTTATCTTAGTTTTCAATATTTTCCTTCCTGAATTTGGGATAAAATATTTTTTTATGTAACCGCCCGTGTAACATGGTGGTCGACAAATTTAATATAAATCTTAAAAATTACTTTATATAACTCTGTATTTATAAAAAAAAACTTATTGATAAACTAATAAAAAAGCTTTTCACGGGATTAACTTAATCAATTTGGTTCTGTAGATTTACAGATTAGTTGTGGTTTCTTTCTACCTTCAGCGGCCTAATTGGTGCATCTACAGAAACCAATTTCTCCTTTTTGAATTTTAATCTTAAATTGGTTGGATGTGTAGTAAAGGGAGTGACCGCCAATGTATGGTAGTTGAACTGAGAATGCAGTATTGTGGAAATTTTATTTGAGACATATAAAACGTGAAACGTGAGTTTGGGCGCAAAGTCGACTTTTAAAATCATCCATCTGGGTGAGAATCAATTTTTTTAAATAATCAAATAGTGACAACCAAAAATGTTAAAAAAATTCTTTCAGTAAACTAAATACATGTTTAAGAACATATTTTTTAAATGAAATTTTCTCAATAAATTAAGTTAGAATCAATACAAAATTATAGAAACCAACAACTGAATAAGATTACTTATTTTTGATAATAATATTTAATTTTCATATTCTCCTCAACCTGTTTTTAAACAACTAATTAGTTTACTGTAAAATTTTTAACTACATTTTTCGTCGTCGTTATTGAATAATTATCAAAGAAGGTTTTAAAGATTGAATTTCTCTTGCTTAAATAATATGCGCCGAGAAAACGTCTCGTATGTCTCAATCTCAAATGATTCCAAAAAGAATTTCACCACAATTCTACATTCTCAGTTCAAATACCATACATTGCCGGTCACTCCTTTTAATGCTTTTTGCGTATTGCCTATATAATTTTAAAATGTCTCAAAATTTCATATTTGGCAATAACTACAAAATTTCTGATTTTTATTCATATATTTTATTTTCGAATATTTCAAGTGTGCATGATGTTTGTCTCATCAAATTCAGGCTTTATTAACATTGTAAAACATGATTTCTGAATATTTAATTGCATAATCATGTTTCCGGTAAACAAAAGCTTTAAGGCGTTCTTTTTCTTCAAAATCTGAAGTTTCTCTTACATATTTTCTAAGATGTAAAAAAAAATATGTTTATTTAAAATGCTGCTTTTGTTTCAATCAATTGAAAAATGCGTTTAGAAAAACACTGATTATCATTCTCAATGCGAGAATATTGAGGGATTTAAAGAACTTGTTTCTTCCTCCTCTTTCACTTAAAGTTAGAACAAATATTTTCCAAAATATGAATTTATAATTTTTAGATTATTTCAAGGAATTGGAAATTAAAGATAACAAAAGGGGATTTACAGGGTGTCCCAAATTATATTAGATCGTCAATCGGTCTAAATTACGATTTTCGGGACTTATCATTTTGAAAAATTTAACAAGGCTAATACAAGAATTTTCTTGCGGAAAATACTAGTTTTTCGAGTATTATGGTTTTATTTTAATTGTACTGCTCATTGCTCAAGAAAGGAAAAACACTTCTAAGAAAAATTAACTTGTGTAAAACCAATGTGAACCATGTAAGAGTCTTCTATGCCAACATCGGACATAAATGGAAAAATCTACAGAATTCGACACCCCCCCACCCACACACACAGGAAACTGAACTTATACACTGTGTACGGTTGGAGCATGTCACACCTCCAAATGTACACAATCATCAATCTCCAAGTAACCATGGAACAAAGATGAGTCCAGTATATGGTCCCAGGAGAGGACCGAAGTCCACTGGATATGGTCCAATAAGAAGGAGTGAAGTCCACTGGATGTAATCTCAGTTCAATTGGAGGAGGCTCGGCTTTAGAACATCGAGTTAATGCAGTTTAAGTGTTTAATTTTGTTTTCTTAATTCTAACTCTGAATCTATTTATTATTTATTTTCAACTAAATTTATCTTTTTTGTAATTTATTTAGATTAAACCAGATTTGAGTAAATAAATGAAATCTGCGTCTAATTTTCTGCCCTAAATCTCAATTAAAAAAGGGTTCTTAAAATAGCCATGTTCTACAGTCTATGACTAGATTTTACAACTTGATCCATATTTATTACGCTTGATCTATCAAGAAAGAAACATAAAACATTACCGAAAAAAGATAGAGTTGTGACTACAGTATTATGTCACCTGAAACAGTGTTGATAGCAGTTACACCATCAGCACCACCCTCACGGGCTGCCCTAGCAATCCTATACAGACAAGAAATAGAATTTTATAAATAATTTTAATCAGACCGGCCTTCCACCCTCCTGTACTCCGCATTTTTAAAAAAAAAGTTGAAAAAAATCATTTAAATTACTATTTCTTGTAAGTACAAATAAATTGTGTAAAACATTTTAGTGCTCGTGCAAAATTTGTTATGGTTGTTCAGTAAAAAGATATATTTTTTATTATCTTACTTGACAATATCTGTTACATTTGGGGTCATCTTGGCGAACACAGGTATAGTGGTGACCTCTTTCACCCATCCACAGATATCCCGAACCTTCATAATTTACAAATTAAAATAATAATAAAAAATCTAGAAAAGAATAATAGCAATTGTAATAAAAAAGTTTGTTTAATAATATGGTGAGAAAAAAAGAAATCTCAGAAAAAAATGAATAAAATTTTAAAGAAAAAGTTGCCAACAGATTTAATCAAATATTTTCTTAAGAATACGTTTCTAATAAGATTGAAGGGACTCTAATTGACCTTCAATTAAAGTGAGTGTTTGTGAAAAATAAAAGAGGGTGCAGGCCTACGTCGAAAAATATTCGATGGTGATCGCTACTAATCTTACTTTTATCTGTTGCATCTTTAAGGAGAAAGCAGATTGAAGTAAGATTAGTAGCGATCCCCATCAAATATTTTTCGACATAAGCCTGCACCCATTTTATTTTTTAGCGAACACTCCCTTTAAAGAGTGCCATACCCGATTCATAACTGTACGATTTATAACTTAGTCTGATCAATAATGTGGAATTATATCGTTGTTTCTATAGCTGAAAGAGTGTTTAATTCTGACATGGTCCTCCATTGTTTCTATGCCTGTCACTTAAATAGAAACCCCATAATTGAATAATAATGTAGATCTTATTCATTCTTGATTAGACAAAGGTTTTAAGGGTACCGTTGTAAATCGGACATTTAAAAAAAAATCACATTTAACCAGTCCTGTTAGGGTGAGCCTGGATTTCGATGTGGATTCAAATATTTAACAAAGAACTAATTTGCATCATATTCCCAACAGTTAGACTAAGTTAAGATTAACCATATACATTCAAATTAAGCTAACCAAGAACAAGCAAATTCTAAACAACTTATTAACTAATCAAACAGAAGCAAATATTTTAAAGATAATATTTACAGAAAAATTTAACACTTTGCCACAATTTCGTAAGTCCTACATATTTGAAACCTGATTGTTTAACCTTTTGACATTTCAAACCTATATTTCATATAATGCATTACTGGACACATCTATGACATCAAACCTATATTTCATATAATGCATTACTGGACACATCTATGACATCAAACTGCTAAGATCTAAGAATTAGAAAACTAAAATTTGTGACAAGCTTAAAAATATTGAATAGTTTAAATTTACCATGTCAGGGCTCTGTCCACAAGCTAATCCCATTCCCCGTTCCCCCATTCCATGAGGACAAGACAAGTTCAACTCCAAGGCCTCAGGTCCTGGGATAAATTAATAAAGCAAAATTCTGTTTTGATGCAAAAAAAAACCAGTTTTCTTAACTGGAAAAATTTGATGCCACAAATCGAATTTTCTAATTCCTATCTCTTTTCAATCTGACGGAGTAAACCTTTATTTTTCAAACCTAAATTATTTGATCTTACAGAATTCATAGTTTGAAATATCAAAGATTTACGACATTGTGTTGCAAAGATATAGGGACAGAAAATCAGAGTTTGCGGCAAAAACTCAGTTTCTTTAAAGATCTTATGATCGATAAAGTAAAAATGTTTTACAATTTCAGGATTGATTTTTTATTAACCTATTTCAGGATTTGTCGACCAATTTATCAGACTGCCAAAATCTTATTTAAGATTGTTCAAAATATTGTTAAAAATGTTGATATTGTTAATGGTAATTTAAGCATTAATGAAGATAAATGTTGAAAAAAACTGTATTTAGTAAACCGTTCAAAGATGTTTTCCCTGTTAATTAAGTTAATTAAGTTAATTGATATGATAATTTAGGCATTTAATGAAGATAAATGTTGAAAAAACTGTATTTAGTAAACCGTTCAAAGATGTTTTCCCTGTTAATTAAGTTAATTAAGTAAATTGATATGATAATTTAGGCATTTAATGAAGATAAATGTTGAAAAAAACTGTATTTAGTAAACCGTTCAAAGATGTTCTTTCCGTTAATTAAGTTCCAAAGAACAATATTGGTGATTAAAAAATTTACAAGAAAAAAGTGAATTGCATCAATAGGATTTTGTCACGTAGATTTAACAGCTGTAACTTTCGACCAAGTTAAATTTTTTAAAGAAATCGTACAATTCAGCAACCTGTGAGTTTAAATATTGTTAAATGATCAGACCAAAACGCAATCAAATTCCAATTCAAAATTTGAATTGTTGAAAGAAACAGTACAATAAAACTGCCTGTAAATTAAAATATTGTTAAATTATAGACCAAAAAGCGATTAAATTCCAATTTCCAATTTTATTTTCAACCTAACACAATTGGAAGGGAAGGGGGGGTGTTTTCCACCCCCCCCCCGTGGTTTCTTCTGAATAACTTAAAAACGGCTTACATTAGAACCATACAACTTCTTAACCTTTTCAACATAAAAGTTGCAAAAAAAATTAAGGACAGTTAAACGGTGGGTCGGTGTTTCAAAACAATCAGAAATCTTTAATAACTTTTTACTAAGCTGCTAAGACTTTAAAAAAAACCTTGAAAAATGGATATAATAACATGTGTCATAATTTAATATTTATTAAAAGTAAAAATAACTATTTTTGAAAATTTTTCAATATTCCTTTTAAACTTTTAAAAATCCTCCCTTACACCCTAACCATTTAAGTTAGAGATCTAATTAATAAGCAGGTTTTGAAAAGTTGGACTAGGGACATGTATCACACTCCCTATCTCAACTCTAAGGGCAAAATCATAAAGGGGAAGGGTGGAAAACACCCCCCCCCCCCCTATATTAAACAAATTACCCAATCGGGATAGGGTTAATGGAATAGTACAAAAAAGCAACTCTCTAAGTTAAAATATCGTTAAAATACCAAAACCAAAACGCAATTAAATTCCAATTTCCAATTTAATTTTTTTTTAAGAACCAGAGCTGGGAACTTTTGAATGGTGGATATCGGGATTAATGCTTGATCCAATCTTTTTCTTTATCTGGAAATTAAATATTGCTTGATCTCCTCTTGTTATTAATCTCCAGATTAATTAACCGATTGGGATTAAGGATATCGCATTCTAAAGTTTTCAGCTCTGTAATTAACCAATCTGTAAGTTTAGAGATAAAATTTACGATTAAATTCCAATTCCAAGTTTTAGTAAATACCTGTTATGAGTATTAATACCTGACTTTTCTGCCATAATAGCCAATTCTTGCCAGTCTGCTTTGCTACACAAAAGCAAAGAAATTTAGTTGCTTGCAACAAACTCAAATGTTCTAATGTATCTTTGCAACCTGATGGTGTAACCTTTGATATTTTAAACTTAGATTATTCGATATAACAGAATTTATAGTTTGAAATATCTAGGATAAACGACGTTGGGTTGCAAATATATAAGATTAGAACAGCAGAGTTTGTGGCAAAGGCTTAATTCCTTTAGTGTTTTAGATTTACAAAATGTCTGAAAATCTATAACAATAGAAAAAGCACAGATCATTTTTATATTAAAACTGGGAGAAAAATTCACACAAAGTTTTTTTTGCAAGTCTTACAAAACGTTTCTTTTTTTTGGTAGAGTTCAGAAGTTTTCGAATGAAAAAACTTTAAAAACGAAAGTAATTGAAAAGTAACTTTCCTTTCAATACAATTTAAACTAAAAATAAAAAAGAAACATTTAATCAAAAATCAATTAAATTTTGTATATCCGACTTCAGGAAATGTCATCAGATCTAATTATAATTTGATTTTAATTTTATCATTTTGCTTATTTTTTTAATATTATTTTTGCTTATTTAATTCCTACTTTTACTTACTTGTAAGAGCACATGATGCTAGAAATTATGACATGTTCAGGAAAATCTTTTTTCAGCTCTGTTACACCCTGATCAGGAAATGAAAGTACAAAAAAAAAGATTAAAAAGGATAATCGGATTCACTGGCCGACGCTGTTATACTGAAAAGTAACAAACTGCTATAAAAATCTTATTATCATAAGATGTGAAGAAGAAAGAGTTTCAACTTTTTACACCTGACTTGGGATTAATAAAATTGATAATATCGTAAAAAAATCCTTTCATAACTTTCTTGTTGAATACTTCGGAGAATATCTTTTGAATACTTTATCTAAAGAAGTTTCAAGTATGAGAAAAAAACTAAAGAAAATTTAAAAAAAAACGTCCCTTCTTTTGCATGTATAATTTTATAAGACATTCTATTCCTACAAAAACAAGTTATTTATAAATTTCTCGGCATGACTTTGTTTGTAATTTTTACCGACAACTTGAAACTACAGAGAAAATATCAATATTTAGATATTTGAAAAACCCTGAAAAATGTCTTAAATCTGATTCTACCTGACACCAGTAAGCGGCAGTTTTCTCCGAAATGAGCTCAATATTCAGAAAAGCACCTTGACCGGGCCCATAGCTATGCCCTAAATATGATCTTTTAAAATAAAGTGGAATCTCAAGAAGACTCTTAAATATACATTATTTATTGAATTTTTGTCTTAACACACTAAAATATAAGACTATAGCAAAGATATAAGGATTAGAAAATCAGAGTTTGTGGCAAAGACTCAATTCCTTCGTATATTCCTTTCAAGGTTTAACAAACGAAATCCATCAAGATTCAATTTCTTTTGAGAATTTTAGATTATAACTTGGTCGCGATCTTTAAAACACACAAAGAAAAGTTGTGTATTCATTATTTGGTTAAGACGTTGTGGTATCTGGGAACCACAAAAACGTGCAATAAACTGGTATCTAAAAATCTACACTTAATGAGATTTGTACAAGTACTTAAACCTGTTTTCATCTATCATTTGTGTAACCTGTTGACATTGCAGATCGGGTTAGTCCTACTCCGCGGGCCTAACTCCTCATGCGCTGTCATATTTTTGTAACCTGGCATTACAATACTTCAGCTATCTCCATATATCGAGATAGCCTTATATGTTTAAATGCACGTACATAAATAACACCCTAATAATAAAGTCATTCACATGTATACGTATATTTATTGATACATTTAATCTTACATTTATAAATGCATATATAAATCAGATACATAATAATAATAGCTGAACATAAGCCTTAGGTCCCTTGGTAATGTTAAGGTCTCCTAGGTTGTTCTGTTATGATCTTATTAGAGATGATATTATTGCGTACAGATAAGATCAGTATGTTGATCAAACCTTCTACAATATCTTGATCTTCTCTTTTCCAGGTTTGCTGGGTTACACGCTCCTTCATCTTCTGGAGCAGGTCCCATACCTGGTTATACAAGCGAGAGATAATGTCACTCCTGCTTGCATCTGGATAGAGACTAAACTCTCTATCCCAGGCCGCCTCTGTGTCCCACAGTTTATCATCGGGGACCACTGGTGGCCGACCAGAGTTACTACTTCCCTGCATGGTGGAGTTGAATGCTTGTATCTTCTCCACAATCTCGCCTAGGAAGTTGTACATGTTCTCCGTCTCATCTCGTCCTCCTTCAGCTCCACCTGCCACAACCTCTACATCTGCTTCTTCATCTTCTGAAGCAGGGACAGTGATGATGGGGGCGTTCCCGCTCACGAAGGGGGTGACGTCTGCTGGATCAACTTCATCTCCATCTAGTTCCAGCTCTCCAACAACGGCAGGGTTCCTTACTATGTTAGGAACCTGGTTCATCTTCTTCAATGTAGATCGTCCACAAGGATACTCTCTGTAAGCTTTCTGTGCACTGTATATAGCACAGGTCCCAGGACGGCTATGTGCAGGGAGACTTGTGTCTACTCTGCAGCGGTCCGGGATGTACTGATCCATCTGGCTTCCTGTTGGATTCAAGGGACTGTTCACTCATATATCAAACAATCCGGAATATCAAACAATCCGGAATACAACAACGTTAGGACGAATTTTGAACTATAATCAGACTATGAATTCTGTTGGATAAAATAATGTAAGTATGAAATATTACACCATTAGGTAGCAAAGATACAAGTATAAGAAAGTTTGAGTTTTTGGCAAAGACTCAATTCCTTTATATAATACTAGCTGAATTGTCTAGCCGTATACACGCGCGTAGTAGCTTTTATCCCAATTAAAAATCCAATGCCAATCGGTCCAAGCCGGTTCCTGAGTTATGATCGGACAAACAAACAGACAGTCAGACAAACAGAGAGTAATATTTTATTTATAAATAGATTATTTGTATTACCTGCAGTTGTACCTCGTACTATTCTAGGAGACACGTTGGTAACAATATCCTGCAATAAAGGAGTTTTTGCAACAAATTCTAATTTTCTAATCCCTATATCTTTGCTAGCAGATAGTGTAAACCTTTGATATTCAAAGCATAGGTTAGTTGATTTTTGAGAAGTTATAATTTGAAATATATAGGGGGTTAGAAAATCTGAGTTTGTGTAAAAAACAAATTTCGTCTATCAGATAGTTTAAACGTCAATTGCTGTTTCCTCAATATTAATTTGTATATTTTATTTTTCATAAAGGTATAATAAACCAAATCTTAAGACAACACATCTAAAAATTCAAGCTTAGGCTTTACGTAGTTAGTTTTAATTACTTTATGTAAAGGATTAGAAACTTTTAGTTTTCTGAGTGTTACAAGAACTCATTTATTTTACAAAAACAAAAAAAATTTCAAAAAATTTAAAGGGAGTCTTCACGAAAAATTAAAGGGGTAATAGGATTACGGCGAAAAATAAGCGCTCTAGATCGCTTCTATTCTTACTTCTATCTGTTGCATCTGTAAGGAGAAATTTGTTAAAAACTACTTAAGCTGAAGAACGTAGTGTCTTTATTGCAACATTCAATATATATATGATTTTGAGCAATGAGCTTTAAAATTATAATTCAGATTATCTTTACCTTGTCCAGTGCAAATGTTTTTGTTACACAAAATCCCCAGCCGGCCTCAAACCCACGCCTGAAATATGAAATAATACCAAAAAAATACAGTAAAAAAATAAATTTTCAGGGCATTCCTATCACAATAATAATGAAATAAACGTTGTCACAACAGATTGTCATATGGGTGGGATTCTTCTCCCCCCTCTCTTTTTTTCCCCCTTAGAGTTAATCATAAAGTTGGAAAATGAAGAAGTTTGATCGCTCTATAGTGTATAGTGTAAGTAGTTTTAATGTTATCGAGAAAACCCCTCTCTCTGCTACTCAACAATTTCAGAACTTTCTTTAATTCCTTTTTGAGCTTTTTCTCTCTACAAAAATAGATTTTTTTCACGCAGACTTCACAACTAAATAGAATTAAAGAAAAGGAAAGAAGAATTAATTGCGTGAGCGATTTTTGTTCATAAAATCAGGATTTTTTGCATTCCGTCATAAGACAAAATGTACCAGGAAAAAATACCATTTTCGCGAAAACTTGTTTTTCGCTGGAAACCCTACATAAAATTGCGAAATCAACGGTTCTGCGAAGCGACTATTTTTGTTCGGCAGACGTTTTAAAATTATTCTTACTCCAGAGATTTTAGACCTCTTACCGGTGAACCCTGCTATTAACTGCTAAGAATATTGTTAAAATTGGATCCCAGAATATATACAGGCAATATCCCCGTTACAGGTTGGCGTGGTCCTTTAAACCGAACGTAATTCAATTTACCCTGCATAGTTGTCTGCCCTCCATTTTGGAGATTAAATTCAATTTACCTTGCATAGTTGGCACTTCATTTTGGAGATTAAAGGGAGTGTTCGCGAAAAATGAAAGGGGTTATAGGATTGCGGCGAAAGTTCCTTTAATGTTGGTTATTACTAGATCTCATTTACCTGATCATTGCACAGGTAGTTGCTGGGGGAGCTGACGCCAAACCAAATGGATTCATAAACTTTATCCCGCACATCTCAACACTAACAGAAAAGGAATTAAATTTTACTAGGTTCACACCTTCAGGTTGCATAGATTTAGGGATTAGAAATTGGGAATTTGTGGGAAAGACACAACTCCGTTTAATGTTTGTTTCTTATTTTAATATCAGCATTAAACAATGATTTTTTCGAGACCAAAAATATAGGTATAATTTTGTATGAAAATTACAGGAATTCCTTGGTCGGTATACGGTATTTTAACTTTTATAAAAAAAATATCAGACATTTTTGGTAAATATCGAATAGTTCTTGATCTTATGAAGATTGTGCCAAAATTTACCTAACATGTCTAAAAAGAAAAACAAAGAAAAAAATAGAGAATTTTAAAAAGGAAATTTTTTTTCCATATCAAATATTAGATTAACTAATATATAGTTTATATACCTTAAATACCACATTACTTGCCTAATATCAACTTTGTCGATTTCTGTATAGAACTTTGGAAGCTGTGGCTTCTCCGGAATCTAAAAGGATCAAAGTTCAGTAAAAACTAAAATAAAGAAAACTATCAAAACTTTTCTGACTTTGCTCACTTTTAACACTTTCAAATTTTATTTTGCTTGTTTTTTTGTGCGTGAGTTTTGAGGTGTTTGCGTTATAACTACGCAAGTAAAGCTAAAGTAAAATTTCTAATATATGACGCGCGTTGTTGCATCACGTTGTTTGAAAATGAATTCTATAGAATCTATTCTAAAAAAACATTATCTATAATATAAAATTCACAGTATCATTAAGCATTTAAATTTGATTAATACATGTAATGTTTTACAGACCAGAATTAAATGTCAGAAATTTAATTTTTTTATCTCAATTTTATATAAACATTTATCATTCATCTTGAAACTTAGGCGGGGCGTCGATAGCTATGTTTTAGGTTGGCTAGTTAGCTAATTAGCTAGTTGGATTGTTGGTTCGTTGGTTTGTTGGTTATTTTGGCTAGTTGGTTTTTAACCGGATATTTTCAAATCTTTAAAAAAATACAGATAAAGTAAAATAAATATTGATGTATTAATGATTTTGAATGCTTAATTAGATAGCTTACTATTTAGTTGTGTCAGGATCATTACGGAGTGATTAAGGTGTAGAGGATTTGATGTTAGTAGTTTAAAACATTAGGAAATACTTATGAAAATATAAACCCGGTTGTTTTGAGTGGAATTACTATGGATTGCAAAGTTATTTTTGGATTCACTTATGTTAATCCCTTTCACTTTTTGATGTTTTCCTTTTAACGGAGTACAGAGAAATTGCTGGAGTATTGCTTTGGTTTGGAATTCTCTAAGATGTAGGGTTGGTAAAGACGACATTATGATGGGATGCTGATTAGAAGGTAGATTTATGGTCAACAAATATTGTTATGTAAAGATATTATGGAAAACTTTGTTTTTTAATCTATATTTATTCATTTTAGAGGGAACTCTTTTTCAGACACAGGCCACGGTTGATTTATACAGTAATATCTATATATATTTACTTTGCTTGACCATGGGTGTCTGTTTGTTTGTTTGTTTATATCCAACATTTTGTATGAGAAATTACATGATTCCGAGGAAGGTTTATAGATGCTCAGAATTTCAAAAAGTTGTTTCCAACCATTTTTGTTTTCGTAAAATTTTGAAAATCAACGAAAAAAATTGTAAATCCGCAAAAAAATCTATTATTGTTTTATTGAAGAAAAAATGCAGAAAGATTAAGAAACGTTTAAAATTTAAAATAGAGGTAGCTTAGTATTTTAATATTGATATAAATTGCTTATTTGTCAGTTGGAAGATCGTGGTGTAGCACTGCCCGGAAATAAACACCTTCTAAATAATTTTACCTCTCTGAATAATTTTTGAGGAAAGTTTAAAGTTTTAAAAAGTTATAATTAGAATACTAGAAACTTTGCTGACAACACAACATATTTTACCACCTGCAGAGCATATATTACTCCATATTTTACCTCCTACAGAGCATATATTACTCCATATTTTACCTCCTACAGAGCATATATTACTCCATATTTTACCACCTACAGAGCATATATTACTCCATATTTTACCTCCTACAGAGCATATATTACCCCATATTTTACCTCCTACAGAGCATATATTACTCCATATTTTACCTCCTACAGAGCATATATTACTCCATATTTTACCACCTACAGAGCATATATTACCCCATATTTTACCACCTACAGAGCATATATTACCGACTCTGAAGTATTGATTAAACACAAAAATGTCTAAAGATAGTTGAAAATCAGGAACATTTTAGTTATCATTTTGGTTTGCTTTTGATAAATGCATATATTTTCAACATTAAAATTTACGTTTTATTTAAAGTTGGATAAAGTTCGGTCCAGAAAAGAGACTTAAGGTTAATAAATGATAAAAAACTTTGTGCATAATGTGTATAATGCAGGTTTCTTTAGCCTAACTTACACTGACATAATGTTTAGTATCACGGGCAGCCGTAGTACATTTGAAATTCCGAACCGGGTCAACTTTTCCGGTCCCAGTTTGTACTGTACCTAGCTCTATGGACAGGACTAGCCAGTGCAGTGCAACAAGGTTGACGCGGTCAGACTTTATGCTTCATATAGGTTGAATTTACTTTTACTGAAGGGGCAGAGGTGCGTGATACTTATAAATAATAATCACTATCAATCCTTCAATCTAAGATTTTAGGCTTGATCTCCCTTCTGTTCAACTCCCAATGAATAGACCCAGCTTAAAAACTTACCTAAATTATATCTATAAGACCTTTGCTATTTCAAACTATGAATTCTGCTTAATCAATTATTGGGATTAGAAAACTAGAACTGCGGGAAAGTGTTGAATCCCTTTATATAAATTTATTTATCTGAAGAAGTTCTGGAAAAGAAAAATGAACCCGACAACTGAAGAGAAGAGGGAATAATTTAAATCTAATCTAGAACATTTTTGTGGAAAACTCAAGTTTCGAAGAAATAAAAATCTAATTAGAAAAAGTTTTCTGGCAAGTTTGAATTTTTAATTTTCATTTCACTAAGGTTAAAGTGAAAGATTGCCAAATAAAAATCATTTAATTCCAAAATTTTGAATTTTTATAACAGTAAAATTGAACATATTTGCCGCCCATTACACGTGGGAAATTTACAGCTGAAAATTAAAAACTTTTAACTGCCGTGTGAACACAAAGAGATTTTTTAAGATTCTAAAATTTCAATTACAATTTTCAACTTAAATTCTTATCCCTATGCTCTTAAACCTCAGAAGTATCAAAGGTTTGCGACTTTATGTTGCTATGATAAAAATTTGTGAAAAAAGACTCAAATGAAGTTTGTTCTGTTACCTGAATATTATGAATACTCTGAAGATAACGATGAATACTCCAAGCTCCAATTTTTCCATCATTTACAGCTTCTACAGCAGTCTCTGCAACACCTGCCAGGTCACCTCCACAGAATACCCAGGGTTCACTAAACAAGAAACAAAACAGATCAAACAGAAACTGAAAAGGTTAAAGAGACAGATTAGATAGAAACTAAAACGATTGTTTTAAAAAACGATCGTTTTTCGTTTTATGAAAGTTTAAAACAAGTAGTTCGTTTTCAAACGCGATCGGGTTTTTAATTTTCTGAAAACGAAACGATCGTTTTTAGTATAAACAAAAAAGAAATAAAAACGATCGTTTTACCGATTGTTTTTAAAAAACGATTAAAACCTTCTGCCCATTAGAACCACTCTTTAAACCTTTAACTGATCACGTTGTCGGACTTATCCTCATTAATCTACAGATTAATCTACTTTCTACTTATCCTCATTAATCTACAGATTAATCTACTTTCTACTTATCCTCATTAATCTACAGATTAATCTACTTTCTACTTATCCTCATTAATCTACAGATTAATCTACTTTCTACTTATCCTTATTAATCTACAGATTAATCTACTTTCTACTTATCCTCATTAATCTACAGATTAATCTACTTTCTACTTATCCTCATTAATCTACAGAAACACTTAGAAATGTTGAATACTTTGTTGGTAAACTATTTTATATTAAAAAATGTATATGCACTTTCTAGACATATGGTAGAAAATACATATTTTCTTTCAAATTCTGTTAAATCCCATTAGCGTAAAATATTCAGTATTTTCAAGGGACACAATTTACGATTAGTTGTGTTGAGTAAAAACTGTACACAACATATACCGAGCTTTAAAGGCATTTAATCGGTTTTTGATACATTTACACACAGAGATCACTGTACTGAAGGAATAATCAAAATTCTAACTGGTACTGATAAAAATAGGACCTTCTTTGCATGGAGGGTTATTTAAAACTAAGCTTGAAGTTTTGTGTTGTCAATCCCGGGTTCCAGACGGGCCGGAGGAGATAACTCATATTTAAAAAGTTCCACAGTGGATATCGAGCTCAAGTGCTGTGAATTAGCGCTACTTGAAACAACAGTTCTCAGTTTTGATCTAATGTTACTTGTCTGTAGAATTCTCACAGTAAATATCTTCAGTTAGTCCCAATCATCTGTATTATTTACATGGATGTATAATTACAACTTAATGCTTTTTAATTTAGTTTCTATGTAATGATGTATATTTCAGTTCAGGCCCAGTCCTAAAAACAATCCGCTGCATATTTTCACCTAAAAAGGTTACTTTTTAAAACAAATTTATATTTGCATAGAAAAGAGTAATAAATATTCTTGATTTCATTCTGTAACTTGAGATTTACTTTTCAAACATCATAAATAAATAAAATGTAAAAGTAAAAAAAATTGCAATTTAAACACCAAAGAATAAAAAATGTTTTTGTTCATTTCTTATTTTTTTTCTTAATCCGGACGATTTACTGACATACATTGTTTAGAAATGTTCTTGCAATTATATTAGGATTAATCTTCCATGATAAATTATAATATTGTGCTTTGGAAGGAGTTGTTAATCTATTGGTCCTGTTTGCAAATTTAATTATATTACAAAAAGGCTGGGTACAAGGTTCGAATTCGTGATTTATTTTTTTCTTGACACTTTTTTGTTTTATTATGTCTGTTGCCCAAATATGGCACTAAGCAAAAAGTAATTACATGCAAAAGCATGGAGCTTTGATTCCCTAAAGTAAAAAATTAATTTCTACATTTGAAAAATTCTAGAAATTTGACGGGACAAACTTGTAAGTTATCTAGGGTAGCAATACGAGAAATTAATTAGATTAGAGTTTATGCGGGCTTCAGATATGTTTATCAAGATAAACAGTGCATAAAGAGGAGGCAGTATAAATGTTTCTTTTTTAGAGAAAAGTCAGATAGCTTTTAATCTACAGTATTTACATCATTTTCCGGCGTCCGTTACTATGTAGAAATGATTTTCATTAATGCATTGTTATCAAAGGTGCATACTGGGCCGGACTATCATGAGTGTAAGGGTGATTGATTTGTAACTTTTTTAGAAATCAGCCAGCCGCCCACCTGAGGTCGCTGCGTTTTTACTTTAAAAAAAATATTGTAATATAAATATTTTAAAATCGTCCATAGGGTTGCGAATTGACGATTTAATATTGGAGAAATCGCCGTAGGGCATAAAAAAATATTTCAAAAAAATAAATGTGATACGTCATTTTCTTGGAAATTTCATGCTGAATTCAGATTCGAAAACATTTGTAAAGATGTTAAAATCTTAGGATGTTATGTCCAAATAAGGGTACTAAATTCCGGTTTTTTAACTTGTTAATGTATTTGATGAATTTTTTAGCTCTAACTCACTCAATTTTCAATTTTTTTAAAACACTTTTCAGATTTAAATTCAGCATTAAATTTACAAGAAAATTATGTATAACATGAAAATAAAAAACTAATTTTTTTTTGCGGCCTTACGGTTAATTCTCCGATATTAAATCGTCAACTCGCAATCCTATGGACGATTTTGATTTTTTTTTATTGCAATATTTTTGGTTTAATTTTGGATCGTTTTTAGAAGTAATTCAATATTGCTTCCAACATTTGTTTAAGTTTGCTTTTATTAAACTTTGCAATATCTTTTATAAAAATTGGAAAATTGCAACGTTTTTGGATCGTTTTAAACCATTTTTGGCACATATCTTCGGCCTGGGTCCAAATTTGACATGCTGAAAGAAAAAAAATGTTCAGAACAAAGATTAAAAAACGTTTGCTTCTCTTTGAATATTAAAAATGTTAACTCTGAAAGAAAATAAAGGGCAAAAACTTGAAAAAACGAGGAAAACGTGCAAAAACGAGGAAAACGTGCAAAAACGAGGAAAAACGTGCTAAAACGAGAGAAAAACGTGCTAAAACGAGAGAAAAACGTGCAAAAACTAGGGGAAAACGTGCAAAAACGGGTAAAACCGAGCAAAAAATTGCAAAAACGAGCGAAAAACGTGCAGACAAGTGAACACAATTGATAAGGGGTATATAGCCCCAAACTGTGTCCCCCTGAATAGTTTTTATTATTTTAGCCCCCTGGGCAAATTCCTGTATACGCCCCTGATTCTTGTATAAATTAATAATCAAAGTATTTAAAAGACATGCATACACCCCAATGTAATATTCATGTAAAAAACTTCAACATTTGTATATGTTGAAATTAAGGACATATTATGAATAATATATGCTTAAAGTTCCCAGAATGTATATTTGATATAGGAAGTATATAAAGAAGTGCACTAGGATAATAAAGTAGGAAAGAGCCTCTATAAATGTTGGTGATAAAACATCAACTGTTAACCAATCCAACCAATCCAAGTTATTCCTGCTTTTATTCAAGAAATTTCAAATATTCAAAAGATTTGCAACAAAATGTATGAATAAATTTTAGCCTTTGCATTGTGTATCTAAAAACTTTGTACTTAAAGCTTAATTTCTAGTGAACCTCCAAGAACAGATGATAATGCCCGATTCACAATTGTTACCTTTGAACCATTTCTCTGATAAATAATGTGGAAGATATTGTCGTTTTAACGCGATTTCTTTAGATAATTAATATATATATTCTTGGTGTAGAAATGCGCAAGTCACTTAAAAGCGCCCGTAGTAATCAGAATAATTTTTGTAATGACCAAACCCCGTTTTTAAGCATACGTGTGTTCTGTACAATGTGCAATTGTGCAATGTGCAATTGTGCAATTGTGCAATATGCATTCTACCTTGTTTCCATAGTATTAGTGTTGACCTCTGGGGTTCCCCATCTATTCAGTTTCAAAGGTGCCATAGCTTCTTTCACCTTAAAATACAGTCGTACATATTCATGACATGAAGACGACTTACAAATTTTGATTTATACAAAGCTTTTAAACTGTTTGAATACACAAATAACATGGAAACAGAGAGAAGTTGTCAATTAACAGCTTCTTTATGTTTACAATTAAAAAAAAGCTTGTTAGTAACCAAAACTGAAATAGAAAAGTCGTCTTCATTGTATTGATATAAACACCGACCACTGTAGTTAGTGTGCAAATATTTATCTCTGAGATGAGAGACATTTAATATACAAATCCCAATACTGGTAACAGGGTTCAATTTGTATTTGAACATTTTTTTAAATGTTTATAATTATATGTTTAAGTGTTCTGTTGCTAATTCCGTAAAACATGGAAGAAACTTCCCATTCAAAAGTAATAGAAAACCATTTTTTAAAGTAAAAGTACACTTTCAACCAATTTATGTAGATGTGTGAGCATAGGCGGTTTCAAGGGGGGGGTGGCAGTCCATTACCCCCCCCTGAGTGAAATTAGGGGGGGGTGTACCCCCCCCTGGATTTTTACAAATCATTTCTCATTTAAAGTATAGTTTTTATTTATTCTGTATAAATAATAAAGTTTACTTGAAAGTGACAATGAAAATAAACTTTATGAAATGATATCAATTATCATGTTCCTACATATTATATCTATCCAGCCTCCTCCATTAAATACATCCGTACTTTTCCGAGTACGCGGCATAACTCAGAATTATGCGCAATTAAAACCAAAACTTTGTGATTCAAATACTGCTCGCTCAATGCAGTGCTCTCACTAGTCACCAGTTTGGCAGTTTATAATGTGAAATATCTTTGATATTTTTTTTATATGAACGTCAACACTATATGGAAAATCAAAATTTATATGTTTTACTTTTAATTTACTGACATCATGACCATGAACTGAGACAAAATTTTTATCTTTGCATTTTCAGATAACATGAAACGAAACAACCCTAGTAGTAGTAACACCACGTCCACACAGTCTCAAAAGTCAATATTAGACTTTTTTTCTTCCAACCATGTTCAGCTTACCCCAGCTAAAAAACTAAGGTTCAATATATTTCACTTATCTATTACTTTAATTTTTAAATCTTTATCTTTCTATAATTTATTTAATTAAAGGGACTGTAAGCGTAATTTCAAGTGACCCTCCAAATCCCATACAAAGATAGCAATGCCCGATTCACAATGGTACCCTTAAAAGCTTTTTCTGATAAAATATGAATTAGATATCAATGTTTTTAATTTTGAAAACTGATCGTTTTTAATTGGGGCTTCTTTACAAAAGTGACTTGCGAATGGAACACCAATAGGAATTATCACAATTAAACACTTCATCTCAAGATTCTAGGTTTTATTTTGTATTTTTAGCTGAACCTTTTTTGACTTTCTAGCCTTAGAGCCCCCCCCCCCCTCTTGAATGTATTGAATATGCTTTTGATTTTAACATACTTGTGTCCTAGCATTCTTCCAGGTGTTCCACTCATCCTTATCTTTCTAGGCAAGAATTGGAAGACCTTGACTCTAACCCTGACGACCCTGATGCAGCTTTTTTAGGAGTGTAAACCATTTAAACATTTATGAAAATGTCACCTCCAAAAGTAAACCTTTTTTACTTTAATGACCAACATTTTTAGATNTCCCTCCAACATGCATGGTACCTTAAAAAACAGATTTAAGAAGCGAAAATGTACGAACGGTTTTCCTGTTTTTCGTGTATTATTCAGCTATAATTAATTTAGATTGCCAATAATCGACAAAAGTATTAAACCCGTTTTGACATAATTCAATTAGTCTTTAAAGTAAAAAATCCTTTTTAAAAAACTCAACAACAACGTATTTTTACAGAATTTTTTTAAACTGCAGAACTGATTTTGAAAATACGACATGGATTGACTGGAAGCAATTTATGATCGGACATATAAACAGACAAACTTGTAACTAATGCCTTACTCCTATAGTTCTTTAAGTATGTATCAATCCAGATCCAACTATCTCCATATTATTCTTAAGCATGTATCAAACCAGATACAACTCTCTGTATTATTCTTAAGTATGTATCAATCCAGATACAACTCTCTCTGTAATATTCTTAAGTATGTATCAATCCAGATACAACTCTCTTTGTATTCTTAAGTATTTATCAATCCAGATACAACTCTCTCTGTATTATTCTTAAGCATGTATCAATCCAGATACAAATCTCTCTGTATTCTTAAGTATGTATGATACAACTCTCTCAGTATTCTCAAGGATGTATTTATCGACACACAAAGCTATAGAACTCTATACTCTCTACCGAGCAATGGTATCTCTAACCGTCCGTAACCAGAGTCTATATTCAACTAACTATATTTGAGTATAAGGTACAGATAAAGAATAAACTGACCGATAATACAGTCAGGTTATTATAACATAATATATATATATATATATTTATAGGGTCAGGTTTCAAAGATATAGGGTTATTACTAATATTTATGACAGAGATTTTATAGATACGTACCTGAGGATCATATAATCCAGAACCAAATGCTGATATGATAAAATCACATTTAAGTCTAGTTGTCTGTTCTTCATCTTCTATCCACTTACCCGCATCATCCTTAAATAAATTCTTATCAGAATTGTTACTCATTAATTTTAAAACCAATAGATCTTGTGGCTCTCCCGCGTTACCCAATCAAAATTTGAGGCAAATCGTTCAAGGGGTTCCTGAGTATGATCGGACATACAGACATAAATATTCAAAGGTACATAAATATTAAAACCATATAAATATTTAAGAAACATGAATATCTTAATACTTAAAGGAAATTTTAATTAAATAGTGGCTTAACCTTACGTTACTTAAATGGGAAAAAATGAGCGTTGAAACTAAAGAATATTATTGCATAAACCTGAAACTATAATGACTATTATTAAACCTGTTCTGTTCTGTAGAACTCTATACCGCCCACCCTGCCGTTCTTCATGATCACTTTCTGGGGAGACAGAAATGGGATAAACTCACATTTTTCCTACATAAGAATTATTATTAGATATACATAGGGAAGAAGCATTCACCAGATTCATTTTACAGAAAATTTTAATGTTTTTAGACGTTTAAAGGATTTTACCACAATATTAGAAGGTTCTAACATTTTAAAACTTTTCATTCTGCAGAAGTTTGCTTTTATCAAACATGCAAATTTGTTACGCTAGAAAAAATATAAGGCAAAAACGATGGTTTTAAAACCTTTCAGTCTAAAAATATCAAAAGTTTCAGTGGCCATCGCTACGATATACACTGATACAATGCATACCCAGAAAAATCTAGAATAGGAAGTAACAGTCCATGATGAACATAAGTCACATCAATTGTGCAGTGTGAACAGACCCATTTCACATGATAAGTGATTTAAGAGCTTGCTATATTAAAGCTATTTGCTTGGTAACAACTTCAAATGCACGTTAGTATTGCTGTAAATACGTCTTCGTATTCTACAGCTTTCTGGTTATTGGAATCATTCTGTAATGGAAAACAATATACAACCTTTATTCACTTGTAGTTTTTTTTTAGATTTTGTGAAGCTATAAATAAGTTATATGAAAAAATTAAATATATTAAACTTTCTTTATTTTTTTATGCTTACTGGCATTACGTTTTGAAAGTTTTGCTCCAGTTGCTCTTTTATGCTTTAAATTTCAATATCAAAATCAAACAACGTTTTTTCTTAAAATTGAAAAAAATCAAAATTCAAAAATTGAAGGTTTCCATAAAAACAATTTTTAAGATCAGAATTTTGTTGTCTTTTTTTCTATTCATTTTCAATGGAAAAAGATTAAAGTTTAAAAAGGTTGTGCTCTTGCATTCAGTAAGAACCATAATACTCTGGAATGGGAAGACGACTCTTAGACTCAAGTTATGACATTAAATAGTGCAGTGAATTGAACAAACCTGTTTTGCAAGTTCAGCTTCTTCAGGAACAGCCCTAATATTAATAAAACCTTTTCTGAAGACAACAAACACCCTCTTAGCACCACACCTCAGAGCTGAAAAAAAATTAAGTTTTCTTAATTTATTAAGTATTTGAATTGACTGGCGTTGCCCGTAGAATTTTTCAAAAATCAAATTTTGAAAAAAATCGATGTAAAAAAATCTAAATTTCGATCTTTGAAAAAGAAAAATCAATTTTTTTAGTCTATGTAACCCCCGGGGTACTCAAGGGTTACCTAAAAAAATGTCAGCTTATTCGGTCGAGCCATTGGGCCATTTTTGGGGGCCTTCTCTGGGTCCCCCATGTGTGTTCAGATTTATGTAAAATCGGATTCGAATTTCTGACCCCCTAAACCATTATACATGTCATGGCAAAGAAATTTTTCAGGTCACGCAATTGGTCTGTATTTTGGGTCGATTTGGAAAACAAGGGTATGTAAATTAGTTCCATAATTCAGTATTCTAGATAATACAATCCTAAATTTAAAAAAACTTTAATCTAAACCTTACATGGACCTTTACACGAACCTGTACAGGGACTAATGGTTCTAGGGATTCGCTTTGCAAGACTAGTGGTTCTAGGAATTCACTATACCGGCTTGTGGGACAAGTGTTCTAGTACAGGTTCATGTCCAGGTTCATGTCCAGGTTCATGTACAGGTTCATGTACAGGTTCATGTACAGGTTCATGTACATGTTAATGTACTGGTTCATGTACAGGTTCATGTACAGGTTCATGTACAGATTCATGTACAGGTTCATGTACAGGTTCATGTACAGGTTCATGTACAGGTTCATGTACAGGTTCATGAAGAGGTTCATGTACAGGTTCATGTACAGGTTCATGTACAGGTTCATGTACAGGTTTATGTACAGGTTAATGGACAGGTTCATGGACAGGTTCATGTACAGGTTCATGTACAGGATGATGTACAGGATGATGTACAGGATCATGTACAGGTTCGTGTACAGGTTCATGTACAGGATCATGTACAGGATCATGTACAGGTTCGTGTATAGGATCATGTACAGGATCATGTAAGGTACGTGTACAGGATCATGTACAGGTTCATGTACAGGTTCATGTACAGGATCACGTACAGGTTCATGTACAGGATCATGTACAGGTTCGTGTACAGGATCATGTACAGGATCCGCAAGCAGGTATAGTAAATCCCTAAAACCATTAGTAACGCAAGCCGGTATAGTGAATCTCTAAAACCACTAGTCCCGCAAGCTGGTATAATGAATCCCTAGAACCACTAGTCCTGCAAGCCAGCATAGTGAATCTCTAGATCCACTAGTCCCGCAAACCGGTCGCGGTATAGTGAATCCATAGAACCACTAGTCACGCAAGCCAGTATAGTGAATACCTAGAACCATAGTCCAGCAAGCCGGTATAGTGAATACCTAGAACCATAGTCCAGCAAGCTGGTATAATGAATCCCTAGAACCACTAGTCCTGCAAGCCGGTATAGTGAATCCCTAGAACCACTAGTCCCGCAAGCTGGTATAATGAATCCCTAGAACCACTAGTCCTGCAAGCCAGTATTGTGAATCCCTAGAACCACTAATCCTGCAAGCTGGTATAATGATTCCCTAGAACCACTAGTCCTGCAAGCCGGTATAGTGAATCCCTAGAACCACTAGTCCCGCAAGCCGGTCGCAGTATAGTAAATCCCTAGAACCACTAGTCTTGCAAGCTGGTATAATGAATCCCTAGAACCACTAGTCCCGCAAGCTGGTATAATGAATCCCTAGAACCACTAGTCCTGCAAGCCGATATAGTGAATCCCTAGAACCACTAGTCTTGCAAGCTGGTATAATGAATCCCTAGAACCACTAGTCCTGCAAGCTGGAATAATGAATCCCTAGAACCACTAGCCCTGCAAGCTGGTATAATGAATCCCTAGATCCACTAGTCCTGCAAGCCGGTATTGTGAATCCCTAGAACCACTAGTCCTGCAAGCCGGTATTGTGAATCCCTAGAACCACTAGTCCTGCAAGCTGGTATAATGAATCCCTAGAACCACTAGTCCTGCAAGCTGGTATAGTGAATCCCTAGAACAACTAGTCTTGCAAGCCGATATAGTGAATCCCTAGAACAACTAGTCTTGCAAGCCGATATAGTGAATCCCTAGAACCATTAGTCCCGCAAGCTGGTATAGTGAATCCCTAAAACCACTAGTCCCGCAAGCTGGTATAATGAATCCCTAGAACCACTAGTCCTGCAAGCCGGTATTGTGAATCCCTAGAACCACTAGTCCTGCAAGCTGGTATAATGAATCCCAAGAACCACTAGTCCTGCAAGCCGGTATTGTGAATCCCTAGAACCACTAGTCCTGCAAGCTGGTATAATGAATCCCTAGAACCACTGGTCCTGCAAGCCGGTATTGTGAGTCCCTAGAACCACTAGTCCTGCAAGCTGGTATAGTGAATCCCTAGAACCTCTAGTCCCGCAAGCCGGTATAATGAATCCCTAGCACCACTAGTCCTGCAAGCCGGTATAGTGAATCCCTAGAACCACTAGTCCTGCAAGCTGGTATTGTGAATCCCAAGAACCACTAGTCCTGCAAGCTGGTATAATGAATCCCAAGAACCACTAGTCCTGCAAGCTGGTATTGTGAATCCCAAGAACCACTAGTCCTGCAAGCTGGTATAATGAATCCCAAGAACCACTAGTCCTGCAAGCTGGTATTGTGAATCCCTAGATTTCATTCTAAATACAAATGCTAAATGTTGCAACTTTCTGCACTGCAACAGAAGAAATAGTGTAATTTTTAAAAACAAATAAAATATGTTTTGTAGGCAAACTAATCATTTATAAAGTCTGCAATTTATATCAAACTAATGTTTTATGTAATTTTACAACCGTCGCTACGAAGAATTAACATTTAAAAAAACGTTGGTTCTGAGCATTACCATAAAAGAGCCAAGAGTACGTTGTCACTAATATTATGCGTGAAATCAATTGAGCCATTTAATTAAAGGGGCTGTAAGCTTAAGTTCATGTGACCCTTCATGCAAAAATGGCAATGCCTGATCCCCGATGTACCCTTGTATGTTTTTGCTAAATTAAAAATGTCTATTTCATTTCACGTTTCTATAGGTACAGTTGCTTACGCATTATAATGGGGAAATTCACAGAAATAAACACTTTTCAAGTTGGGAAAACGACATCATATTCCACAATTTTTATCAGATTATAGTTCAAGTCTAACGTTGTGAATCGGGCAATGCTATTTTTGCTTCACGGAGAGTCAATTGAAATTATACACTGTCCCTTCAACAGTACCCGAAGTTGCACAGTCGAATGCAGTATCTCCAGCACCTAGCACAATAACATTCCCCCATATTTCAGGCAGCTGGCTCTTACAGGCACACATTCCAGGCTTGGAGGCACGGGATACCTAGACAGTAATGTAGTGAAATAGCAGCTTCGTAGCTTAGTGAGTAGCGTCATTTTGATAACAGTATGTAGGGCGGTGGTTCAAACCCTCCTTCCAAGATTGCTAATAAAATCGCAATTTAGCAATAAACACCTTGCTTGCTCCCAGCATTAAGTCCGATGGTATAAATAACAGTCGTTATCGGATGCTGAATGACATAACATGCACCTACCAACACTCAAATCGGCCAGGGTGATGTAATAACTGAGCAAATCCATTCATTATGTGGCCAATTCAAATCTTCTTTATTTTCCTTGTTTATATACGCTAATATGATTTTATGGATACAACAACAACAACAGCAGTCACTTACTGGCTTTTCCCCCCTATTTTCTGATAAAAACATGCTTCTCAAAATTGATTAAGAAAATATAATTTCCTTCTGTTGTTCTGTTCTGTTGTTTTTAATAAAGCATTGTTTTTCAGTTTCAACATTTTTAAATTCTTGGTAAACAATCTTGTAAAAAAAGCCTTTTGCACAACAAGGTATTTAAAAAACGACTTTGAATACTTTAAAAACTTTTTTATATCATTTTATCTTAATTTTTATTTACTGAATTAACATAACATTAATGCCCAAATGCGTCCTGTGACATGAGTTCAAAGACAAGAAAAGTTGCACATTAAGTGAAAAGAATTTCATTTCGAATTAAACATTTTTGACACCCTACCACCCTTATAGGAATGATTAAAATATCAACTTAAATGAGTAATTATTAAATAATATAGATAATAAAGGTTCATAAACTGTTTAATTTAGAAGAAAACCATGATTCCTCAGAATATTTCAACATTGCTCAGATTTCCTAGGTTTTCAAAATTATTTTTATGGTTTTCTCCCTTAGTACGATACCTGAGGCAGGAAGGATTTCGATGTATAGTATCCCATATTCTCAGTTAAACCAGTAAATATAGGAATAGTTTTAGGTTCAGGGTTTCCAATACCTAGAACATTATAATCAAATACCTTATGTCTGAAATTAATTAAGCAATTACAAGAGCACATGCAAGAGTAATACGGAACGAAGCCATGTGTGCAAAACAAAGAACACACATATAGAGTCTACGAACACGGTTTCTACTGTCTATACAAAATTCTGGTAATCGATAATATATTAGTGGTTAATTGGGCGTCAAACAAAACTTTGATTTCAAAATTTAACCAAGAACATGAGGGATATTGCATAACAAGTAAGAGAATTTGAGAACAAAAAGTGTAGTGTATAGAATTATGTACAGCTAGAACAGTGAGTGTTACAGGGTGTGTGCCAAATGCTTTGAATCATATAGTTTTAGGCAACGATTTCTGAAATATCTGCCTTTTACGTCGTTAATTATATTGAGACAGTTAATAAACGGTAGCTTTCGTTAAAAAAACGGAAAATACCGTTAACGAAATAAACGTTCCGTTATTTGCTAAAAATCGAACGGCTTCCTCAACAAACGACTAGAAAAAAGGCAAAACGTGCCCAGATCTAACTATGCATTTATTCTATGTAGATATGTAAGCACTATAATCAATTTCTTGTTTAGTTACCAATAAAGACTGCAGCAAATCCGTCATTCTTGAGTTTAAGCAAAGTAAGATCTGAATTATGGAGCATTCTTCCAGTCTCAATCTTCAAACAAGAAAAAAAGATTATTTATGTATTATGCTTAAATATAGAGATTAAGAAAAAGTACAGATTCAATAATTTTATTTGTACAGTTTAATAATTAATCTAAGATTTTGCAGATTCTTTTGTTTTATATATGGGATTTTGTTTTTTAAATTTATCGAAAATATTTTTCTATACACGCAATTCAATAAATAGAAAAGTTGAAATTTTGGTTCCTCAAAGCTGCAAATTCACAGTCTCCACTTTTTTCACGAAAAGAAGTTATCTGTCGTTATCTTCATCTTTAAGGGAGTGTAAGCGTGACTTAAAGGGACCCTTTATGCAAGGATGGCAATGTCCGATTCACAACATTACTATTAAAACCTTAATCTAAACTTAATTGCTTCTTATAAGCAAGAAATGCATGTGCAAATCCCTTATGCAGAGAAACCGAAAATGAAATGAAAAATTTTAAGAAACAAAAACATGAATTTATAATTTATGTTTTATATGACAAAGCTTTTCAGGGTATCGTTGTAAATCGGGCATTGTCATCTTTGCATGGAAAGTCGCATGAAATTACGCTTTCAGTCCCTTTAAAAACTATTAAATAACATGGCTTATGGACCAACAGTTCTAAACACAAGTTATTGAAAATATCAAAATGATTCTTATGAACCAAGGTACTTGGCATTATTATCAAAATATCAAAATTAAATTCTTATGAACCAAGGTACTTGGCATTATTTGAAGAATAGCATTACATCACACGATGGAGCTCTCCTATATGCCGAGTCCATTAGCGCCTGATCCAAGCATGGTTCAGTCATGTGTTTGTTGTCTATTCTGAACCAATAAAGATAGTATGGCGGTAACATATATCATTCTATCTATCTCATTATCCAATTAGAGATATAAATCCTTCATTCGGCGCTATCAGGGTGCAGGGCCGCTACAAGCCTCTGTATCCACAGATTAGTATTTTAAAGAACCAAGCGCTACACCCTAAAGGTTAGAATAGATATAGATAAAAGCAATAAATAACATTATTCAAAGAAAATATTTAATCTAAATAGTTATGCAGTGTTAACTTTATTATCCAAGAAAACATTTTTTTTTTCTAAAACATTTATGCATAAATTCTATAATATCTATTCTAATATCTATTTTTAGTGCGTCTCAAATCCCCATAAACCGGTTTCAATTGAGCGCCGGCTTAAATCTTGAAAAATTTAATACAATTTTAAGTGAAACCAACCATATTTGAGCCCCGGCTTAAATTTCAGCCGCGCGACTCAAAATCGTTAAATTTGGCCTCAGGTCATTTTAAATATTCAAATGCGAATCCAGAGGCTCGGAGACGATTTGGCGAGGCTCATGGCGTCCCTGCACCCACTCCTTAATCACTCCGGCTTAGCTAAAATATTAAATTTTTGAGAGGGATACAAATTAATCTTGATAATTAATCTAGTTATATCCTAAGTTCACTTTATTCCCCTAACCATGCAAAATCTTTAATTCCACGCTCACCTTGACTCCGACATCTTTCATCAAATCTATCTCAAAGTTGACAACATCGTAGGGTAGCCTGAACAATATTTATTCAGGATAATTTGATTTACATCAAAAGCGTAAAAGTTTATTGATAGAACAATTAATTTCTTTATAAAAGGTTAAAAATCTTCTAACATTTGAAATACTTAAAGTATTAAGTGTATCTTGGGGCATTCATTATAGGTAACCTAATTTTAGATGTTTATAGGTACTTTCCCAAAGGATTATTCCTAAGAAGTAACTTCCCAAATGTGCAATTTCCCAAGCGGCAACTTCCCAAGTCTGTCCTCGCCGAAGCGTTCGGCCCCGGCATGTTCTGGCCGAGGCGCTTGACCTCCTAGCTCATCCTAGCCGCAGCGCTCAGCCACCATTGCAGCCAGCGGCGCCTCAAAGGGCCTTAATTAACCTTTGGAAAGTTACCGGTTGGGAAATAGCTCATTTGGAAAGTTGCAATTTGGGAAATTGTCACTTGGGAAGTTGCCACTTAAGAAAAATCCTTTAGGAAAGTACCTAACACCTAAGTTTAGCAATGTCTTTTTTAAAACATAACAAAATTGGTCCTACCATTTTTCAAATGTTTTTTTTTTCAAAAATGCCAGAGATACCATTGAAGAATCTGGTTAAATTTCTAATTTATTGAAATTGTTTCCGTATCCAATAAACGCCAAAGTTTTGAAAATCCACGAAAAAAATAATGAATCCTAGACATTTTTTATTGTTTTATAATGTACGAAAAGACAATGCATTCACACTTATAAAGCCACAATAAAAGTTAAAAAACAGAAGCCTAGAATAAAAGAATTAATTAAACAATTAATATGAATTTGCCGTATATTACCTATATGCTGGTAGCTCTGATGTATTGAGTCCTCCGAAATAATCTTCTTTCTCAAATATTGTAATATTTTGATATCCCAGTCTTCCTACATCATTCATATTGATATTCACAAATATACAAAATTACAATAAGTTAGCAAAAGTATATTTTGTATTTTTTCGTGAGCTTTTCGTGCAAATCCATCATACACAGACTTAACCCTAAACAGGCTGGGGAAGGGGTGCGTTTGGCGTCCCCCCTGTAGTTCTTTTTGTCCTAGTACTCTTATTTTTGACACTATCACCAAGAAATTTTGTGACTTTTAATGAATAGTAATTTAAAGGATTTTTTTTTATTTATAGGGTAGGGTCCGGTCTGTGGAAAAAAATCTAAAATAGCTGTAATATAGATCTAAAAACTATATTTTTAATTTTGATATTTGTTTAAAACAAAAAATATTTTTTTTCTCATTTTTTAATCTTTTTTATGCATTTTTTCAACCCTCCCTAGCACCCAATTTTTTTTACTTTGAGCTGGCCTTGAAAAATTGGGCAATGAACATGCATTTCAACCCTATAACTATTCTATAGGGCCTTTTTCTTGAGGGGGGGAAGCGCCAAACGCCCCCCCCCGGATTCAGACCCCCCAGCCATTAGGGTTGATAATTGCGCAATGCATCCCCCCTATTTACTAGTTAATTATTAATTAGCAGTTAGCTTCTAATGAGAAGTACTTAGCCAATACATTGAAAAAAATGCAATTATATTAAGTTATACAACATTTAATTAGGAAATAATTACTTACTATTTTTTTAAAGCTTGTCTTAAAAATATTATACAGTTAAGAGCTATATTTGTTTCATGTATTTCAGCCTTTCAGGGCTAGTCATTTCCTCGATCCGACAAAAAATAAATTTAAAGATTTTTCATTACCGACCAAAACGTTTCAACACCGAAATATTGATTATGTTTATGTTAATTACACATATCCCTCTGAACTGAGAGCGTAAATACAAGACAGCTTCAAATTCAATTTATATAAATTCTGTCGGTGTCTTATATAAGAATTTAATTGTAGTTAAAAGCATCCTTAAAATAAAATTTCCTCAACGATTTTAAGTTTAGATAGTTAAAAATCATAATAAGTTTAATATAATTACAATTATGAAAATAATAATAAAATTTGTAAAATGCAATATTTGAAATTCTGAAAATTTAAACTGGGAGGAAAATCTATCTGAGTACAAAATTATTTGGCGGAAAATGATAAAATGTTCTTCGATTATTAGAGTTTTAAACCTCAGTGTTAAATCCTTAACATTGGCAGACTGGATAAGAATCGGAATTACAAAAATCATTTAAAAATCAAGTAAAACATAAAAAAAAACTATAAAAAGGCCAAATATTAAAATTAAGTGTCATTGATTGATTTTTCTCTGTATTAAAAGTAGTTTAATCCTGTGTCCGAATTTAATGAATTTAAGCCACGTCTTAACTCCCCCAAAAATGCGGTTTTAATTGACCGCCGGCTTAAATCTTGAAAAATTTAATACAAATTTAAGTGGAACCAACCATATTTGAGCGGCGGCTTAAATTTAAACCGCGGCTTAAATTCTTTAAATTCGGCCTCTGGTTGGGTGGCTAGAATTGAATTAAGTGAATTAGAGTTATCTACTGCCGGGTCTATTTGAACCGCCGATTTAGAGTTAATAATTAAGAAAGGATTTGAATCAGTGATTCAAATTTGAACTGGCGCAGCTGTAGGTAGTTCGTTAAATCTGGGCTAAGAACACTTTGTGCAGTGAAATATTCAAACACGTTCTAAAACGTTAATTAATAAAATACATATTAGCCTGCACAATATCTAAATTTTCTAATCCAATATCTTTGAAATGTGATGATGGAAACCTTCAACATTTCATTTTATTATTGTTTTAATAACAAATGATCAGAAATGTTTAGAAAACTAAATCTTCGAAAGGAACATGGAAGTAATTAGAGTGTAGTTAAACCATTTTGAAGTTTAATGCCTCAGGATTTAAAAAACTAAACAAATATATATCATGATTTATGAACATAAACATACAGTTTAAATAGAACCCTATCTTATATTTCAATTTGGTTTTAAAAGTTTGTAGATCATATTAAGATAAATTGAATTTAGAGAATGGAAAACCTGTCAGACATTTTTATTCAAAGATATTTTTCCTCAAACCCGCTAAAAAGGAATTGCTTTTGAAATGGAGAGAGTATGCTTCTGTTATGCTAGAATAGTTTCCAACAATCCTTGAGAGAATCTTACAATTCTCTGAATGTTTAAAGGTAATAGCAGTAAAAATGCCTTTGGGCCTGATCGTTTCATCAGTTTCGACGTTTTTTGGATGCAGAGATATAATCCAAACGTATATATTATATATTGTGGGTGGTGACCAAATTTTGTCTTCCACAGAAAGAAGAAATGCGGGAACAAGAAAGTTTAAAATCTGCAATCTAGTAGTGAGGAGTTCTTAACCTTGTATATAGGTATGCTCTTTATCTATATATGTCTATTCTGAAATGCTAAAATATATATATATATAAGTTATAATCTCTGTTTTGGTGATTGTTCGTATGACTGATCATCATTTATGATCCTGTAGATTCACCTCAGATTTAAATGGGAAACTCTTTAGAACAACGGGTTTGTTCTAGAAAATTCTGTTTCCAGGGAAAACTGGGTTGTAAAGCTAATATAAACAAAATATGTATTAATTTTTTTATGAGTGGATTGGCTGAATAACTATGAACTATGGATTGGAAAAAATGTGACCAAGCCCTGGAGTTTATCCAGTTTTGAAAATTTAAATGGATTAATTTGTTTTAAGTCTTTAAAAAAATGTTACTCAAATATTGCTTCAGTGTACCAATCTACCAATTTTAGAAATTTCAGGCCGGTACAGAATTAATCCAAGAAGGTGGGTACAGTACGAGGGCCGACCAATGGCATAGTGAAAGGCTTTACCTAGAAAAGTTGCTGCAGATATTGAAGCAGGTCCACAGCCAAGTAGAGCAATCTTACAGCGGTAGCTTTCACCAACATCGGCAGGAACATCAGGAGGCAGAACCTACAATAAAACAAAATATATCAGACTTCAGATTTCAGGTTTTACTTTATCATTGCTTGAGTAGAGGTACAAATTTCCCTGTACTCTTTACTGTTTATGCACTGATTTCAGGATTCACCTCTAATTGGAAGATTATATAGATAGGTAGATAGATAAATAGATAGATAGATAGATAGATAGATAGATAGATAGATCGATAGATAGATAGATATATAGATAGATAGATAGATAGATAGATAGATAGATAGATAGATAGATAGATAGATAGATAGATAGATAAATAGATAGACAGATAGATAGATAGAAGATTGATTTTTGTATTTTATTTCAAGGCAAAATATGTTTTACCTGGGAAATTTTCATTTGCTTGAACATATCAACAGCAAAGTGTTGCAATCCTCCAATATTAATTGCACCCTCCTCTGCAGCTGCAAGGTTGCAACCTCCCACACACAAGTCTAAACAACCCCATATAATGATACATTTAGTTCGTCAATTTATAAGTTGCCCATTATCCAACTACATTTAATGACTGTTACAAAAAACTTGAACACAACATTTTTCCATTGATATTGAAATATTGGCCATTATCACCGTTTACAAGTTGTTTATTTTCTATTTTACTTTCACTTTTCAATCACTTCCCATTTCCTTAACCCATTTTTTCTAAATTTCCTCATTGCAAATATCTTTCCTCTGCTCTCTGCTTTCGATCTATATCTTCTACCAGTGTCTCATTTATTCGAAATCATTGCACCCACCGCGCTGGTCCGGTTTTAATTGACCGCCGGCTTAAATCTTGAAAATGGACTAAATATTCCCGGGAAATCCAGAGGGGAGAATAATCTTCTCAGTTTGATTCGTCTGTGCAATGGCATATCTAAATCCAATGTCCTTGAGACCGAATTTAAAGAATTTGAACTGAGTCGCTGAAACACCTAATGTTGGTTTGATTTTTAGGGAAGGATCCGAACCGTTGGAGGTTCAAATTTGAACCACCGGTGGTAGACAGTTCAGCCAGAAAATTCGATTTCTGATTTGATATTGATGAATACTTTTACCTTAGCCGCTCCATAATAGTTTTTGGTTGCAATAGAACCAATAAAGCTCTTTACATCAAGCTGGGTTGGACAGCTCTTCTGACACGGGGCATCCGCGCACTTCAAGCACCTAGGTGTAAATCCGGTTACAAAGGGATGGATCGTTTCCACTTTTTTGATAAATGAGGTCTTCGTTTTAGAAACGACATAGAAAAAAAAACGAAAAACTAAATAATCGTTTTTAAAAACGATATTTTTTTTAAATATTGACATTTAAAAATGGCCGTCTTTAGAAATTCTATCGTTTTTCGTTTTTTTTAAACGATAGTTTTCATAACGATTATTTCGTTATTTTTTCATCGTTTTTAAAACTAAACAAAACTAAACGATTGATTTTTTGATTAATTTAAAAACCATGCATAGGGGTGGAAATCTTAATCCTTTATTTTCTGATCTTACACTTTTTATTTAATCTAAGAAAACATGCCAACTAATGGAAGAAAATGTTGTCTTCGTCATGTATAATTGGTCCATTTCTTTGTTGTGTTTCACACTATTGTACTTGTATAATCTATCTGGGATATTCTAATAAAAAGTACATATACATAGTAATGAAAATAGAAATAAAAAATCCTGATATAACTGCTGAAGATAATATTATTGTGTATGCAAAACATTCTTTCTGAACCAGACAAAATTTAGAGACAAAAACAACAATAACACGACTTTACAAAATAGCTGGAAGGCTGAATAATAAATAATGGTTGTCGGTAAAAATTGTTTAAAAACATTAAATTTCTGTACAACTGAATTTAAGACCAACTTTTGTTAGTACAAAGCACATGTAGAGCCTGCTACAAGCTAAGCAATTTAGTTGGTTTGTTTTTGGTCTTTTTCAGCTTTTATTTTCTCGCAGGGTGAACATTTTGCATAGTATAAGAAAAGGAGTTAATTTCAAATTGTTTTCTCTAAACTTTTCAATTTTCCTATCTCACTATACATACTCTTTTTTTAGTTTTGTTTCGTTTTTTAAAATTTGATTAAACTTTCTAGATTTCAAAACTGCATTCTGTAAAAGTTTGCTAAATTTTAATCTTTGCAATATGCCAATCCTAAAAAAGGAAAAAAACAATCATTATGACATTGACAGTTTCTGTTTTTAGATCGTTTTTGGATCGGTTTTGGTTGGGTTTTTGTTCGTTTTTTGTTCGTTTTTGGTTTGTTTTTGGTTCGTTTTTTGTTCGTTTTTTGTTCGTTTTTAGTTCGTTTTTGGTTCGTTTATGGTTCGTTTTCGGTTCGTTTTTGGTTCGTTTTTGGTTCGTTTTAAGTTCGTTTTCGGTTCATTTTAGGTCGTTTTTGGTTGGTGTTTTTGCATATATTTGCACATTTCAGGATCAAAATTTGGCATAGTGTAATAAATGAAAATGCTTAAACTAAACAATTTGAAATAAAATGCTTTTCTTACTCCATGAAAATTATTCACCCTGTGAGAAAATAAAGGCATAAAAATCCCCACTAAAATGTTTAACTCAAGTACTTATAAAATTGTATTCCTGGTTTTACCTGGCCGCCTCCCTCAGTGCTCCTCTCTCGCTTAGAGTAGTGTGCTAAAAATATTTTTTATTTTTTATATTTCAACTTGTATTTGTAAAGTGTAACCCAAGAATATAATGCAGGGAAAGTTATCTCAGAGGTGTACGCATCTTTTATACTGCAGTGTACTGTCTCTGGGCGATAATAAACACAAGACGGATGTCGAAGAATGACATGGGATTAATCTTTCACATAAAAAAGCAATGACATATTCTGGTCATAGGAAACTATTATGTAAATTATCAAAATTATCAAAATTTGATGCTTTTAACCTCCTCGGATACTAAACGAACGCTGATGCATCTATTCTTGTTTACAAATTACAGAACTGGTTTCAATATGTACGCAGAGTATACGCAACTGCATTTATACTTTCCTTGCATTATAACCTTGGTGTTACCTATGAAATTAAAAATTTATTAAGATTGTACAAGGTTACCCATGAAACTCGGCTTGAAAAAGAAGACGACATTTGATCAATCTTTTATGTATTTGATCGATGTTTTAACAATCAAATAGTTGTATCAGTAGCTTAAAAATCAACTCTTTAGTAAAATTGATCTGTATCCTGTGTAAAATTGATCTGTATCCTGTGTAAAATTGATGTGTATCCTGTGTAAAATTGATGTGTATCCTGTGTAAAATTTATCTGTATTCTGTGTAAAATTGATCTGTATCCTGTGTAAAATTGATCTGTATCCTGTGTAAAATTGATCTGTATCCTGTGTAAAATTGATGTGTATCCTGTGTAAAATTGATCTGTATCCTGTGTAAAATTGATCTATATCCTGTGTAAAATGCACAATTGCTTTGTGTCGTTTTCATTGAACCAGTTAAATTCTAGAGTTTTATGGGTCTTTCGTAAACCAAATAATGAATATCTACCTTGATATCTTCAAAGTTTTTGTAAAGAGGGTCACACGACGAACAAGACAAGTTTTCTGCTTTATCCTCATTACGCTTCCAGTGCTTCTTAGCCTGGATAAAGATTTTTTTCCTTTTGAGCAAAGGTAAAAATATGTCAGCAAATATAAGAAAAAGAGAAACGAGATCATTCATTTCAAAAATACACTTGTCTTGACCAAGTCAAAAAGGGAACAGTATTGATAAACTGTATATCTGTATGATGCATCAATTTAAATTTATATTTTTATTTATTTGTATGTTTTTAGATAAATTATTATTTATATGATTATGTATTTATAAAAAAATGGTTAATCTGAATGGATGTATTTTTTGCTGATATAATTTTTTTTCTATTACCTTGTGTCAACCATGGCTAAAAAAGTAATAATTGGTGTTAATATTTTTTATTTACCTTCTGTAATTCGAGAGTGGAGAAATGATAATGATTGTAATAAGTTGAATAAATAGTTGTTTGATAAAGAAACTGAAGAACTCGTCAATTTTATTAAGTCCGTAAAATTTTCAATTTGATCTTAAATACATTCGATATTTCAAACTTTGAACTTCTCATAAAGCTTCCAGTCAAAGTCTTGAATATAAAAAAAAAACTATCAGTTTGCAAAGATATAGGAGTTATAAGTTAAAGTTTGAAGTAGGTGATAAGTTCTTTTTATAATGGTCGGCGATTATATCAATACAATGAGGACGACTTTTATTAATGCTTTGATTCCAAATAACAATTATTTGTTAATTTTAAGTTTAAAAGTAAACCAGAAGAAGCTGTTGATTTGCAACTTCTCTTTGTTTACATGTCAATGAGTTTCTAGTGCTGTTTGAAAAGCTTGGTAGAAATCAAAATTTTAATAGAAGTCGTTTTCATTGTATTGATATATACGACGTCGACTGTATCAAAAATAGATTCTTACCTTTTTTGTTACTGCAGAAGGAACAGCGTTTGCGTAGGGTTTAATCTTTTAAAACAAAATAGATGGTAAAACAATGTGGACTTTTCTGCGCAAGAAATTTGGAAAACAATGAGAAGAAAATAGCAAGTTTTAACTTAACCCTAAACGGGCTGACTGGGGAGCGTTTGCCCCCCCCCCCCCCCTGTAGTTTGTCCCAGCGTAAAAAGTCTGGTTTGTGAAAAAAAAATCTAAAATAGCCCATAATTTTTTTTATGACTAAAGCTACAGATCTAAAAACTATATATTTAAAAATCCCTTTAAAAATGCATGTAAAAACATGTGTCACACTTACATATTTGTTTAAACCAAAAAAAAATGTTGACCCTTTTTTAGACATTTTATTCAACCCTCCCTGGCACCCAAACTACTAAAGTCTAATTTTTTTCTATTAGCTATTCTCTAAGGCCCCCCAAGGCTATACATAGATTCAGACTCCCAGCCTTTGTAGGGTTAATGTTCTGAATTAACCACCGCAAACTGAAGATTCTTAATCCGTAAATCTTTGCAACCTGAACGTTGATATAAAGTAGAGTTAATGGTTTGAAATATCAACATCATGTTTAAAAGTTATGTTTTAATTGAATTTTGTTCCTTTGGGTTTAGATGAAGGAGGTTTTCAATATCTGGTGGTTCTCTGCTAACCATACCCTCATTAGATACTGGAGCCATCCTGGATAATAACCTAGAATTTAATAATTTCTTCAAACTGAAGTAAATTGTACATAAGATTGAAATCATTATGCTTTCATTAATAACTTCTCTTGTTTAAGAGCTATTGAGAAGAATAAAAAACTGTTAAATATTATGATTGAAACCAAGAAGTAACCAGAGTCCGAAAACTTTAGAATGGTTGCTATCGAGATCAATGCTTGATCCTCTCTTTTGCTAATATCAAGATTAATTTAGTCTTTAGATTAATTTCTAGAGATTATTAGAGATGCATTCTTTAACTTTTGAAAAACCGGTTTTTAATTTTTGCACATTTCTGGTGTTGATGGTGTCATATCAATAGAACTAATGATCGATTGAACTAACGTAAGTTTTGGATTAATGTTTATTAAGACTAACGTTCAAAATTGCTTTTGGTCCTCAAATGTGATAAAACTAAGATAGTTGTTAATAAGTTCATATTAACATGATTTAATTTATATTTGTTTAAATGCTCCTAAAGTCGGCTTGTGAACAGCTGACTTTAGTTCAATCGGATATTAGTCCAATCGATATAGCATCGTATCTGTAATTGTTATCAAACGTAACTTTTATACAGTAGGGATATAAAAAAAAAGAGGATTATGAAGAAAAATCAAAATTGTCCAGTGTGCACATGATATTCAGATTAAGCGATCGGGATTAACCATATTCCTGCTGGGGGGGGGGGCAATTTGACCCCCCCTGTTTTTTTTACATAACTCAAAAAGTATTGGTCTGAGGCTGTTGAAATTTTCTGACTTTTCCTACATACCCAAAGCCCTCCCTTTAGGCCTAAAACCGGGCTTTAATACTAAATGCCTGAGTCCTCAGGCACACTGCCTGAATGACTGCTTTTTCCTGTAACAAACTAAATCTTTGTTTTGACCCACTTCCACTTGTCAGATTTTGATAAAATTTAGCTTTTTGGAAAGCCTTTGACATAAGGAAACGAATTGCACAAGTTTTGCGAACAAAAAATTGCACATTTTTTGCAAACAACCTGTCAAAGGAAATTTGCACATTTTTAGTTTTTCTTGATTAGAAATAAGGTTATTTAAAATTTTGCAAAAATTTTTGGATATTTGAAATGGCATGGTCAAGGGCTTTTCAAAAATGTATAATTTATCATTTTTTGGACAAATTTTTTTTTGCAAACATTTTTACTATATAACTGAATTTTGCGATAAAAAATTCAATTTTTGCAAATTTGCAAATTTTTTTGCAGATTCTAAAAGTAGAGCACAAAAACTTTCCAATAATGTATTATTTGTCATATTTGGACATCAAACATGGGATTTAGAGGGAGGGGGTCAAATTGACCCCCCCCCCCAGCATATCCTGGTTTTCAAGTACCCCAGCAGAGTAATAAAGTTTTCAGCGCAAGAGTAATACAATTACACAAAAGTGTTTTAATAAATAAAATGGTATCATTTGTAAGAGATTTCTGGCGTTCTTTCAACGTAAACATCTAATTTATTTTTGAACATTTTATAGGGAAAACAATTAAAATTTAAGATATGTTTACGTTTAAAATGTTCAAAATTAAAAATGTAACGTTTTAAAAAAATTAAACCATCTTACCTTAACGTAAATTGGTATTCTCAAAATACTCTGAAATTAACCGTAAATTATTGTTTGATCAAGTTTTCTACTTAAAGTTTAGTTTTTTTTATAAATGCATGATTAAACACTAACAGTGATAATCTTTGAAAACATATTTTGATTTTATCTTTTTAAACTCCTCAACCTTTTGATAAACATAATTATGACTAATACTAGAATTTTTGCCAAACAACTAAGAATAACAGGTGTAATTGAAAGGGACTGTTCGAAAACATAATTTCAAGTGACCCTCAATTTACGATTGTAATCTATAAAACTTTGACTAATTATCGAGGCCAGCGAACCCTTGGTGTTTATCTCTTAAATAGTGTTTGAATTGCCGAAAACGAGAATACCACTGTACTAGTGTACAGTATGAACTCAACCCAACCTTTCATGTATATTATACGGAGTTATAAGGCGATTTAATCAGTATAATGAAGACGACTTTCGATTTCAATTTTGATTTATAACAAGCTTTTTAACAGCATGGATAGACAAAAACATGGAAAAAAAGAGAAGCTGTAAATTTGAAAAGCTTCCCTTTAACTACTTGTAAACTTGTTGAACGAATAAAGCTTGTAAATATTATTGATATAATCGCCTACCACCGTATCTTAAAAAACGCCGAATATTCTCCAACGCGGTTCTTAAAAAATTCGAAAATGCTTTGGTTAGGATTAATATTTTTTAATCTTTCTAAAGGAGGTGGCGGGTGTTTGAATGGCACATTTTATAAGAAACTATCCCATTTCATATTGTCAACATTTTTAGCTTTCTGTATTCTAAACGTGTTATTTTTTTGAAAGCTCATAAGTTCCTGTACCATTATTTAAGCTGAGATCCAAGGCCGAAACCAGAATAAAAATTAAAAATAATTGACCTGTCAGAGCCAACTAACCCCAACCTTTTAATCAAATAGCTATTTTACAGATTCTTCAGCAAAAAATACTTTTTTTATTTTGTACACATTTTCTACCAGGATTTCTTTGCCGTACGTTTGAATAATTATTCTGAGCTGAAAACTTTAGAATGGGATATCCTTAATCCCGATTAGTTAATTAATCTGGAGATTAATAACAAAGGGAGAACAAGCATTATTTAATCTGGAGATTAAGGAAAAGAGAATATCAAGAGCATTAATCTCGATATCCACCATTCTAAAGTTTTCAGCTCTGATTACATTTCAGTCAAAAATTAACAATTTACTTCAATTTTTTAAATTTAGTAATGGGCTAATTCAAGAATTTGTCAGGGTGGGGGGAGCTTAACTTTTGTTTCTTTTCAGAGGAGGGGGGGGGGGCTCAGGGTAACCGCCAAAAAGTAGCACTAAAAAAGTCCTGTGGAAAAAGTCCCATGGAATCTAGCTAAAACAAAGGACTTTATTTTTAGTTACATTTTGTCGTAAGACTTTAAAAAATTGGGACTTGTTCCCAAAGCTTTTTTGTTTATTTTTTTCCAGAAACTTTTTTTCCTGGGACATCATAAAATCGGGGCTCAGCACCCGTCGGGACCTGAAAACTCCATAAACCAAATATTTAGTTGGTTAAGAAGGAACCCCAGCTGAAGCCCACTCCCCTGAATCTAGATTTAGTTTGTAATGTACCGTAATTTCTAATCGCAAATGTTTACTTCGAATAGGGGAACGAAACTATTTTCCTTTTAACAGTTGTAAAGGCGTAAATCGCTTTAAATCCCAATAGCAGCGCTTTTTTACACACCAGTTGGATGAAACGGGAAAACAACAATATTATTAATATACAAGTTTTACCAACATATTTTGCAATATTTAACCGTATTAAAAAATTTAAAATATTTAAAGCTCTATTTTAAGGAGGACTCACCCGAAGCGTATACAATATGTAACTGCGATATATGTAATGTATATATTTAATATTCTTTACACTTTAACACCTCTGTCTCTTATTCTGAGATTAGCGCTAAATTCAAATTTAGAATTTGCTTTAATATGTTTTGAGATTAAATTAAGATAAATATTGTGAAGAATATCGAATGTGTTATTAAACAAGGCTGCAAAGTGCAGCTCAGATCTGGTTCTGAAAACCTGTATTTAAGAAGAAGATAGGACAGAATGGGTGAGATACAGGGGGGGGAGGGGGAGGGTTGACGCTGAATCTATTGTGTACAACATGTATTAAGGGAATCTAGAAACTACGTAATATTTTTTATTTGTTTAAATGGACAACCTGCCAAATTCAGAGGGCGGAAACGCCATGTATGTGTGTCTGTACCAAAAGAGTATGTGTAAGTAATAACGAACCAAAGAATGGGATATCCTTAATCCCGATCGCTTAATTAATCTGGAGGTTATTAACAAGAGGAGAACAAGCATTCTTTAATATTTAAAGAGTGGATCAAACCTTAATCCCGATATCGACAATTCAAAAGTTCCCAGCTCAGTACATACGGATCTCTGTATTTGAACAGTCTGGGAGAGTACATTTGTTTATTGTTAATTGGTTACTTAAAAATAAGTTTGATTTACATATAAAATATATATAGAGATTAGTTATAAAATATATATAGAGATTAATTATAATAACGAAACAATAAATGTAATCAATTAGAAAATTTCTATGATTAAAAAAATTACTATTCCTTTATAAAAAGCTGGTTTTTTGGTATGCATCAATTTTCATTTAATCCCGCCCCTTTTAAAAATAATAATAAATAATAAAAATAATTTGTTATTTTTTACAAAGGAATGTCATTTACTCTCTGAGAGTTTTTCTCAAAACACACAATTTAATAATTAACCCTATCGATCCCTTTTGGGCTATTTTTGTCTAATATAGGCTGTCTCTCTAACTAATATAATTTAAATACAAGACTGTGCAAATGTTGTTAAAGGGACAGACCGGCTCTGTATGTAAGGTATTTAAACTGAGTATGCAGTATTGTGGACAAATTCTTTAGGATTCATTTGAGACATAAAACCTTTCCACGATGTATAATTACTGAGTTTGAGCGCGAAGTCGACGTTCAAAATTATTAATATGGGTGGTTAAGTTTTCAGAATCAATAATTGAATATGATTACTTATTTTCGAAAAAGTACGATTTTGACCGTCGACTTTGCGCTCAAACTCAGAATTTACAGATCTTTAAAAAGGTTTAAATGTCTCAAATGATTCCTAAAGAATTTGTCCACAACACTGCATATTCAGTTTAACTACCTTATATATCCGGTCTGTCCATTTAAGAAGAATAATAAACATCTGATCCATTGAGGTCTAAACATTAGTGAAGTGCAATCACCATAGATAAATATAAAAAACATAGATAGCTTATGTGCGCAAAATCACCAAGAATTGTACAGTCCGCGAACTCATACTTCTAGGAGTCAAAGTGTACTTCAATGATAAGCGGGGTGAATTGGTGTTTTAATGGATTTCATAAATAACTCCGGGAATGGAACTATTTGAACAACAATATTTCACTGAGCAATATATCATATTGACGAGAACTGAAGAAGGACATGAAAAGGACTATACTAACTTAAATTTCTCTCTACAGAACTCATGTACACCTCAAGTACTCAATGACATAAGAACAGCCAATGTTAACAACCGACCTAGGTAATCTATGTAATAGGAATATCTTTAAAACATCTCTGTACACTTATATCTTTCAAGATGAAAAATGTCGTCTTATGCGCAATCTATCTTTATCTATGGCAATCACACGTCAACGTGTTCACTATTTATTAAAAGTCTAATGCATATGGACCAGTCCAGTCATTCAGTGTTTTTTTTTTCAATTCTAAATCGGAGTAAATCGTTTGGATTTAAATGATCCATTTGCTTTGTTACAAATCAATAAATTTTAGATTTATTTTCTTTGCTTGTTGAAATTTTGTTCCTGCAGAAACAGGTTTGTATGCATATTGCATATTTTGCCGTAAAACTGCAGTAGAGAATGAAACAAATCTTAACTGTTCAAATCCATACATCTGCTGACCACATTTAAACCAAGTAAAATTATCCTGTGGCCGAATTTAAAGAATTTGAGCGGCGGTTTAAATTTAAGCCGCGGTTTAAATATGGTTAGTTCCACTTAAAAATTGTATCAAATGTTTCAAGATTAATGCCGGCGCTTAATTTAAACCGGGTTTTGGCGGATTTAAACTGCGGCTCAAATTCTTTAAATTCCATCTCTGGTTTGTTTCTTCTTTTAAACCTGATGTTGTGAATTTGATGTGGATAACATTGTAACCATCTATAATGTATAGAAAGTGTGGACCAATGAAAAAATATGACTAAATGTAAATTTAAAAGTTGTGTATCAACCCTATCCCTGCTGGGGTACTTGAAAACCAGGGATACGCTGAGGGTTAAATCCCATGTTTGATGTCCAAATTTAATATGAAAAATAATACAATATTGGAAAGCTCTTATGCTCTACTTTTAGAATCTGCTAAAAAGTTCCAAATCCAGTTATAAATTAAAAATGTTTGCAAAATAAATGTCCAAAAAATGATATGATATACATTTTTAAAAAGACCTTGACCATGCCATTTTAAATATGCAAAAAGTCAATTCAACTCTAGGTTTCCTATGTCTTTGCAGAGGCGCTTCTAACGGTTATCAGGAGTACAGGGAGACAGAGAAAAATATCAAATCCAAGTTAAACGTAAGAAACTTAAGGTATGAAAAAAACATTGAAGAGGAAAAAAAGATAATCAACAAGGAATGCATGCATTCGTCTATCAACGCTGTATATTGACCTGGAGAACAGAGGTTTTTTACCTCTCTGGGTCTAGGCTTGCTATGGAAAACCTCAACCTACAACCCATGGGAAACATGTTAATATCAATTAACCACTGATCATTCTAATGTAGAGAAGCATCAAGTACAAAACGGGTTGTATGCAAATAATTAGCAAAAATTTCTGCGCAAAACTTGTACAATCCGTTCTCTGAAGTCATACACTTTCCAAAAAGCTAAAAGTTATCAAAATCTGACAACTGAAAGTAGGTCAAACATTAAGACTTAGTTTGTACCACCAGGAAAAAGTAGTCATTCAGGCACTGTGCCTGAGAACTCAGGCATTTAGTTAGTTTTAGGCCTAAAGGGCTATGGGTATTTAGGAAAATTCAGTCCGACACTCTTTGAGTTATGTAAAGAAAACCAACAGGGGGGGGGGAGGGGGTAATAGGGTTAATAAAAAATACCATTTTGGATAATAAAGATTTGGAAGTTGCTTCTTGGAAAATTGCACGATTTGGATATTGCCGTTTGGGACATTGCCTTTAGTAAAATACCTTTCTAAAAGTACAAAAAGTAGGTCTTTGGAATTTCAAATAACTATATTTCATCTTCCCAATAATAAAATTAGATAAGATCAAACAGGAGAAACAAAAAATGAGTTGTCTGTTTTCTCTAGTTCAAAGTTTGCTTTATTTTTCTTTAAACTTTTCCCAAAGTTTAGGCATTAATATTTATTATGTATAGATCAGCAGTTTCAGGGTTGAGGTTGTTTTAACCCTAGCCCTGCTTGGCTATTTTTGCCTAGTAGGCAACCCCCCCCCCCCCATGATTTTGTCCTATAGAGTTGAGATAGGGAGGTGTAATATATGTCCTAAGACCAACTGAATGCCTGGTCATTAAAAATGTAAAAAAGATAAAAATTAGACCTCTAACTTGAATGGTAAGAGTGCAAGGGAGAATTTTAAAAAAGTTCAAGAAGTACAATGGAAAAATGTTTTAAAATAATTATTTTAAATTCTGACAAATATTAACAAGAGACTCATGTTATTAAATCCATATTTTCATGGACTTTTCAAATATATGAATTTTAGCCTTGTAGCCTAATCGATATAAATATTATTTAGCATTTCTGATTTTTTTGGAAACACCGACCCAACTTTTGACTGTACTAAATTCAGTAATTAATCTTAAAATTTTGTCTAGAACTGTATCAGTCCAGGTACAACCCATCAGCTATAAATGTCAACTATGACACAAACTATTCAGCAACCAATGTCAAACCAAAGGACACAATCTCACCGGCTCTGAATGTCAATACGGACACAAGCATAGCTATCAAACATGCTCTTAGACAATCAATGCCAAATCTCAAAGCACAATCTCATCGGCTCTAAATATCACACAGGGACACAAGCGTAGCTATCAAACACGCTCTTAGACGATCAATGCCAAATTTCAAAGCACAATCTCATTGGCTCTAAATATCACACAGGGACACAAGCGTAGCTATCAAACACGNTATATATATATATATACAGCGTAGTTTAAGTTTAATGTACGTATTCATAAGATTAGCAAGGATAGATATAACATAGTTAAGCTATCTCCACACATGTTTACAGCATAGTTTAACTTGAATGTACATATTTAAAGGATTAACATAATTAGATATAAACGTAGTTAATCTAATCACAATGCATCTTGTTTTGTAGCTCATTGTATTTTTTACATGCATAAGAAAAATGTTTGCTTTCTTGGAAAAATTGTTCTGCACAACTATGATGTTCAAAAATTAAAAAAGTTTAAGCGTTCTAATGTAAGCATTTATAAGTTATTTAGAAAAAAACCACAGGAGAGGAAACATAGGGTTAATATTAATAAATAAAAGGGGCGATGTTTTGTGTTCAGTTTTTACATGGCACCTCAATGATTACAGAAAGTTTTCTTCTGAAAGTTTGGAAGAGCATAACGTAGTTTTGTTGTGAACATTATAAAATTTATAATTTTATTCATAACCTTTCTGGTTCTAAAGAACTTTGAGATTTCCACTAATTTTGCAAGTTTGATTAGTTGGTTTAAATACGAATTTAATTAGAGCTTTTATGAAACTATTCTTACTCACTTCATCGTGAATTTCATAATAAACATGCTATTTATAAAAAGTAATCATCATGCCATCATGTTAAATAAGCTGTATAATATAGCACCGTGCTATGAAGTAATCATCTTGCTATAATGTTAAATCAGCTGTATATTATAGCACCGTGCTATGAAGTAATCATCTTGCTATAATGTTAAATCAGCTGTATATTATAGCACCGTGCTATAAAGTAATCATCTTGCTATAATGTTAAATCAGCTGTATATTATAGCACCGTGCTATGAAGTAATCATCTTGCTATAATGTTAAATCAGCTGTATGTTATAACACCGTGCTATAAAGTAATCATCTTGTTATAATGTTAAATCAGCTGTATATTATAGCACGTGTGCTATAGTGTTTTTATTGGCTGCCGGATTTTCTCCAAAAAATTTGGAATATTTCCAATTTTTTTTCAATTGAAAATGAAAATGAAATTGAAATCAACTTTATTTTTTTACTTTTGCTTTGTTTCAAAGCTTATTATAATAGTTATTAAAATCTTATTTACAGTGTTATTAAACATTGTCCAGAAATAAAAAGATTGCTCATGGAGACCCAGATTTGCCTTAAAACTGAACTTTACTATAACAAGTAAACCTACTAAACTTTACTATAACAAGTTAACCTACTAAACTTTACTATAACAAGTAAACCTATTAAACTTTACTATAAAAAGTAAACCTACTAAACTTTACTATAACAAGTAAACCTATTAAACTTTACTATAACAAGTAAACCTACTAAACTTTACTATAACAAATAAACCTACTAAACTTTACTATAACAAGTAAACATACTAAACTTTACTATAACAAGTAAACCTATTAAACTTTACTATAACAAGTAAACCTACTAAACTTTACTATAACAAGTAAACCTACTAAACTTTACTATAACAAGTAAACCTACTAAACTTTGCTATAACAAGTAAATATATATAGATAGATATCACACGGACACACAGACAAACAGGGACTGCTACTTTAGATATATTTAGGTATATATTTTTAACAGACACACGGACACACAGACAAACAGGGACTGCTACTTTATATATATATAGGTAGATATTTTTAACCCTGTGACTATTAAGTTTTAAATTTTATTAATGATTGAAGGTTTACAACGAAATCTTTCAATTTCCATTGAAAATCTAAAAGGATTCGGTAAATTTGAATAAATTAAATTTATGAATTCTTTTCATCTCTAAATTTACAAATTATAATTTGTATCATGCAGATATAACTAGTATAAGGCGGAAAAAAAGTCGTCTTTGTTTAATTTGAAGAAAAAAAACAAGGATTTGGCAACAAGATTTTCGAATCTTTAAACCTTTGCAACTAATGAATTCTGTCAGATCAAATAATCTAAGTCTTAAATATAAAAGGTTTGCACTCTCAGGTTGCAAAGATATTAGAATTAGATATTTAATGTTTGTGACAAAGACTCAATTCCTTTACTTGGATTCATATGATTTGCATAATTAAATTCATGAATTCTCCCTTTCTCAAAATCTACAAATTTGTTGTTATCATGCAGAAATAACTATAGTATAAAGCAGAAAGAAAGTCGTCTTGGTAAATTGGTAAAAAAGCTAAGATCTAGAAAAGGAACTAAGTTTTGCTACAAACTCTGATTTTCTAATCCCTATATCTTTGCGACCCAATGTCATAGAACTTAGATATTTCAAAACCTTGAATTCTGTCAGATTTCATCAATAAAAGAACTGATAAATGAAACTATTCCTGTTTTCTGATTATTTATTTTTTGATTTTGTAACAAGAGCAATTTCCCTAACTTAATAGACTCAAGATACAAAGAGAATTTACTTCTTCCTTGATCTAATATATAAAGATATAAAAGCTAAGATGCGGAGTCCTACGGAGAGAGTAACTAACATCAGAATGTTGAATAAAGTATCTACCTAAATAACAATAAATGAAAATATGTAGTATACACTATACAGTGATATCTAGAAAACTCTGAAATAGAAAGACGACTTTTAGACCCAAGTTATGAACTTCAATAAAAAAAAACAAGCAATTGACATCAATTCTGTTGTGTAAACACAACCATTTTACTTCATCAGTGATTAATTATATGTGTCTAGTAAAACTACTTGCTTTATAACAACATCAAAAACACTTAATTCCTTTTCCTTTTTCAGAGTTTTCTGGTTATCACTGTTCCTTATTAAAATAGGACTTTAGATGAAAGAATGGCACGTCCGATTCACAACGGTGCCCTTGTAACCTCTTTCTTAATATATTATAATGATATATTCCGTTAATGCGTCAGCATACGTCACTTTAAAAGAGAATCCACTATTTGAAAACAATCAATGTTCAAATAAACATAGTTTTGAAGGGTAAACTTGAAATTATGTTTATAAGCTTTATATTTATCTGGTTTCATAGTTAATAATTCAATTAGATTTTTCATCAGATTTCTTTTATTGTTTATTATTGGTTTGAGTTGATCCAATGTGAAATAAAACTTTTTCTGGGGGTGATTAGTCTAATAATTAAAATAATCTGTTTAATGGGGACCAGATACAATACACAAATGAACATTACAATGTTAAGTATACCATTTCTAAATGATTTGTTTGAAATTGAATTGATTTTTTTCACGATCTGAGTCGTATATTGCAACTTTCTATAGCCTATATCCCCTCAAATGTACAAATTATTTCTCTTTATGAACTTTGCATAATTCTATTTAATTATTTCGAATTTAGAATTCTTTAAATTTCGTAAGTTTTGAAAGAAATTCTTGAAATCATTCAAATTTTTAATTTATAAATATTTTTACCTCGTCGAACCCGTAGAAACCGATAATCTCTTCTCCGGTAGTAAAGCCACATGGTTTAGGTGGGAGTTCACAGGTGATATTGGTTACTCCACTCCATTGGTTTATTATCAAGGTTGAATAGGCGTAATTAAACCAAGATAAATATTTCATCCAGACCAACCAACCAACATTACTAAATTACAAATATGTAATTTTCAAACATTGCTCCATTTATAGAATCAATAAGCTTTCTATATGGTAAAATTAATCAAAACAAATCCTATGGTGGTGTGCGATTATAGTGTAGTGTAGTTATCCGAGCTGACCGGACGTGTCTTTGTGAGCTCCCGGATTAAACTGACCGACAACCCAACACCGGGTTAACTTATTCACATGCTCCATATTATGTGAAAACACAAACACTCAGATAACTTGTTTAGTGCATTTATTTCCAGTAAAAAATATTTCTACTAGACTCAAAATGACTGACACAAAAATAGACATGGGTCTTATAAGCGATTTAGTAAAAAAATTGGAGAAGTTGGAGAATTCGAAAGAAAGCGAAGGGTCTGAATGGAGTAAAGTGCAAGGAAAGGATAGAAAAGCAAAGATGAAAGTTAAGGGAGGGATTGTTGATGCAAAGATAGATCCAACAGATCTAAACTCTGTTCTTTCTCTCATTGTTCAGGCTATCACCGTCTTAGTTGACCAGCAGGATATATTAAGGGAACACAAAGATAGAATTAATGATCTAGAGAAGCAGAGTAGAGCACAAGGTGACCTTCTTGATGAGATTCAACAACGCTCCATGAAGGGAAACCTCATACTCTCAGGGGTTGCAGGAAAAAATAAACCTAGCTTGATAAAACCTCAGGAGCAACTTAAACAGGAGAAAGTTACTACAACCACTTATGCTTGTCAGTTGATCAAAACNATTATTACTAAAATTAGGTGGAAAAAATAATCAAAACAGCCAAGAGCTATTTTCCACCTAATTGCTTTATACTTGTACTGTTAATATAATCATCAATTTTGTGATTGTAAACTCTATCTGTATACAGATACATTTATTTTAGCAATAAACGTTATCTTATCTTATCTTATCAATATATTGATGACAATTTTCTATTTAAGTTTTAATTGAAAATACACTTATTTCGAATTACAGATTACAAGCAATTAAGAGAAGCTTTTTAAATTTACAGATTCTCTTTGTTTCCATGTTTTTGTAAATCCATGCTGTTTCGAAGCTTGAAATAAATCAAAAGTGAAATCAAAAGTCGTCTTTGTTATAGTGACGTAATCGCCTAACCCCGTAGTATATATTATTCCTCAAATTGTAAACGTTCTGATATAAAGTAGGTTAGGATAATACTAAAACAACGAATACTTTAATCTCCAAATAATTGCTATAGTACAGTTTGAACCAAAAAACTCGAGAACCGAGAAAGAGGACTTTTAATCCAAGTTATGACTTAAACAGTTTATCAAACATGAAAAGCATAAATTTAAAACTTGTCATTTGAAAAAAGTTTGTTGGAAATCAAAACTGAAATAGAAAAGTCGTCTTTATTTTTTGATATAAACGTCGACCAACCACTGAGTCCGTTCTCTCCATAATAATGTTTAAACAGTGGCCGTGTTGTTCACGTACTTTGGGGGACGATAGTTTGGCCGCTATGTGTCTCACGCAAAATTCTTATCTGATAGATAGATAGTTCTTACGAGAGACATCTAGCGGCCAAACTATCGTCCCCCAAAGTACGTGAACAACACGGCCACTGTTTAAACATTATTATGGAGAGAACGGGCCCTGTATTAAAACATACCTTGTATCAAGAAAGAATCCTCCGAAGAGCATAACTGGGATAATTATGACTGGACCGATGGCAAGAGCTATATTCACATTAGGAGCAACACAAGACAAGAAGTAACCTGGATAATATCATTATTAAAGGGACTGTACAACACAAGACAAGAAGTAACCTGGATAATATCATTATTAAAGGGTCTGTACAACAGAAGACAAGAAGTAACCTGGATAATATCCTTATTAAAGGGACTGTAGTCGTTATTTTAAGTCACCCTGCAGTCATGCAGTGGTTGGGTTTACTATAAAGTATACTTTAAACTTTGGACTTTTCTAGGATGTCGGACTTTTTCTTATTAATTTAAAAACATTTGTAAATGTTAAACACTTTGCTTCTGAGCTACTTTATAATTATCATACAAAATATCTATATTTACTTTTAAAAATCTCTAAACTAAATATTTATTACTTCCGAATTCTTTAAACCCACTTTGGGAATAAAATATATTGCTAATTTCGCAAGACGCACATGACGTCAGCTGTATTGAGTTTTACATATATTACAGACTAGCCTTAGAGGGCGCTTCGCCCCCATCTTCTAAATTAATTGTGAACATGTTCTCTTTGTGTACATCGTAAAACAAAACAAAAATAATTCGCGGATTTTCACAAAAAATTTCGTGGATTTTCAAAATTTTCAAAAATTTAATGAAGATCGAATTTTGATGGAGACAAATTTTTGAAATTTTGATCATTCATAAACCGTCCCTGGGGTCCCTAGATGTCCCACAAAAAATTTGGACCCGATCGGTTCAGCCGTTTTGACGTTTATTGGATACAAACAGACAGACAAACAAACAAACAAACAGACAGACAAGCCAAATATATATATATAGATTTACATATATTAACAGCTAGCAAAATTGTATAAATTGGGTATTTCCATCTTTGCATGGAGGGTCACTTGAAATTACGCTTTCAATTTTTAGGCAAAACTCTATTCATTGTTTAGGTACTTATAAAATGTAACTGCAGTGTATATACATTTTTTAAGATCACAAAAATGTGTGGATAGTGGCAATTGGTTCAGAAGTACTTTGAATTTGACATTTGTAAATATCAAATTTTGAAGAAAATAATCTCAACTTCTTGAAATACAGGTTTTTATAGTAATTTAAAGTTTCAACAAATTAATACGCGATTAAGAGTTTTGAGAATTTAAAAGTTGTTAAAGCTAAATAGTAAATATATATAACTCATGAATCCCTGTCCTAATTTCCTTCAAATTTTGATTAGGAAACTTGGGAGAATCACAAAAAGTTTAAAAATTCCAAATTAAGTGGGTTGACTTTTAAAGGAAAACTCCATACAAAGCTGGGTTTCTAAAGCTAGTATGTATAAAAAAAGAAATTAAAACTTCAAAATTTAAATTAAAAACAGAACAAGTCAATGCTTTCGAATGCCGATAATTTTTTTTTGGCGTACAAATTAAAACTTTATTCTAATTATCTAAATTTAAAAAAAAATTCAAATTGTTAGATTATTTATCAACCTAAAAAGATTTTTTGTGTCTAGACTGAAGAATGCTAATTAGAAAATTTGATCATAAAATACTTTTTACTTTAGATAAATTTTTTCTAAAAACAATTACATTTTTCTTAGAGAGGTTCACCCTCTAAACGGAGAAGATTGTGGTAGGAAAAAGTACTAGGAGTAAGATTGAATTTAATTTCCGGAAAACTTAATAAAAATATTTCAGAAAAAAAAATCCATTTCCCAACGGGCAAACAATTTTCAAACAAGAACGGGTTTGGGTTTATAAGAATAATGTTTTTTTGTATATTTATTGTGTTTACTATAAAAGTAATCAGATAACATGATACCTATAGGACTATTTATTACTTTGTAATCTAAGACACCTCTGATCCTTATTTCCATTATGTTATGCAAATATTACGTACTAGGGTTTTAGACATAGAGAATAGAATATATATTAGAGGGGAATTCAAAGAATCTCTCGGTATGAATTTTTTCAGTCCCTTTCAGCCTGAAAGGGAATTCAAAGTGTACAAATCACGTAAATGTTCACAAATTTTATGCAGTAGAGAACATTAATACAGTATGTTCCCTGGACTATTCATTTCAATTTCGAATTTTTTAAACTGTTAAATAAACTTTATAATAAATTAGGTGAATAAAAAACATCACTTGATTTATAGTTATAACGGAAAATCCTCGTTTGTAAAGTGGAAGGCATAGAGTCTATGTGAAATGATCATTGGTCAATTATGAAACCAGTCTATTTCATAATTTGGTTTTCTTTTAACAATAATTTTAGATTTTCTATAAAATGATATTCCAGGGCCCAAAAGGTTATATAGCATAAATATGTGAAGTAAACCTGCAGTATGGAAACAGTACAACACAATGGCCGTTTTACACTTTTTTCTAGTAAATTCCCCTCTAATATACATTCTATTCTCTATGGTTTTAGACCGCTTCTTGCCCATCTTCTATTTCAATTGTGAAAATAAATCTATCAATCAGTCTTGCATTAAGTGTGCTTTTCGAAAACATTGAAATAGCTTGGGAATCCACAAAGTGAAACAGACAACTAAATTACTATACTTGATAGATATAAATAGCTTGGGAACCCACAAAGTGAAACAGACAACTAAATTACTATACTTGATAGATATAAATAGCTTGGGAACCCACAAAGTAAAACAAACAACTAAATTTCTATACTAATAGATATAAATAGCTTGGGAACCCACAAAGTAAATAGACAACTAAATTACTATACTTGATAGATATAAATAGCTTGGGAATCCACAAAGTGAAACAGACAACTAAATTTCTATACTTGTTAGATATAAATAGCTTGGGAATCCACAAAGTAAATAGACAACTAAATTACTATACTTGATAGATATAAATAGCTTGGGAACCCACAAAGCAAAACAGACAACTAAATTACTATACTTGATAGATATAAATAGCTTGGGAATGTCTGGAATTAAAATTTCCATATAAAAGTCAACCCACTCCATTTAAAATTTTCAATTAAGCTAAGAACATTCCCGTGGTTCCACCGAGGTTGCCAATACAAATTTGAGATAATTGGGTCAGGGATTCATGAGTTATGATCAAACATACAAACAAACAGAGATTATTAGTAATTAAATATATACTATCATGGGAACCGACATTGGTCTGGATTTTCTCCCATTAAAGTCAACCTGCACTCAACTTAGAATGCTATACCCAAGCTAAGAACATTCCCTTGGTGCACCGAATTCCCCAGTCAAAATATGAGGCAAATCGGTCAAGGTTCGAACACCTGTTATATCCAAACAAACAATTATCACTCTATACATATAGATAATATAGATATAGAAACAGTTCACCCTCCACTAAGTTGTTTTGCTGTGTATGTACTGCATCGGTTTGCATTATTTGACCGACAAAATAGAGGGTTTTGGTGGAGAGTGAGTAAAATTATCCACTCACCAAGAGAAATAACAACTTGAACAACAAGAAGTACGATTCCAAGTGCAAAAAAGAACTGCTCAGGAGTTCTCTCCAACCCAACCATGAAGTAGAGGATTGTCAGGAATATCGTTGGTTCAACAATAAACAGGGGAAGATCAACCAACTATGGTAGGATAAGAATTTAGAAGATACAATCTTTTGCTGTTTTTTGTATCCTACATTACCCCCCCCCTCTCCACCCTCCTATTTGAAACACGCCTGCCCCCTTCTCAAAAATGTCATCAATATGCATTATATCTCAGTAAACCCCTGTTTAAAGGGACTGTAAGTGTAATTTCAAGTGGCCCTCCGTTCGAAGATTTACAACGGTACCCTTGAAAGCCTTGCCTAATCAAGTATTAATTAAATATCAATGTTTTTTTTCTTTAAAGTGTTCAGATGAAGGTTTCAACGGTACCTTTGTAAATCGAGCAATATTCTGTCAATATTCCACTTTCTGTTACTTTCGATCACAATTTGTCCTAATAAACATTATTTTTTAGCCTTTTTTCTTCAACACTTTTTTGTCGGCATATACATCTTGAATAAAAGTTATAGAACAAACAAATCCGTAAGTTTATAGATTGTCAAAATATGAACCAAAACGCGTATGATTTCAAATAGAAGAAACCGAATGCCTCTAACTCTGGTTAGTCCAGTGTGTGAGGGATAATTAAAATTACGCTTACAGTCCCTTTAATGCATTACTCTTCTCCCTTCTCCCAGCCCCGCCTCTAAATATATTAATAGCTGTCCATTGTACATTTTTGTAAAATAAAAGAAAAAACTATTTTTCCGAAAAATGTTGATCAAAACACGATAATATTTTATTTTATTTTATTATTTTATTTTCAGCTCTCTGAGTGTTTAATAAAAAAATGAAAATTTACTAAACAATTCTTCTTAAAATCCGAAAGCGGTTATACGCAGTAATTTAGTTTTGCATTGAAAAAAGATATTTGATGCAATTTTCACGGACAACACTGAAACATTTGTGGGTGAGGATGCAGTCAATTTGGATGAAATACCCCTGCCCCAATTTTACAAAAAGGGTTAAATTTGATAATTAGAATTTTTTAATGTTTTTATCTTTTTAAGCTTTACCTGTTTCGTGAGAAAATATGTGTCAATCCGATACATGCCGTTGAAATGTTCCCTAATAATTTATAAAAAAAAATTAATGAATTTTTGGTTTGCGCATATTTGATCCTGAAGCGCTCAGAGACTTTATAATAGTAATTTGTTGTGTTCTTTCTTTCTGTCTAGTAATATAAATATCATGCTTGATCAATAATTTACTAAGAACCTAGTAAATAGGACTATGAAAGCCTTAACTTTTTTTTCTCGCTGTTTTGTAATAACTTTTAAAATATGTTAACCCTAAGCAGGCTGGGGGGGGGGCCCTATATTTTGTTGTTATTTTTGCCACTATCTTTGTGAACTTGTGTAACTTTTAATGAATAGAAATGTAAGGATTTTTTGTAAAAATGAATTCACTAAAACATGGAAACAAAGAGAAGCTGTCGATTTAAAAGCTTCTCTATAATTACTTGAAGTAAACTTGTAATTAGAAAAAAGCTTGTTAACAATTAAAACTTAAAAAACTAGTCGTCTTCATTATAATGTTTTATCGCCTTACCACCGTACATAAAAACTTAATTGCTTACAAAGACGTATGGCAATTGCATTTGTTGCATTACAAATATAGTTTTTCTTTCGGGATTTACAGAAAGTAAAGATTTTTATCTGAATGTTTAAATGAATGTTTTTATTAAAATCATTGAACAATTATAGTAATATGGACAACTGAAAATCTTTAAAAATCGTTTTAAAAACCAAAAATTTAAAAACTCTGTTAACTTCAAATAACTTTATTGAAGTGAATTAAAGGGTATCGTTGTTAATCGGACTTTAGGCTATTTTTTATATAGTGGGTCAATTTGATCGACTGCTCCTTATGTAGTTTTTTGAAAATTCAAACCAGCAAAATCTTGTTTTAAACTTACCTTAAAAATATTGGCAGCTCTGCGCAGAAGACATTGACGACCGCGAAAATATTTCCAAAAGACATGTTTGTTAGCAAAATGAACAAAGCTCCAGTGATATTCTTTACTCCTGAAGGGGAAAATGTAATTGCATTAAAAGTTTAACTAATTATAATTCTTATATTGATTTCTCATAAAATATTTGTGACTATTGACTATATTAAATTTATATTTTCAAAGAGATATTACTGCTACCACTTTGTGACCTCGTAGCTTCTCTAGTTTTATTTTACGCGCAAATATGAGATAAAAAATTTATCTAGTTTTTAACTAGTTTTTATCTAGTTTTTATCTAGTTTTTATCTAGTTTTTATCTAGTTTTATCTAGTTTTTATCTAGTTTTATCTAGTTTTTATCTAGTTTTTATCTAATTTTATCTAGTTTTATCTAGTTTTATCTAGTTTTTATCTAGTTTTTATCTAGTTTTATCTAGTTTTATCTAGTTTTATCTAGTTTTTATCTAGTCACATAATAAGAATTCAAAACTTTTTTCTTCTCAATAGCTCTTCAAAAGGAGGTGTTATGATTAAACACACTTAAGATGCCAATCTTACATGTAATATACTTTAGTTTGACGTGAAATAAGGGTTCAAGTATATCAATAAAATATATTTAACCTGATTGGTCATGCTCCTGTCCGTAGTAAATAACTCCCAAGAGGATTGATATGAACTAAAATAACAATAGTTTTATAAATTTGACAAATTAATATAGAACATAATTTGTAAAAACATAAAAAGATCATGGATACATATCTAAACCTAATTCAATCAATTTGGACAGCGTCGCTGTACTGCCCATTAAAAGGACTTTAGTCCATGCCATAAAATCAGATTTTTCAATCCTTATATCTTTGCAACCCAATGTGGTATACATTTGATATTACAAACTATGAATTCTGTCAGATCAAATAATTTAAGCTTAAATTATCAAAGGTTACAGTATCAGGTGCCAAAGATCTCGGGATTTAAAGTTTTAAAATTGTTGGAAAGACTTAATTCCTGTGAACCCGAACCGCCGCCCGAAGGTTCACGTAAAATATATTGCGTAGAAAAATTCTTAACAGAGCAAATCTCATACAATTTTTCTTTCATGTATAATAAACATTAAAGAATATATTTTCATGAACAAATTAATTTAATTTAGTTTAATTCCTGTTGATAAATTACTTACAATCGCCTGAGTGATTCTAATCTTGATGATAAGAGGTTCTTTGATAAGTGCCCTGTATGTTCTCCAGCTAAGAGCAGAGAACTGTGCAGTCCAGGATGCCTAAATGATAAAAATTAAAATGAACCTTTTTAATGCATTTGATAATGTAATATTTTCTTTTATATCTTGTTGATTGTTGCTAGTGACGAATGTAGGATGACAATTACAGTTCCTTTAACCTGTCCAACAGCAATGATACATTTACAGTCTCTTTATAATCTGACCAACAGCAATGATACATTTACAGTCTCTTTAATCTGACCAACAGCAATGACACATTTTCAGTGTCTTTAACCTGACCAACAGCAATGATACATTTACAGTTCCTTTTTTCTGACCAACAGCAATGATACAATTACAGTCCCTTTATAATCTGATCAACAGCAATGATACATTTACAGTTACTTTATAATCTGATCAACAGCAATGATACATTTACAGTCTCTTTAATCTGAGCAACAGCAATGCTACATTTACAGTCCCTTTATAATCTGACCAACAGCAATGATACATTTACAGTTCCTTTAATCTGACCAACAGCAATGATACATTTACAGTCCCTTTATAATCTGATCAACAGCAATGATACATTTACAGTCCCTTTAACCTGTCCAACAGCAATGAAACATTTACACTCCCTTTATAATCTGACCAACAGCAATGATACATTTACAGTCCCTTTATAATCTGATCAACAGCAATGATACATTTACAGTCCTTTTATAATCTGTCCAACAGAAATGATACATTTACAGTCCCTTTATAATCTGTCCAACAGCAATGATACATTTACAGTTCCTTTAATCTGACCAACAGCAATGATACATTTACAGTCTCTTTATAATCTCATCAACAGCAATGATACATTTACAGTCTTTTTAATCTGACCAACAGCAATGATACATTTACAGTCCCTTTATAATCTGACCAACAGCAATGATACATTTACAGTCCCTTTAATCTGACCAACAGCAATGATACATTTACAGTCCCTTTATAATCTGATCAACAGCAATGATACATTTACAGTTCCTTTAATCTGACCAACAGCAATGATACATTTACAGTTCCTTTATAATCTGATCAACAGCAATGATACATTTACAGTTCCATTAATCTGACCAACAGCAATGATACATTTACAGTCCCTTTATAAGCTGACCAACAGCAATGATACATTTACAGTCCCTTTATAATCTGATCAACAGCAATGATACATTTACAGTTCCTTTATAATATGACCAACAGCAATGATACATTTACACTCCCTTTATAATCTGACCAACAGCAATGATACATTTACAGTCCCTTTATAATCTGATCAACAGCTATGATACATTTATAGTTCCTTATAATCTGACCAACAGCAATGATACATTTACAGTTCCTTTAATCTGATCAACAGCAATGATACATTTACAGTCCCTTTATAATCTGACCAACAGCAATAATACATTTACAGTCCCTTTATAATCTGACCAACAGCAATGATACATTTACAGTTCCTTTAATCTGACCAACAGCAATGATACATTTACAGTCTCTTTAATCTGACCAACAGCAATGATATATTTCAGTCCCTTTATAATCTGATCAACAGCAATAATACATTTATAGTTCCTTTAATCTGACCAACAGCAATGATACATTTACAGTTTCTTTATAATCTGATCAACAGCAATGATACATTTACAGTTCCTTTAATCTGACCAACAGCAATGATACATTTACAGTCCCTTTATATTCTGACCAACAGCAATAATACATTTACACTCCCTCTATAATCTGACCAACTACAATGATACATTAAAAACTGACAAACATCTAAAGCACGTAAACCTAAACTATTTACCTTGTACGGTGAGCGATCATTTACTCTCATATTTTCCGTGTCATTCACGACTTGATCCTCCTTATTCACCTTTAATAAATCAATATTTAAAAAATTGTAAAACCCATAATACTGTGGAACTAGAGATACATGAGTTATTGCAGTGGACCCGTTTCACTAAATAACTTGATTTTTCTTCTCTACTGGTAAAATTATTTACATTTTACAATATCAAATATACACATAACATTGGTTGAATGTAATAATCTATTGTACAGGATATGAGTCTCACTGTACTATATAGTGTATAGGTCTAACATTTATTTGTGACAAGCCTAGTGGTAAGACTTAAATTCCTTTGAACCACCGATTTAAAGTTGAAGATTACAGAAGGATTTGAATCGATGATATAAATTTGAACCGGTTGCATTATTTTTAATACTTTGTGAATTTTGAAATAAAAGGTATATATTGAAAAGAGTATGACATTTAGAGACCTACTGAATCACGGTTGAAAAAAACATAATTTTTTATTCCTAATTTTTTTATTATTAACCATAAATTAGTACCTCAAGCATCAGCTGTTTTCCCTCTTCAGACTGATCAAATGCATGACAAATGTTTGCAACAGTCTCCCTGCATGCAATCTCATGCCCTTTAATAATACATGTTTCCGACAGTGAATTCATTATTTTAGTTATTTTAGTTATATAAGTTTTTGGCAAGTGTTCAGAGTTCCTCTATTGGAAAATATTTTTGGCAAGATTAATCGGGACAAAGGAATTGAGTCTTTGCGACAAACTCAAATTGTCTAATCCCTTTACCTTCAAAAGCTGAAAGTGCATGTGAACCTAAGATTATTTCATCAACAGAATTCATAGTTTAAAATATCTTAGGTACACGATATCGGGTTGTAAAGATATTGTGATTATAAGGTTAGAGTTTGTGGCTAAGTCTCAAATGCCTTGAAATGATATCCCTGATTCTACAAGTATGGAGTACCAAGAATTACCTGGCTGAATAGCGAGAACTTCTATAAAATGATCTGCAGGATTGTAGGTCAATGGACACGGAAAGTTGCAACTAAGCAAATATTTATTTCACATTAAATGCACTCTAAGCAACCCTCCATGGATAAAGGTCAATGCTCGCTTTAAAAACGGTTCCTTTGTGTACGTTTACTACTGAGATATGTGTGTGTAAATTTATTAAAACCTATTAAAACCTGCTTGTATTCAGCTGCAAGTTTTAGTGTGTAATGTGATGCATTTGTGGTGTTGCACAATGGACATTGAAGCTGAATACTTAAGCAGTGTTCGATAAGTTTACACACACATATCTATATACTCGACGGACACATAAAGGTTTTAAGGACAACGTTGTAAATCGGGCATTGACCTCTTTACATAGAGGGCATTGACCTCTTTACATAGAGGGTCACTTGAAATTATACTTACGCTTTAAACTAACTATATTAAGGACTAATTCATTCAGGCAATGATAAAAAAATAGAATTTAGTTCTGTACAATTTCAAGATGTACAGTACTGTAAAATAGAAATAAAATTCAGTTCTGTACACTTTCAAGATGTACAGTACTGTAAAATAGAAATGAAATTCAGCTCTGTACACTTTCAAGATGTACAGTTCTGTAAAATAGAAATAAAATTCAGTTCTGTACAATTTCAAGTATGTACCCTACTGTAGAATAGAAATAAAATTCAGTTCTGTACAATTTCAAGTATGTACACTACTGTAGAATAGAAATAAAATTCAGTTCTGTACAATTTAAAGTTGTAGAGTACTGTAAAATAGAAATAAAATTCAATTTGGTACAATTTCAAGTATGTAACAGTACTGTCAAATAGAAATAAAATTCAGATCTGTACAATTTCAAGATGTACAGTACTGTAAAATAGAAATGAAATACAGCTCTGTACAATTTCAAGCATATAACAGTACTGTAAAATAGAATCAAAATGAGTTTAAAGCAATTTAAATTGTTTAGAAGAATACAGATTTTTTTGTAAGATTAACGGTATTTTCAAAGATCTGGTAAAGGTTAAAATATTGGACAAGATTCCAATATTGGATGTTGTGACATTCACTCTATCAAGGGGGCAGTGATGGGTTTAGCAACTTGAAAGTTTAAAGAGGTACAATGCAACTACATTTCACTCTGTACACACAAACTATTTAACATTTAGATAGAATTTAACTCTTAAAATGCTGAGGTAAACTAGAAAATACATATATATTATTTATACCAATGATTTCACATTTAAACAGACTTCAAAACATTATAACAATTCAAATGTGAATTCCTGGATATTTTTGGTGAATGTATTGTAAAGTCTCAAGTAAATAAAATGAAAAAATGTTCTCTTACAGTGAAACCCTTAATAACGAATACATCGAAAGAATTCATCAAATGTCGTATTCTTTACTTTCTGATAATGTAATGTTGCAGATATTTAGTTTTTTAATTAAATGATTATATGGAATTCTTTAAAACTGTTCCCGCATATTCACGGCTTTTTATTTACTTTCGAAAATACTGAAATTTACGTAATATAGTATAAGACTCATTGAAAAATTGTCAAGACGACATTTGATAAATTCTTTCGATGTATTCTTTATTAAGGGTTTCTCTTATAAAACTTAAAATGGATTAATTCTATGAAATGTATCACGGACTTGTTAAAAAATCTAGAAGCATCCTTAGCATCTCCTAGATACGCTGTTCTACCCTCAGCCAGGAGAAGAAGACGATCAAACTTATTGAACAGCTGTGAAGCTGGTTGATGAATTGTACAGATAACAGTTCTACCCTGAGATAACATTTGATAAAATCCACCAAATTTATCAAATTTAGAAATATAAAAAGCTAAGAAAACGTTAATTTATGTAAGCAAGATTTTGAATTAAAAGTTTACTAGTTTTTTGATATTTGAATTCACATTTGTAAATTTTATCTTACTAAAAACTGAAAAAAAACAAGAAAATACAAAAAAAATGGCAATAAATGAAGGATTTGTTAAATTCCTGTTTTGCCAGTTTCATCATCATGTCCATTACACTAGCCGCCATAAATGAGTCAAGTCCACTCGTTGGTTCATCACAGAATAGTAGAGGAGGGTTGGTTAGAACCTGAACATATAGTTGGTTTATCACAGAATAGTAGAGGAGGGTTGGTTAGAACCTGAACATATAATTGGTTTATCACAGAATAGTAGAGGAGGGTTGGTTAGAACCTGAACATATAGTTGGTTTATTACAGAATAGTAGAGAAGGATTGGTTAGAGCCTAAACATATAGTTGGTCTATTACAGAATAGTAGAGAAGGGTTGGTTAGAACCTGAACATATAGTTGGTTTATTACAGAATAGTAGAGGAGGGTTGGTTAGAACCTAAACATATAGTTGGTTTATTACAGAATAGTAGAGGAGGGTTGGTTAGAACCTAAACATATAGTTGGTTTATTACAGAATAGTAGAGGAGGGTTGGTTAGAACCTAAACATATAGTTGGTTTATTACAGAATAGTAGAGGAGGGTTGGTTAGAACCTAAACATATAGTTGGTTTATTACAGAATAGTAGAGGAGGGTTGGTTAGAACCTAAACATATAGTTGGTTTATTACAGAATAGTAGAGGAGGGTTGGTTAGAACCTAAACATATAGTTGGTTTATTACAGAATAGTAGAGGAGGGTTGGTTAGAACCTAAACATATAGTTGGTTTATTACAGAATAGTAGAGGAGGGTTGGTTAGAACCTAAACATATAGTTGGTTTATTACAGAATAGTAGAGGAGGGTTGGTTAGAACCTAAACATATAGTTGGTTTATTACAGAATAGTAGAGGAGGGTTGGTTAGAACCTAAACATATAGTTGGTTTATTACAGAATAGTAGAGGAGGGTTGGTTAGAACCTAAACATATAGTTGGTTTATTACAGAATAGTAGAGGAGGGTTGGTTAGAACCTAAACATATAGTTGGTTTATTACAGAATAGTAGAGGAGGGTTGGTTAGAACCTAAACATATAGTTGGTTTATTACAGAATAGTAGAGGAGGGTTGGTTAGAACCTAAACATATAGTTGGTTTATTACAGAATAGTAGAGGAGGGTTGGTTAGAACCTAAACATATAGTTGGTTTATTACAGAATAGTAGAGGAGGGTTGGTTAGAACCTAAACATATAGTTGGTTTATTACAGAATAGTAGAGGAGGGTTGGTTAGAACCTAAACATATAGTTGGTTTATTACAGAATNACCAATCACAGTGTCCTTAGACTTGTACAACCCGACCTACGATATATTTATTTATTCTACCAGGTATACCAATCACAGTGTCCTTAGACTTGTACAACCCGACCTACGATATATCTATTTATTCTACCAGGTATACCAATCACAGTATCCTTAGTCTTGTACAACCTGACCTACGATATATTTATTTATTCTACCAGGTATACCAATAACAGTGTCCTTAGACTTGCACAATCCGACCTACGATTTATTTATTTATTCTACCAGGTATACCAATACAGTGTCCTTAGACTTGTACAACCCGACCTACGATTTATTTATTCTATCAGATATACCAATCACAGTGTCCTTAGACTTGTAAAACCCGACCTACAATATATTTATTTATTCTACCAGATATACCAATCACAGTGTCCTTAGACTTGTACAACCCGACCTACGATATATTTATTTATTCTACCAGGTATACCAATCACAGTGTTCTTAGACTTGTACAGCCCCAATCTACCATTTTTTTATTTAAACATCTTTAACTAAAATTTTTAAAACCATCATATCTTTCCAACCTTATCATTCTAAAATCACAGAAATATTCGTTTTAAATGTATAAGATCTGCGACATTAGGTTGCAAAATATAGGGATTAGAAAATCCGATGCTGTGACGAAGACTTAATTCCTTTGTAAAAAGGAATAAATGATTATTTCAATATTGAATTTGAAAAAAGTTCCTTAATTAAATTTCTTCAGGTTTAATCTAATTCTTTTTGAACCTTAAATTTATTGAAATTTCACATCTTATTGAAATCAAAGGGATAAGTTTCTTTCTAAGACTTGAAAAAAGTTATTTTATCTCAGCTAGATGTCCAATTTAGAAATTTAGAAATTTCTCATATTGGCCGAAATCAGATTTTTTGTGTCTTCTGATAAATAGAAGACCCCAAGATTTTCATCGAAGACCCTAAGATGTTCATTGAAGACCCTAATATTTTCATCGAAGACCCCCAGATTTTCATCGGAAACCCCTATATTTACATCAAAAATATCTAAAATGAGCTGGTCAGGGGAGTCTCCGATGAAAACTTTCTGAGTTGTCTATTACTGTTGTTTTTACTTTTTCGTTTCAAGTATCAAATGAAAAAGGCGAAAAAATTATGTTTTATAAAAATTCAAATAGTGATCGAAAGTCACAGTTCTCTGGGATAAGGACGGAACGGTTTATCCGATATTACTTCAAAGATTATGATTTCTGCCCAGCCTCATTAATACACATTAACATTACCTCTTTCATGACTTCTTCGACTCTTTCCATTCTTTTCCACATTGGTATCTCCTTGTCCATCCTCACCATTGCCTACGGTAAACACATTTTTGGAAACTACTGTGTACTTTATCATTAATACTCTATTACTGGGAAATTTCATTATTACTATGCTATAAAGAAATCATCGGACTATAAAGTTAAATTAGCTGTATATTATATCACCTTGCTAATAACCCAAAAATTTAGAATATTTCTAGAATATTTTTTTTCAATTTAAATGAAAATTAAAAATAACTTAACTTTAAATCATTGGATCTGCTTTGTTAAAAAACTTTCAATATTTAGAAACAATCAATAGATACATTAAAACAAATAACACAAACATCTCTCCATATACTTTGCTTGTGGGACCTACCATGACCCTAGGGAAGATTTATGGACGCATATAATTTGAAAAAGTTGATTCCAAAATTTTTAAATAGATTTTTCTAAAATTTTGTAAATCCAAGAACAACTAAATTGTAAATCCGCAATTTGTTTTATTATATTATTGCATCGAAGAGAAAATGCTGATATATTGAGCAACAGTTAAAAGTTGAAATAGAAGATGGATGCGAAGCGCCCTATTAGCCTGGTTTCCTAAACTTACCTTTAATACTTTTATTTGGCCACGACGTGTAATAAAGTTTTTGGATAGAAATTTGCTCTGTATTTAAAGCTTGGGACTTAATATTATCAGTTAAGGTTTGAACCTTCTTGAAAATGAGAACATGTCTGTCCAAAAACTTCATAGCTCTGAAAACCAAATTAAGTTATAAGTAGTTAATTTGGGACTATTTTAGTTCCCTTATGTCATTATTTGTCTCCTAACAACATAAAACATTTTTCGGTTTTCAAAATTTTGAAGCTTAAAACAGATCAAATTCTGAAAACATTGATATAAATTGGTTGCATTTCTTCAATGTTTAAAGATAGTATTGTAAATTATAATTTGCATTTGTACATGCAAAATAAAATTGTTATTTTTTTCTAAAATTGACTATTTTGGCAAAAAGAATTAACCTGGAAAGTAAGATGTTCTTGAACTGTTAAAGTTCCAAAGAATAAATCATCCTGTTGAACATATCCTAATAATATCAAAATATATTTAAATAAAATTAAATATTATGTGTTCATTTGGTAATTTTATAAAAATAGAGTATTCAATTTTGAGGAATTTATCCCAGCTTTTATTTCTTGCTGTAGGGCAATTATGTAACGCCATTTAATTGTAATTTCAAATTTCACGACTAATATTTCACTGAGGGGGGGGGATAAAGTAACTTTATCGACCTGCTCTTAAACAAGTCGAGTTAAATTGAATAAAACTGCAGATTTAATTGTAATAGGAATAGTACACGTTCGATGTAAAACTATATATCTCTTTGAAATAGGTATCATTTGTGTACGTTTTATGTAAAAATACTTTCATTTTATCAAAAACAAACTAGAGAAAGTAAAAATATCTAGAAATAAACTAGTTTACACTTAAAAATACCCATTACAATGTAACTTTACACATATTTCTCCATTTTTTTCAATTTTTACCCCCTGACAAAATATTGGAACTTAAACATATTTTACAAAGCTTGACATAAGAAATCCTAAAAACATATGCATATATCGTAAAGTGCTACTGTAGTGTGCATATATCGTAAAAAAGTTAAAGAATATAAAAATATAATGTTTTGTTCATTAGTTCGCGTCATATTTAAAAGGACTGAAAAGGGAAAAATGAAAGGGGCTGAAACCTGAGACAGTGAGAACTTATGTTCCTGTCTTGAGAAATTGGTATAAAACTATGTCAAAAATATACCAAAACGTATATATGTAAGATTCGCAGTATTAAACAGATCATCTTCAACAAATACGCAACCAATCTGAAAAAAAAACGAAATCCCACAGAAGCCTGAGAAACTCAAGTTTGCTACTTTTATTATTTGAATTTAATAATATTTAATTTTAAGAGATATAATTGATAATATTATCTTTGCATCCGAAACATGTCACCAGAACTCCAACCAATGGCAGTGTAGTATTATTGTCAAGTGTCTCCGTATGTATCACGTGACCAGTATACTGCACTGCTATTGGAGGAAGTTCTGGTCACGTGATACGGACGTATGTCTTACATATATACGTTTTGTGGTATAATTTTTAAACAGTTTTATGTCAATTTCTTGAGACAAGAACATCAGATAGATGTCTTATAGGTATCGTTCAACTCCTGAGATTTTCAGGTTTCAACCTATACCCCCTTTCATTTTTTACAGTCCCTTTAAGTTTTACTAAAATTTACCAAAATATATAGTGTACTACTTTCAAATTCAATATTTGGTAGTAATTCACCAAATTTCATATTTGTGTGTTTTAGAGGGTAAAAGGATTAATGCTATAGGGATTTAAAAATATGATATGAAAAATACCAGAAATAATGTTATAAAATATACATAAAATCAAAATAAAACTAGAAAAACAAGTTTAAATTATATAAACAAGAGAATGATTAAATATTACGACATTACGGTTATGTCTTACATTTTAAACAAAAAATGTAATTTATAGCCATTTATCTACAGGGTGTCCCACATCATATTAGACCGAGAACGGGTCTAAATCACGATTTTCGGGACTAATTATAAAATTTCATTAGAATGAATCATCTTGAAAAATAACATAAGGCTTAGATAAGAATTTTCTTGCGTAAAAATGATAAGTTTTCCGAGTAATAAGGGTTTATTTTGGCATTAAAGATTGAAGATAATCTAATATGATATGGGACGCTGTGTACACCGAAACATTAGGTAGAAATTTTAATGTGATCCAATACATTTTTTTTCGTAAACACTTCCATTTAAAGGGACTGTACACCTAGTTTTAAGTGACCCTAAAGGCAAAGATTCACAAGGGTTCCACTGAAATATTTATTTTATCTAGGATGTTGAAGATGTTTCTCTGCAGAAGAAATGTTGAAGTCAACTTTGTAACAAAACCACAATTAAAGGGAGTGTTCGCGAAAAATAAAAGGGGGTATAGGCTTAATGCGATAAAAAAGCGTTTTTGATCGCTTCTAATCTTACTTCTATCTGTTGCGTCTATAAGGAGAAAATTGTTAAAAACAGCAAAAAAAAATCTAATTTTGAACAAGCTGGAGAAATATTAGAAAAATATGAAATGTAAAACCCATTGCGCATCAATTTAAAGAAAATTTCATCGGATTTAAATAAATGTTTCTTTTCTTCAAAATTTAGGGTTATCTAGGACTGAAAGTCAATTAACATCATTTTTAAAAAGCAATTATTGCTCAAAACTAAATTCTATCCGAAAATAAAGGCTCTTGTTAAATACTTTCTTTACATGATACTGTGTGTTGGGAGTTAGTTTACGTCGTAAGGTCAAAAAGTACGAAAGATACCAAACTTAAAGACTCCTATTTCTAAAGAAATCTAAAGAACTTTCTATTTATTTTCTCTTAATCGGAATTATGAAGAAACTCTATTTTTTACTGGAAGCTTTAGCAAGGACAAATTCAAAGAACTTAAAAGTTTTAATTACCTTGAGATCTCCTAGATTTCTGAATAGAAGTGTATTTAGTAGAGTTGATTTACCAGCTCCACTAGCTCCCATTATAGCCAATAATTCACCAGGACGTACAATACCACTCACTAGACATATATTGTTCACTATATAGCTCCCATTATAGTCAATAATTCACCAGGATGTACAATACCACTCACTGGACATATATTGTACACTATATAGCTCCCATTATAGTCAATGATTCTCCAGGACGTACAATACCACTCACTAGACATATATTGTACACTATATAGCTCCATTATAGTCAATAATTCACCAGGATGTACAATACTACTCACTAGACATATATTGTACGCTATATACCTCCATTATAGTCAATAATTCACCAGGACGTACAATACCACTCACTAGACATATATTGTTCACTATATAGCTCCCATTATAGTCAATAATTCACCAGGACGTACAATACCACTCACTAGACATATATTGTACACTATATAGCTCCCATTATAGTCAATGATTCTCCAGGACGTACAATACCACTCAATAGACATATATTGTACACTATATAGCTCTCATTATAGTCAATATATATTCTATTTATTCGTACACAAATAATGGTACAATTTAAAATAATTCACCAGGACGTACAATACCACTCACTAGACATATACTGTACACTTTATAGCTCCCATTATAGCCAATAATTCACCAGGACGTACAATACCACTAATTAGGCATATATTGTTCACTACATAGCCCCCCATTATCTACATAAAAAAGCTCTTCGCTGCAATATATATTTTTATATTTGGACCTATAACTGGCTGACAGTTTTTGAGGGAACTGTTAAGTACCCTGTGGAAAAAATGAAGCTAAAAATTTGTAATTTTCTAATTTTTTTTCAAGTGTTTCTAAAATTCCACTGGCAACGCTAAGCGCCTCAGATAGTTGCCAATAATTTAACAGGACTTTAAAGTTACAATACCACTCACCAGACATAAACATAAGAAACGGTCATTTAAAAAAAAATTGTTTTGTCTGTAATTTTTAAAACCTTTACCTTATTCTTTTTTTCATTTTAATAACGACCGTTTTTATTTCTTTTAAACATCGTTAATGAAACTATTAAAAGTCTTTATTTTTTAAAGCGAAAAATGTCTTTTATTGGAAGGGGAAAGGAAAATGAAGTAAATATTAGTTTTTACCAAACAAAACAAAACTTAGGCAGACAATTAGATCAGACAAACCTTCAACTCATTATAGAAACGGGAAAACCCCGGTTAAAAATTTCTTTGGTAAGAATTATGATAAGGATTAGGATTAGGATTAGGATTCGGATTAGGATTAGGATTAGGATTAGGATTAGGATTAGGATTAGGATTAGGATTAGGATTAGGATTAGGATTAGGATTAGGATTAGGATTAGGATTAGGAGAGTTCAATTCTCATTGTAATAAGTTGAAAAAGGATTTACCATCTCTGAGAATAGGTTTTGAAGGGATATCATCTGATTTGATAAGTCCAAAACAGCTTCCACCTTTCCTAGGCCTGCAGCAAAAAATCTTTTAATTTTTAAAACTAAATGTTAGAATGAAAGTTTAAGTGATAATTGAATTAAATTGAATCTGTGTTTGATCGCTACTAATTTCACATTTATCTGTTTTATCAATCAGGAGAAAATGGTTTAAAACGACTCATATCGAATAGCGTAGAACCCACATAACTTCACGGAGCTGCAATATTTCACCCAAACTGTAAATAATTAGATTAAATGTTAAACTAACCATTCAGTTATTGCAAGCTATAAATGTCGGATTCAATTCGGTGAATTTGTAAATAGTTTAGATATCATAGTTAAGTTTAATTACCGACCTATAACCCCTTTCAATTTTCGCGATCACTCCCTTATCACTTAAAGTTTTCTGATAAAAAGCAACAACAGAATCATAACTTTTGCATTTACCTTTAAAAAGATATAAAACAAGTTTTGCATCACTGCCAAAACCACATAAAAACAAGACTTTAAAAATAAAAAAATCCAACCTTGTTGAAACACTGAGATTACTCCAAGAGAATGTTATTCCCTCCTCTACCTTAAATTAGAATTAGAATTATAAAAACAAAACTTCGTTTATTTTTGTCGAAATCCTAGTTAAAATTCTGATATTCTTTTTCATAAAATGGAGGATAACTAATGTCGGCTTTAAACAGAGTGTTCACGAAAAATGAAAAGGGGTATACGTTTATGGCGAAAAATAAGCGCTTTTTGATTGCCACTAATCTTACTTCTATTTGTTGTGACTATAAGGAGAAGCTTTTTAAGAACGACTCGTACAAATTCAGAAAGTTGCCACATTCAACTCGGGTTGTAAAATAATCAATTTAATTCTAATCAAATAATTCAGATATTACAATGGTAAACGATTATTTTTCCACCCATTCGTATATTGTTAATATTTCATAATAGTTTTGATTCTGTTTTTTTAAATAATATTTTGCTGGCGCGCGCTGGATTTTGGATAATTCCTGGAAAATGTCGTCCTCATTATCAAAAATCCTCGAAACAGGAATAAATAATTTAAAATGTAACTATCAGATCGTAAAAAATAAAAAATATTATGAAATATCAACTAAATACGAATGCGTCGAAAAATTACCGATTATTATTGGTTCTAATATATGAATAATTTGTTTTTACAATCCGAGTTGAATGTACAGGGTGTCCCACGAAACATGACAGTATGCAGGACAACTTGAATGTCGTCTTGATTTTTGATATAATTTGCTGCGTTTATTTGTCAACCTAATCTTAGAAGTAAATTTCTAGAGATAATAATCCCAAAATTTCCCTTGTCCTGCCATTTCTAAAATGTGGTCTGCCATTTTTGTGCTTTCCATATTGCCCGAGATATGAAGAATTTCGTTCAGATTTCGACAATTTTGCTTTTATTTAACAAAATTGAAATCTGAACCAAACTCTTTATATCTCCGGTAATATTGAAAGCACAAAAAACGCAGACCACTTTTTGGAAATGCCAGGGCTAGGAGAATTATGTGATAATTGTTTCAAGAATCATACATGTTAAAGTAGATAGAAGACTAAATGTTACAAATAAATTCAAATACCAAAGACGACTTTCAAGTCGTCTTGCTATTGTCATGTTTCGTGGGACACCCTGTAGCAACTTTCTGAATTTGTATGGACTCTACGTTCTTCGGTATGACTAGTTTTAACAATTTTCTCATTATAGCCGCAACAGATAGAAATAAGATTAGTAGCGATCAAAAGAGCTTATTTTTCGCCGTAAGCCTTTACCCCCTTTCATTTTTTGCGAACACTCCCTTTAAAAGATCATCTTAAATCCTAAATTTACTATAGTTTTTATATCAAAAGTTTAAAAATTTCTCTTTACTAAAGAAAGAGATAAAAGCGCCAACCCCATTGTATTTTGACTTGGGAAAAAGGAAAATTGTATTAAATTAACAAATAACAAACTCTAAAAACATCGTACCTTGGTTATATTATTTAATAAAACTAATGTTTCTGGACTTAAGACTTTGCCACAAACTCAAATTTTCTAATCCCTATATCTTTACGACATGATACATGGTGAGTATACCTTGAATATTTCAAATTAAGATTATTTGATGTAACTGAATAATCATAGTTTGGAAAATGTAACGCCTCCAACATTGGGTTACAAAGATACAGAGATTATCAGAGTTTGAGGCGAAGACTCAACTTCTTTGATTTTAAATTATTTATATCTTCTAACCTTGAGCTTACAGGATTGATCCTCTTTACTCGGATCTCCAATTTTTGACTAAAACAAGAATGGATGAGCCACCAGCTCTCAAGAATTAAAGTTATCACAAGTTCAGAAACTTCTTGATAAATCTTTTTCTCTTCTTTCCCAAAACAAACATAACATAAAGTTAATGATTTTAATTTGCCAGGTTACAGTGATAACTAGAAAACTTTAAAATAGGTAAATGACTTTTAGTGTAAAGGTATATCTTAAAAATGTCTAATGAGCATTGAGCATACAGACACAGAAATTATGAAGTGTTAACAGACCTGTTTCACAAAATTATTTCCAGAAAACCTAACTGCTTTTTTACAAAATTTATCCATCCAAATAGTATACACAAATACATGATCTTTGCCGTCCAAGTAGTAAAGGTATACAGTATTTTTAGCCGTCTAAATAGTACAGAAATACATGGTTTTGACCGTCCAAATAGTACAGAAATATATGATTTTGGCCGTCCAAGTAGAATAGGAATACAGTATTTTTAGCTGTCTAATATAGTGCATAAATACATGATTTTGGCCGTCCAAGTAGTAAAGGAATACAGTATTTTTAGCCGTCTAAATAGTACATAAATACATGATTTTGGCCGTCCAAGTAGTGAAGGAATACAGTATTTTTAGCCGTCCAAATAGTACAGACATACATGGTTTTGACCGTCCAAATAGTACAGAAATACAAGATTTTATCCGTCCATATAGTACAGAAATACATGATTTTATCCGTCCATATTGTACAGAAATACATGATTTTATCCGTCCAAATAGTACAGAAATACAAGATTTTTTCCGTCCATATAGTACAGAAATACATGATTTTATCCGTCCAAATAAGTTTAATATACATGATTTTATCCGTCCAAATGGTACAGAAATACAAGATTTTATCCGTCCAAATAGTGCAGAAATACAAGCTTTTAAAGGGAAAAAGAAATACTTACTATCCCATTTTTTGTTATATCTTTTTCTGAGTTATGAAACCCAGGGTTCTCCATCTTGAAACTTCTAAAAATTATAATTTTCTTAAAATTCAAATATTGTCTCCATTTAATGTTAAATATTTACAAATAACTAAATTTCAAAAACACCAATTCGAGTACACATCATGGGAACAAAAACAAATTTGAAATTGTAAGATAGATAGTAAATATATATCTATGGTTTAATAGTTGACATTATTTTTCAAATCAAAATTTATAAATCTCTACGCATCTCAAATTTAAGCCGTAGCTCAAATTATTTAAATTCGGCCTCAGATTGCAAACATTTAGAGATTTGAAAATTTAAGTTTCTTATTTTTATTTATTTTAACAGTAGAGACGTTCAATGATATAATTAATATAATTAAAAGGACGTGTGGACAACATTTTAATTGACCCTCCATTTTAAGCTTGACGTTTCCGATTTACTAAAGCTCCCTTTAACACAGAAATAAGTCGTTTATTTAAATCAAGTGTCAAATTCTCTCAAAATCCTTCATTGTCATAAGAATATCTGGGCAAGTCAAATTAATAGAGAAACCACAATTGGCTGCAAATTATCATCTTTTATCTAGACAAATAACGATATCTCATTCATCGTCAATCAGACAAAAAAATTAAAGGTACCATGGTAAATTGGACATTTCCCTTTACAACTAGAGGGTTTTTGATATTTATCGGTGTTTTTATATGTTTAAAACCGTCTTAATAAGTCTTCAACGGGCTTTTCTCTTGAACTGTTTAGAATTCAGATCTTTTAAAACCAGAGATGCGTGTAAGGTTATGTTTTACGTAAGGAAAGCAGGTTATGTGAACCACGGTTTAGCCTGCAGCGGGTTCAGGGCTTACGGCCTGGATTGTATGGGAGATCGAGAATCTGCGTTTTATCCCGGTTGAATATATTTCGTGTAAAATTTATAGGAATTTCTCCGTCTCTGAATCCTTAGTATTTAATAAATCAAACAATTTTGTTTTTATATATACTATTAAACCCTCTTAAAAACAAAAGATTGATCGTTTTGTACTTTGGGGAACCATCTTAACCGGTCATAGAAGAAATGATCTTAGGGGTTTTCAACCTATGGGTCTTGAAATATACAAACAAATATAAGAGTTGGTAAAAAAATCATTTCTCGTTATCGATTCTATTTTGAGAGACTCCCATCCCGCGGATTTAACGGTACGATGTATGACTTTTAAACAAAATTTGACCTATGAAACATAAATTTTTTGGTTTTTCTCTTTTATACTATTTTGTTGGCATGCGCGTTTAAAGCAAAAAAATACTTAAAGACAACTCCGTAATTAAAGATAACTCCGTAATTAAAGACAACTCCGTAATTAAAGATAACTCCGATCTATAAAAAGGTGTTGGTTCGGTCCGATTCACAATGCTTGAAAACTTTGTATGAAAAAGAAAGCATGAAATGTCTATGGATAGCACATAAAAACGAATAATTATAAGAATCGAAGTTGGTTCGTTTTCTACATAGATCGGATTTCATTGAAAAAGCATCTTTCTGAGGAGTGGAGATAATGGCTGCCTGGAGACAGGGCAACAAGAGGATTAAAGAATACAGATATTTTCAGGGATGTACAAGATCAAATCAGGGGCGGAAACGTCATGTGTGTGTCTGTACTAAAAGATTGTGTGTAAAGTTTACCGTACCGAAGGTGTGTATACTGTAGGTATACAGTACATACAAATCTCGGTATTTTTACAGTCTAGGAGAGTACATTTGTTTATTGTTAATTGTTTCCTTAAAAATAAGTTTAATATACATGTAGTATATTATTTACATATTTAAGTCAACTCTATGAGCCAAATTTTCATGCAAAGAATATAACTTGATTAAAATTTACAATAAATATAGTCGTTATTCAAGCTTAATTATAATTGACAACATTGTTCTGCAATTTCCTTGACTGTAATCATGTTGTGTGTCTGTACCAAAAGAGTGTGTGTAAATGTTACCGTACTGGTCTGCAAAACAGTGTGACTGGCTTTCTCATGCCAGACCAGCGCCATTTCCTTTCCCTTTATCCTATTCCCTGGATCAAATAAAGTTTACGATTTGTTCTGCATGAGCTACTTTTCTTTGACAACTTTTTTCATTGTAAATCTTCAATATCGGCAAATATCTTGCAAATAGAAAAACTCGAGGTTGGAAATAATTTCCATATAATTTTATATTTTCATCAGTTTTTTTAATGGTGGTGTTGATAGAGTTTTATTTCTTAACAACTAACTATTTTTTTCACAAATGAATTCTGTATTAAGAATGTTTAATTTCATTTTTTAAAAAGGCAGAAAATGAGAAAGACTGTGAAGATGAAACAGCCGATTTAGAAAGTACTAGACTTTTAGGGCGCTTCGCGCCCATCTTCTATTTCAACTTTTAATTGTATCTTTATCTGGAAGCTTCTTCTCCTTATACAGTATAAAACAAAAACAAACAAAAAGTTTGCGGATTTCATAATATTTTTTGCACATTTTAAAAAATAAAAAAAATTTTGATACAAATTTTGAAAATTTTGATCATTCATAAACCTTCTTCCCTGGGGTCACGTGAGGTCCTACACAAAATTTGGGCCGATCGGTTCAGCCGTTTTGACGTTTATTGGATAAAACAAACAAACAAACAAACACCCAGACAGACAAGCTAAATTTATATTTACATTGTCCAACGCAACGTACAGGGGTACCCTGGTTATTTTGGAAATCTGTAAAATTTGGACAAATTTCAGTTGATATTGGTGACATTTTAAAGATCAATTTATTTTAATTTGTTTATAGCTCAATAGGTTCGGAAAGCCATGTAGTTTCAGAAAAAAATAGTCCCCAGGTTGCAAAACAAAAAATAGTCCCCAGGTTGCAGTGCAAAAAATAGTCCCCAGGTTGCAGTACAAAAAATAGTCCCCAGGTTGCAGTACAAAAAATAGTCCCTAGGTTGCAGTACAAAAAATAGTCCCCAGGTTGCAAAACAAAAAAGTCTTGATTTCCTTTAGCCCTATTTGACTCCCTTACTGCCAGGGTCAAACACATTATGCGCGCTGAATTGTGATAAATATAAATTACATAAATTTCAAGATTAAATAATCTAAAGTGATGCACAATCAAGTATGCGAACTGCGCCTATACTTACTTTGTATGAATGCAAAACTGCAAATACTTGTTATTAAATGGTTTATACCAAATATGATAATATTATTGTTGAAAATTTAGTTCTTTGTTAACACTTTAAATATTTATTTTATCCAAATTTTTTCTTTTAATTCTCTTCATTCACAGAATAAAATATACTAAGTTTTACAATTAATAAATTTCTTTAATTTTTTATACTAAATCTTTATATGATAATAAATTTTCTATTTTTATTTTACAGAAATCTAAACGGCTGAACCGGTTTGTCCCATAAATCCACCAATTGCAAACGGAAAAATCTGTAAAACCTACGTTGTGCGGAGCACCCTGAAAACCTGGAGCTGATAAATTCAATATAAAAAATATTAAGGATCCGGTTGTGATTTTTTTTTCCAAAATTGTTAGATATCCCATTAGTGTCCAGAAGGTCAATTTTGACCGGGCGAGGTTTTTTATTTAAGTGCCTTTATTCTAAAACTAAATGTCGTCCTCTCGTCTCCTGAGCTTTCCTTAGGGTTCCCTGTTTTCAAAACATATGTTATATTTGACGTAACTTCAAAATTGTTTTTTTTTTCAAATTTTCAATTTTAAAAAACCCAAAAAAATAAGATTTTGAATTCGGAAGAAAACCAAAAGAACACCTTGTAATTTGGTTTTGAATCTTTAAAATTATCAATTTTTTTGCTAGAAAAAATTTAAAGACATTTTGGAAACTTCTTTTAAAGATCTAAATAACTAAAACATGAAAAGTAAAGTTTTGATAAGTTTAGATAATTATGAATTACCAAAATTTTTTAATTTTCATGTTTTACGGGTCATCCTGTACAAAAAAAATTTTAAAATTTAATTGAATATCGTTTTTTCATGAGCACAATCAAGTATTGTTATGACAAGATCCTCTTAAAACAACTAATAGTTAATGGTCTCGTCACTAATGGGATATTCAGACAAAAGGAATCTATATTTATACCAATTTACTGTTTTATGGTTTTATAGAAATATGTTTTTTTTATATTCTTGTAAATAGATCAATTGTAATTTGATCATTTTTGGGAGTGTCATGAAAGTATTCAAAAGGATTTATTTGCTTTGTTTTAAAAGTTTATATCCGAATTTGAATTTTTGGGAGCAATGTTAACAATCCTAGTGCTGTCGAGTTTTGTTCAATTCATATTGCTTGATGATCAAAAAATAACGATATTAAAGCAATTGTTAATAAATCACTTATGTTAGATGGACTGTAAAGGAAAAATTAAAGGGGGTATAGGTTGAAACCTAAGCATTTTAGAAGTTGATCGAGACCATAAAGATATAATTGATAATATTATTTATACGTCCGTATCACGTGACCAGACGTCCAACCAATGGCAGTGCAACTATACTGGTCACATGATTCAGACAGAGACACGTGGTAATGAAACTGCCATTGGAGGGAGCACTGGTCTCATGATACGGACGTATTTATTATATTATCAATTTATTATAAATGAAAAATTATCAAATTCAAATAATAATAGAAGCAACCCTAAGTTTCTTAGGCTCCTCTGGGATATCGTTGTTTTGAGATTAATTGTTTATTTGGTGAATATGATCTGTTTAAACCTACGATTTTTTAACAAAATTTAATATACAGTGAAACACTCCGGTATATGGTGAAGACAACATAAACTATCGAGTCTAATTATATATCTAGAAGGTGATGGGGTTAAGAATAAAAAGGGGTTAAAATGGGCTGATTCGACAGCTAACTATATCAGATTATGACATATGTTCTTCAATTAAAATTTACTCACATTCATATATTTCTTTTTGAATTAATATTTTTCTTCCAAAGTTGTCACAAACTCAAATTGTCTAATCCCTTTATCTTGACAATCTGATTATGTAAACCTTTGATATTTTAAACTTAGATTATTTAGTCTAACAGAATTCATAGTTTGAAATATCAAAGGTCTACGACATTAATGGGTATCAAAGATTTAAAGATTATAAAAGAAGAGTTTGTGACAAACTCAATTCCAAATTTTGACTATTTTCCTATACTTTATATCAAACTATTTTATTCTAAAAATGAAAAGAGAAAGAGGAAGCTACTTAAGTAAAGACGATTTTAAATGTAGGGATAGAAGTAAATTACCAGAGAACAAAACACAAAAGATTTTTTCCCATGATCAAATTTCTATCATGGTTGATTGACTTAAACTCAGCCCTAACTTCCGTCTGACCTTATATTGATCATAATTTTTTCAACTTTTCTCTTTTTAAATGAAAAAGCATAAAAAGATTTTAGAATTACAGGAGTACAGTAAAGTATACTGTACTGTAATATTTTTGTAAAAAAGGGATTTGAAATGGGCTGATTCGACAGTGTTAACAGACAACGGTCAATTTTCTCTAATTGATCTTACAATGGAGTTAATTTCTATTATAATTAATCAAAATTACTGATTAAACTCCGTACAGCCTACAGATTAAAATGCAGTCTGCATAAAACGTCAGG